AATACGTACATTTTCTATTATACAAGTAACTACAACTCATTTCTTTTAAAGACTTTTTAATAGCTGCTTTAAAAAAAAACTGTCGGAAACGTCAACCGAATTCGCCAAATATTAATTTATAAAGAATGTAATATTTTACTGGACTGGTAATGACCGACCTACTGTCTTTCAAAGAATAAGCGTGGCTTCGAATGTGATTGCCTCAATCCACTCTGGTGTGATAATGTCCTAAAAGACCTTATAGGTAAAGGAGTCTCTATTTTAATAAAACCAATTTTTATTTCGTCTGAAATATTGCAGATAAAAAAAAAAAAAAAAGCAAAGCGTGAAATGTAAAAGTATTTTTCATTGTCCGGTAATATTTTATTCGGGCCATCATGGTTTATTTATGTACATGTGTAAACCTTAAAAACGGTGGAGCATGACTATAAATACTTTTTGACAGTAGATCCCATCCCCTTTGAAGATTCTAGGCCCTTGTAGTGCACGTACCCGTCGTCAAAGATACATCATCGTCCCAATGTAAGGGCCAAAAAAAAAAAAAAATTGTGTATGTGTTGAACGCTCGGACATTTTTTTAAAATGGGGCCAAAATGACGTTTTCTGCGTCAAATAGTAAATGTTTAGCTAAAAATTTTTTTTTTATTTGAAATTTACATATAAACTTTTTGGAGAAGAGGAGAAAGAAGAAAAAGGGGGGAGTGGGATTATACAGGTTGGCATAGCATAATTAGGTTTCATGAAATGAATGTAATAGAGTGTATATTTATATACAGAATACACATAAGGGTATAATCCTTATAATACGCGTTTTTTGTTGTTGTTGTTGAATTTTTTGCTGTTGGCATAAAGAAAGTTTCATATATAGGATTTTGCTGTTGTTTTTTACTTTAATAATGGACATGACATATGCTTGTGACCATATTTTCCACACCAAGTGCTAATAAAAAATAGACATGTTAGATTTGAAGATAAAATTACAAAGTCGAGTCTTACCATTGACCGCCTTGTAGGTTTAATGGCTTAATAGCATAAGACATATTGATCAAACTAATTGTGATGGTAGTAGACTGTTGTTGAGTAATGTTACCGCAGCACATGTCTGATTTGTTTGTTTAAAATGTATAAAGAAGAAGTAAAATAAATAAATAAATAAAAATCAATGTATTTATCTGTTTGGGCGAAAAAAAATAGGGGGAAGGTTTGTGAGAGGCTCAAAAGGCGTATTTTCCGCTTCTAATTTGATAGGTCATGGGGGAGCAAATTGACTTGACGTAAAAAACACTCATAATGCAGCGTGCAGATCTTTCTTACTCCATAATGATACACTAAATATGGGCGTTCTGTGTCTAATTTACGCAGCCCTCAACAAAGAGTGAAAAAAAAAAAAAAAGACACACGTTCATTTATTAGCATAACCATTAGCCTGGATGCTCCCCCATTAAACAGCATTCCCCCTAGTATGTCAACTGCAGGCCATACCAAAATACTTGCTAGGTTTTTTCTATTAAAATCATCTATTGCTATTACGCTTTAATAAAAGAGGGATAAAAATGCAAAGCACAAACCCTATAAAAAGTTGGACATCAATTTTTTTTTTTTTTTTTTTTTTTTTTTTTGTATTAAAATATTCACTAGTTTACATTTCTCCCTGCCTTCTTTCGTTATATGGCACAAGTTCTAATTATATATATAAAAAGTCTATTTCATAATAGAAAACCCCTTCTTTTTTGATCAAATTGATGATAAAGCAAAATAGTTTGCATAATGCTTGATATAGAAAGATTATACCGGGACAAAAAAAAAACTTTGATTCTAAAAATACACTTGCGCTCGACAAAAAAAAAGAGCCTGGAAAGGTCTATATTTTATTTGTGTTGTTGTATCAAATTAAATATAAGGGTGAGAACACCATTTAAATGTTCAACTTGGTGTGACGCCAGTTACGTCTCTTGGCGTTCCAACTATGAAAAAGAGAGAGAGCATACGTTAATATCAATTCCAATTGTTAATTTCATAATCATTTTTTACCGAATCTTGGTGTCAGTCTTAAGACGGAACCAGTGAGGCAAAGGACGGTTTTGCTTCTTGGCCTTGCCAAGCTTAACCTTGGTGATGAAAGTCTTTTGAGAAGGCTATTATTTTCGATAGTAAGAAAAAATAAAATAAAAAATGCAATGGGTCAGATTCTAATGTTGGTTCATTTTCTCTTTTCACTCTCCATCTCTTTTTTATTGGGTTGTTTTGTAGAATTAAAAAATCAAAATAGGTCCAACTCTATCAATCCATCCATAACTCGCTATTCTCTATCCCTTCATATGTGAATCTTCCTTACCATTTCGACAGGCGATGTATGCGAGAAGAGGAGGAATCAACATTTTCCTGTCTACATTGGCTATCATATCCCCTCCCCTAAGCATCCCCCCCCCCCACACACATGCGATTAACACCTGTTTGGACTCTCCCCCATCAGTGATAAAATTAAATTCCGGGCCGGACATTTTTGGACCGGAAAATGAACACATGCGTTTTTTTTTTTTTTATGTACACGGTAAGTTTATTAACAGAGATTGTTTACGAGGCCTACCAGTAAAAGAAATAAAAGAGATTTAACTCGGGTATCATCAAAAAACCTTGTAACCATATGTGGCTTCTTTTCAGTTAGTGAGGCATCCCAAATCTCCTCTTCTCCTTCTTCATTCTTAGGTCTGTCTACTCCTTCCACCAAGCTCGTGGTGGTGGGCAAAAGAGGGACGGCTTGGTATTCTCCTGTTGCCGATGATGATGCAGGTGTTAGTGTGTACTTATGAAGCATAGTTTTACATAGCCATGACGATATCTCCTGTGTAGATTGGCTCATGTAATAACATACAAAGATGAAAAGGCAGCTAGACAGACAAAGATTGATCCACCATCCTAGGCCTTGCACCCAACTGGATCGCATAAACAACACCAATAAACCTTTCGTGTCTCCCGCTAACCACATGTGAAATTGACCGATAAAGGTCTCTAACGAGATCTTGCCAATGAACGCAAAGAATTCTGAGTGCGTATTTCTTAAATAAAGACTAGAGTTACGCAGGACAATAAAGGCCAGAATAGGGATAAACGAGATATACGGATGTGAATCGTTATAAACATATTTGTCTTTACGGGTCAGTTCGAACCAGAAATACCAAACGGTGGCGATGGCGGAACAAAAGATGGCAGCAAGCTTGACACTAGACCATTTTGGATGATCTGTCAATTTATGTTCCGAAATCTTGATGTACGCATAAGCACACAGCATACCGATATAGACAATGTATGCATCCAACGCTAACCTAAATCGCCATTCTGCCGCATTCCATTGCACGTTGAAACATGTTTGTAATACGCTAAATAAAAATTCCAAGATGCCAGGTACCTTGATGAAGAGCGTGGTCAACACACAGGCAATAAGTAATTTGCACAACATAAAGCCTGGATGCTTGTTCCAAGTATGTCCTACATACATGATGATCCAGATGGCCAAAAACCAAAAAGAGACCAGCGGAGTAAAATAATAACTGAGATAATCCGTATCCATCAAATATTGAAGCACAAATGTCAAGAAATTCAATCGGACCATCACATTCAATACACGTGTCATACCGAAATCTGCCTTCTTATAAAAAAAGAAGAAGTGGCCATAACCTGTTTGAAACAAGTATGCGGCCACAAGAATACGGACAGCATTATAGATACCCGACGTACCAGAGGCGCCACAGAAATGGTAAACCAGGATAATAACCTGCATCCAGCCTTTCCATTCATCTGTTTGATGACGATTCAAAAAGCCTCCATCACCTTCTTTTTTATGACTAAGTTTGGCCATCCCCAGTACAGCCGTGCCGATCATCAATCCCGTGAAAATAGTTGGGTTGAAATTTTTGTGGATCTTTCCAAATAACTGCGTACGGTCCCCCAAATACATGTACATCACACATAATCCAAATATAAACAATGCATTCAATAACTTCGTGCCTGGAAATAGTTTTCTTGTCAATGAACCTAGAACCTTTTTTAGTATTTCAATCTCCCCCCTTCTAGTAGAAATCATTATGTTTACCTGACGTCGTTGCTGTAGAAACAAAGAATCCTGTAGGCACCCAAATAAGGAATAATAAAATCAAGATATTTTGATACCATCTTGGTCTAGGATATGTAAAACAACACGTCGTACCCATTGGAAATTTTTTGTCCAATTCATCATTGCACCGATAATTCAAGGCAATCTGTGCTTGTAAACTTGTCACAGTCTGCTTAAAATGAAGTCCATCATCTGTCACGTTGCTCAAATGCGCTCCAATTTCATTCCAGATAAAAGGTATCCCCATACGGGTCTTTGGATCCACATACTCGCCCTGTTTGTGTCGAAGGTAGTCGTTCATCTTTTTGATTTTCTCTATGGTCATGGATGCACGACGAGCGGGTGATAATTTGTCATACTGAGGTATCTCTACAGGACTCACTAGCATGGCGTCTGCTATCGAGTGTGTACTGACAGTCTCGAATAGTGAATCCATACTTGACTGAAAGTGTTCAAAGTAATTCTTTCCCAAATAATGCATCTGCCATGCTCCAGTACCTACCACCAATAAACTAGGCTTTAAAGCAGGTGATGTGCCCTTCAGAATTTCTGTAGTGTTCAAGTAAGGATCCCACCAGAATTCCATCGTCAGTTTCTCCTCATTAAATACATATTTACGATGCACGTGCGATTCGCCTGAGGTGTCGACATTGGGTCTTACAAGTTGTAAGGCAGCGAAAAACTGTTGTCGAACTAAAGAATCGCCTACATAGACAACACGTGAATGTGAAAGACAAGTTGACATGTCTGTTGCCTTGTAAGAATGCATCATGCATCCTGATGGTTGCCAGTTTTTATAAGAGTCATCTATCCACCATCCTTCTTCAAGTAAACTACTACATCTCGTACGATCGTTTGGTTCTAGTAATGAACAAAAAAAAAAGGGGGGGGCATGAGCAAAAGGTTGTCGTTTTTAGGGCTTTTCTTTACTGTACCAAGTATATATCGGCCGAGAGCCCCAAAAATAACCAGTATAAATGTGGCCAAGCAGCTATACCGTATTGTCTTTATAATGGTAGAATCAGAGGAGGCTCCCATCTTTATAGAAATAGCAGGAAAAAAAAAAAGAAATTAAAACATCTGGCTAAATTTAGGTCGAAATATGATTGGAATTCCAGCCCTCCCAATGTTGCAGATCGCTTAATTTATGGCTCCGAACGAAAATATTATAATAATTTCCAAAGGCCTGGCTAACAAGTCTGGGGGCACTCCGATCACTAACTTTCAATTCTATTGACCCTGATTTTGAAAAGTAGCCAATAGCTTTACGATTTAGTATCTCTCCGATCACTAAGTATGAACCTGATTAGCCAATTTGAAAGACATGCATTGAACGGTATAACCGCTAGCAATAGTATTGATCTAAATATACAATTATGCTGTAATAAATATGAGCATGTCAAATAATAACTGTTACCTACAGTGTGATCATATGAAAATCACTGGGTTGTTAATTATAGCTGTCATGCTATTGACATTAAATGTATAATTCTATACACATACGTTACTGATGCAGCATCCCGTCTACCATCTTATAAACTTATGATCCCTATACATCACTTTCAGTCGCCTTGCTTTATACTTTCAATCTGGGTAAAAAGAATAATCATTTATCGATGTTTAACTTTAGCAATCAAAATTGACATAACGAAGTCACGACATTAACCTACATTTGACAAATGGGAACCACTTGTGATAAACAATACCTTCTTTTACTTCTTTTTCCCCTTCTCAAGCCATTCAATACGTCTTGAACTATGAAAAGAAAAATAGAGCCTGATAAGGATGATGATGAGCAAAGGCGAAAACAGTCCTTACGTAAGCTCCTTGCGTGAACTTTTATTAGAAGCCTACAATTAACATTGGTTATTTTTATGAATAGGGGAAAGAACAGTGGGTTTTAATGTCCAGGATAGTGGTTTAACTACTCAAGGTTGGTTTGTTTGATTTATCTAACCGGTGATTATAGTAAGACTTATTTATAATTTATGTTTCTTTAGATGATGGTTTTCCACAAGGACTTTTGACTTTTACTTGGGCAGATAAAAACAGCAGTGAGATTAAACTGCCTTCCTATGAAAATAAAGAACTTGAGGCAAGATTTGAGAAGGTTTATAAAGTTTTCCAAACATCTTTCCATGAAAGTATAGTCAAAATGAATTCATGCCTAAAAAGTTACGGTGTGAAAATCTGCAAGACAAAACTAACTGACAATTATGGTATCAAGCCCCACTATTTGAACAGTCGTTACATCTGCAATCTTCTGAACTCACCCAATGCAAAAGTTGTTTCAATGCATTCCAATAATTACGCCTCAGTTAGTATCAATGTAAAAGGACGTCTTCTGTTGTATGATATTTGTCAGCTATACCGTTGTAGGATAATGCTTTTTTCCACAAGATCAAAAGCCGTAATAATCCATCCTTCCAATACCGACCAATCGGACCAGATACCTTGCTTTTATATCTTGCAGCACAAGGATTCTTATATTCATGAGACCACCTACTTCTTTCTCAAATCTACCAAGACACCTGTGCCCAACCCAACAGGATTGCAAGTACAAAACCAAAATAGCCCAAGGAAGGTGGCAATTAAAAGAGAAGCAGGGGAAAAGAAAGCAAAAAAAAAGATAGACATAAGCTTGATGGAAAGAAACTAGATGAAATGATTGTTAATCTGCTAAAAGAAGAAGTTCAATCTATGTATGATAAGAAGTGGAGGCAATTTTTTATCAAGAACAGTAATACCGCGAGTAGTAGCAGTGGTGAAAGTTCTTTGTTAAATCGATTTGGCGCAACATTATCCAAGAAACAGCTTCCTACTGGAGTAGTGCCACTTGTAAAACAAAAAATTGAGCTTATGCTACATAACAATGAAGTTGAAGGTATGTCTGGAGGCGATATACCAAAATCGGCCATGTGGCTATACAACAAGATTCAACATTTTAAAGAGCAAAATTTGATCAATATTCATGATTTGGCCAATAATTTCTTGGAAAGAGTTGAACACAACACCAAAATAATAATGTTAATAATCAATCATCCAGCAGAAATATCAGTGATCAAGAAAGCACTGAAGAAAATTAATGATCAAAGCAGCCAATACTGAAGAAGAAAAGAAAAAAAAAGACACGGGTTACAGAACAGTGGGAAAAACACTCAAGTCAGTAATCAATAGTAAATTCGACTATGACATTCCACGTGAAAGGCTCGATATGTTACAAACAACATGCAGAAAATCAATAGCAGGTCTTTCTAAAGCTATTGAAACGCTGATTGAAATTTTATTTTCTGGAAAAGTTGGACAAGACAATTCGGCCACTACCTATGATATTATTGAATTGGATGACATTGATTTTAATAATCAAAACATTGGAAAAGGTGAACAAGATATTGCTCTTTTGTCAAATATAACTTTAAAATCACTGGAAGAAGCAGATTTGTTTTCATATGCCGGTTTTTGGACAATAATGTCAAAATGTATAGGCAAAAAATTTGTCGATAAAAAAAATAACTCGTACGTATTTCATTGCATCTTTGTGAGGCCACTTTGCTAACATATCTTCAGTTTTCTAGATGCAATCAATGCCAATATGAATGAGACCGATGCTTTCAATTTCACTACTACACCTGCTCTTGCTAGCGCTTGTAAACAATTCCACACAAATTTGAGAACATGTGGTCAAACGAATTCTACAAGCAAGATCTAAGAGTGGTGGTGACTTTGCTGCTTAGAATAAATCTTGCAAAGAAGCGGTTTTTTGGCTCTAGAAAAAAGCACAATAGGGATACTAAAAAAGTCTCAAAGGCTAAAGGAACCAAGTTGAGCAAGGGGCTTTTAAAACAAAAAATGGAAACTCTCTTTGAAGTGCTTATAAAGTATCAAAGGGGTAAAGACAGAAAACTTCCGTGCATAACGAGATTCATCAAGGCCATTTTTGATTCGACATATTACGTTATTAACAAAACCACTGGCAGCGATCCGGAAGATGAAGGTATGCTTCTGCCTCAAAATACTAGTTTGGTTTGCCCCACTAAATATAGTTCTGTTCCAATTTATAGTAGACAATCGTGTTAGCGTGGATGAAGATAAGGATGGTGATGGGTTTGATAGTAATGCTGATGAGGAGGACTTCGTAGCTGGTGCTGAAATGATGACAGTCCCTCAAGAAGTTGTTGAAAGGGATTTATCATCGAAGGAAATTAATGCTCTTGTCTCCGTTGTAATGATGCTCAGTGGTTCTGAAACCATAAACGGTAATGTAAATCCTAACTACGTGAAAAATCAATTGTACAAGGACAAACAGGAATCAATACCTGAAGAAGCATTGTCGCTATGTGCAGCTATTATAAATACTCTTCGCCGTATTACCTTAAAACGAGATGAAGATGCATCATTTTTATCATGTTACAAGATACGTCATCTTCGTAATGTACTTGTTCGTTTTTCGGGCAACAAAACCAAGTTTCGTGAAGTGCGAATGTTCCCGTCAAAAGATCATAACCAGAATCTCTCTGTTACTGTCAACTCTATAACACTGTACCTGTTGTTTTGTAAAGAGTATAACATGTTTGATGAACAGGATGCGATTTTCACGTCTTATGCTGATTTGGAAAGTGATGAAGCTAAAAGTTCACTCTTTGAAAACTTTTTTGATTGGGGTGCTATAAATCGCATTCTTCGAGAGCAAAACCTGAAGCCCGGATATTTGTTCAATTACACAAACCAATATGACCTGAAGTTTCTTGGTGAAAAAGTTCAAAAGAAAGAAACGGAAACAAAAAGTAGACATGATGAGATGCCCGAGGACCAAACGGAGGATCAAAAGTCTGAACTCTTCAAGAATAAAAACGATATTGTGTCAGAGATTAATGATCTATACGGACACATGAAATCCGAAAAAAAAGAGTACGCAGAGTTATCTAAACAACTTCAACCAGAAGAGTCAAAAAGAATGGATTTAGGAAGATATTTTCGTGCTCAAGAACGACATAAGGTCTGGGATGATTACCTTTACCAAGACTTAAAAAAACAACGATTGGTGCGGAATAACATCTACAAGTGAATGAAACGATTAAATTCTTCGATTAAAGCCAGCGGACAGAAATTGTATACTTTAAACAAAATGTTACACAGTCAATCTATTTCCGTAAAGCCCAAATCACGATTAGTAGTTTCAAACGAGCTGAGAGAAAGACTAAAGAAGGATATAGTGCTCGTACAAGGAATAGATCCCGGTATTGTAACAACAGCTTCGATCAATTGTGTAAAAGCAGGTACTCTCTTCGAATCGATAAATAGATTTTATATGCTTGAAAATGAAGTGTCAGATATCCAACACAGCCAAGTTTGTGATTATTCATACGTACATACCGCAAGCAAGGTGAATGCAGCTGCTTTAGCTACAAATCATAGAATAAAAAGAGAGAAAAGACAAAAAGAGGGAAAGACGGAAAAACCAATTTCTCTGGAGAGGAAACGTGTGACAAGAAAGATAAGGACTAAGCGTTATCATAAGAAGAATTGCAGCAGATACAGATCTGGCATGTTTAAAAGCCATGTATTAGATGTAAGAGAAGGCTCAGTACTGACTTTTGTGGGGGATTGGTCTAGAAATGGGACATACATTCGAGGACATGAACGAAGAAGCTTAGATCCAGTTTTGAAAAGGCTTAAATGTGTTGAAAAAGACGAAACATTTATTGTAGATGAGTACAAGTCAACAGTTAACTGTAGCTCTTGCTTTGAGCCTACAACAAAACAAATAATACGGGTAGGAGACCATGGAAGAAAAAGGATTAAAGGTGCCGTGACCTGCACAAACGAGATCTGTCCCAGAAGATTGTCCTCTCGTTCTTCCACAATTAATAGAGACCAAAACGGCGCCATGAATATTTGCTTTGATTGGTTTCTGTCCTCTTGTTTCTGAAGACGGCCTAACTTTGCCACCGTTCCGAAGAAGCAATAATAATTCAAACAAGTATGAGATATCAGAAATACGTACTTTTAAGCTTTATACTAACAGTTTTGCTTAAAAGGTTTCACTTGTCGAAAAACTTCCAGCGCACCAGTCTGGCGACGTTGCGGTCTTCGGGTGTTCCCGACAACTAAATTTAGCGGATGTCCCCCAGACATGTATTCCGCATCATTTCCAAACACCCGGTACAACCACTTGAGAAGAAAAATCTTATTAAATGTGTAAAGGTTTTCACAACAAAACCCATCTGTTAGTGAGCACCACGTGTAATAAATTAAATGTCAATACTCTCCATGCCAAGAGTACAACAAGCACGCGAATGCGCGGGGAGTTTGTGTGAACAAGAGGTCCCCCACCGCTTCTGATAGAAGGCAATAATTGTAAAGAAACCTTCATGCCAAGAGATCAACGAGCGCGGGCAGAGCACTTTGTATCAAAAGAATTCACTTGCTTCTGTTAGTGAGCGCCATGTGTTGGCACTCTCCTTACCAAGAAGACAACAAGTTCACACAAATTAAGGGGGGAATAGAGAAGCCTCATCTACTCCTGTTAGCGGTAAAATTAGAACAAAAGTAAGTAAAGATGTATCTAAATAGCAATTTTTTTTTTTAGACAAATTCATACACGTATGTTATTTGATAGGCTGTTAAATAAACTGAAGAAAGAGATAAATAATCGAGTCATGAAATACACGTTCCTTAAGAAACAAACCTAAATATATTTTTTTTTTGATTTGGGGTTTCATACTGGTAAACATCTAATTATAACCCGACTTGATGACGACCTTGGGTATAACATAACCGGTTTTCTATTTAACCACGTCCTTATATAAGGCTGTAAGGTTGATGAGTTGGTGTAGGCTACAGAAAGATGCTTATTAAATCAGGTACCATTAATTAAAATAATTCGGTGGTACATTACCTTTTCATAAAGCCTTCATTTAACATTGAACTGCCTGTAACCATCGCTCTCTTCGGGATGCTTTACATCTAATCTATGATTTAAAGTTGAAATCACCATTATTGACTTTGGTAATGCAAGCAACACCTCTTATCAATTTAGAAGTAGCCTGTCAACACCGACGAATATTTTCACGAAAAAGTTTATCAGTGACGGCTCTCTGTCTTGACAATGCGTAAATCAGTGACAGGTTAATGATGAAGGCAATGATAAGAGGATAAATAAGCCTTTGTTGGGTATGTACAATCATTAAGTTTTGGCTGTATTCTCCCTTTTCGTGAACATACTTTGTCTCGATAGTTGAATCCATTATGTTTATGTAGCCAGACTCGTGTAAATGCTTTATATTACCTTGCCTTACAGAAGAAAGGTTTTAAACAAGCCCAGACTCTATAACTTCTTTTTAATAATGCACAGTAACACATGCTGTCAATTTACACGAACAGAGTGCATTTAGTAGAAGATGTTCCCATGACTTTGTTCTTTCAAATTGCTATTTCTGTATGTACATCTTTTTGCTTAAAATAAAAATATAGTCAAGATAGGGGGTACATTGAATCACATGGTACTAATCAAACGACATAACGAAACCTTATTTACGAAAACAGCATCTAAAATAGACATATCTTTTAATAGATGGTGAAAAATATTTTTAGTAATCTAGACCGATAAGATATTCTGTCTGTCCCCCGTTGTTACATTCACCATAACGTTAACTTTATTAATTCCCTTTAACTTTACAAGTTATGTATGTATCATAAAGTATGGTTATTAAACATTAAAGACCGATTCTTCAATGACGGTATAAGCAGTATCGGTCTAAAACATGATTAGACCAATAAAACATGTCACGGTGAATGTTAATAGTACTCTTGATAGAAGGAGCTCGCTCGTGATTGTTATTTTTGTTCTGTTTACAGTTTAAGCTGAAATCGGTCAAGGTGAAGCATATTATGTCCATTAATACACGAAACGAAGCTGCTGAATTAAGCCTTGTCTTATTTGTCCAAAGTTTGACAACTAGATCCTCCTTCTTTACTTTAAGAACATGGCCCATAAAATCCTTCGCCCTGATGAAGAAGTCAAAAGATATCAGGCGATCTTGATCCTTAGCTTATAATCCTCATATGCTTCTTCGTGCTGGTGAGTTTTTTCTCGAATAAAGAACTACATTGATACATCGCAGTAGTTTCTGATAATGTGTTCATTATACTGCTGGATTTTCGGTTTATTGGGAGATGTTAAATAAGCAGTTGGATGGTACAGGGTAAGCTTTTTTTTTTTTTTTAATATTTTCCAACGTAATTCTTTTTTTTTGAAGCAGCAGCAGCAGCTCATCGTAGACCGTGGCCATCATCTCGTATAAAAGGTTCCGATGACCACGTAATTCCTAAGAAGTAGAAACACAAGCTGACTTTACCTCCACAAGATTCCACTTTCCAGGTTTTGAAAAGCTGACCTAAGTAAGTAATAAGGTCTGTTTAATAACTTGGATTCCAAAGGTACATTTTCTTGTTACGGTTTGGACGCTTGCTTGAACCCCTTGCTAGATAATATGAAGCAGTGCATCGTACTTACATTCTGCCAGTAGCTTCAATGTATCGTTCAAGGAATGATTGATGTTTTCTCTATCGAAACCACTACTGGACTCAATAAAAAACTCTTCGTTATCAGTAATTGCGCTGTTACTAGGGCATCAGCCAATTTAATTTCTTTATTATCAGATACAAAGTTGTTTTTCTCAAGAGCTGCCCGCCTGTCGGTCTCTATGCACTTCCCATCACAAGAACCCCCCCAAAAAAAAGCCTAATTCTTAGATTTCGGGTAAGTGTCAGACAAAAAAAAAAACGTTGTTTCATTTTTTTTTCTTTTAAATCACGGCAGGAGATGGCTCTGATATCAAGGTAAAGCGAACGACGAGGGGACTTGAGGACGAAATGTCATTAACCTATCCTCAAACTTTAAATTGGTAAGCCAGCTTACTTGCACCATGGGTAGCCTCTCTTTCAAAACCATCAAGCCCTAGATTTGTTAAGGTAGTACCGAGTATCCATGCTTTTGCGTACGTAGAGCGACGTGCCTGTGCGACCTTACTTTGAATTTTTGGCTGGGCGATTTTAGCTTCCTTGTAGTACAACTTAATATGATTTCTTGCTGGCAAAATATCCATAAACTGACCTGAGGTATTCCTTGATCATGGCTGGTAGTATGACAGGATTCCCAGTACTTGCTAATCGGTAAAAGGTAGACTTGATATGGTCGTAAATATTGTCGGCATCCTCTTCTAGCAATACATCCTCCGGAGGATTACCAATAGGAGGGCTTAAATCGCCAAAAGTGTTGACCGGTGTTATCAAGAGGAAACTATGATTTAACACCTTTCCTCAAATTCACACATACAGATATATCTTTCTTTTTTTTTTTTTAAAAAAAAAAAAGGCTAACACCTTTGTCACATGAATTCTCAAGTGTGTCCCTTTTTTACATGTGTAATTGTGATTTCGACCTCTGAAGAAACGACGACTGTTGGCTTCACTTAATTTTTTCCGCAGGAATAAGGAAATAAACTGAGAAAAAAAGACAGACACCAAACGGTGATAAAGAAAGGCTGCGGTTTTTTTTGTTAATATCTGTGATTAAGATCATAATAGAGAAATAATGTGACCCTTTCGAAAATTCCCAGCCTAAAGTTGAAAACCCAACTTGGGAGCAAAAAGACTAGCCGCAGTCGTAGTAAATCACGGATATCTTGTGAAAAGTGACACACACCTTTTTTTTCAATTGTGAGAAAAGCAGGTCATACAGTGCGTCCACTCTCAATTTGCCGAATGTTTGAAAAGACCGCCCACTATTTTGAAAAAATTTGCGCACCTATGCGAGGCTAAATTGCCCATACAAAGGAGACTAGTTTGGTCGGATGTTTGAAGCTAATTTAACCAGTTTTGGGAAATAAACTGACCATATTTTACAAATAGTTTGACCAATTTCTGTTCAAATAAATTACAAAGATTCTTTATTTAAGCATTCAGAGAAACAATTTATGGAATGCTGAATGAAATTCTGCAAATGTTCAACCGGAATATCTTCGCTTCCTTCGATAATTCGTGAGGTGAGATCTTCTACATCATTCGACTTGTTTCTTCTGACTCTATCCTTCAACACTTTCCAAAACTACTCTATGGGATTAAGCTCTGGAGAATAGGGAGGAAGATACACGGGTATATAACCCCTCTTGATGATTATAGGATCGACAACAGCTTTACCATGGATAGGAGCGTTATCCATTACAAGATGAAATCCCTTCATGTAGTAATACTCATCCATAATATCCATTGTGTCACTAATAAACTGAAAATAATATCTAGTTGTAGTTCCCTTAGGAATTGCTTTAACTGCCGCATCAGTCGCTTTGCGCTTCTTGGCACCGTCGACCTTTCTCTTCTTCGCATTTCCTATATCTCTTAAAATTATTCTCAAAAAAGTGGGCGGAGTTTTCAAACATTCGGTAAAATGAGAGTGGAAGCACTGTATGTTAATATTGTCTTGAAGAAATAGAGTCATTATAAACTAGCCTTATTTTATGATTATTTTCCTTCATAAAGATAGCATTATACATGAAAAAGGGGAGGTAAATAGTATGTGAACGAGTTTTATTTAAATAATGATAAACAAGGGCTGGTTTGGTTCATGTCAGGATGAGATAATTGAATTATTTAAGCATGCATAATGTTTGAGCCTTTACTTATCCCCCTTCCAGCATTTCGTTTATGCCATAGTGATTATTTCACATGTACAACCCTTCCATAGCATAATGACAAAACGAGTATTGCTTTTAAGGGCAATATTAAACGCAATTATTTTATTTTTAATCGGGTGCTATTAATTGATATTTATACGATGAAGGTTTTATTCCTCAGTCAGTATGAAGTAAGGTTTAGAGAGAGAGAGAGAAAATAAAATAATTTATTGACGAGCTTCAAGCTTTTCGACCTTCTTGTTGGCACGACGCTCACGGACGGCCTTGTTCTTGGCACGGAGAACATCAGCTTGTTCAGCAAGAGTCTTAGCACGGACCTTTTCGGCCTTGGCCTTGTGGATGTGTTCCATGAGGACACGCTTGTTCTTGAAACCGTTACCCTTGGACTTGAGGTAAAGATGATGGTAAAGATGCTTATCGATCTTACCGGCTTCTCTGTACTTGGCCAAAAGACGACGGAGGACACGCATACGTCTCATCCAGATGACTTGGCTGGACATACGAGCATCGGCAGTACCCTTTCTCTTACCGTGACCCATATGACGACCGTTACGCTTGGCAGCAGCACGGACGAGAACACGGAAACGAGATTGAGAGACCTCAGGCTTACGGATAATCAAACCATCCTTAACGAGCTTACGAATGTTGGCACGAGAGTTGGCGTTGGCAATTTCATTGACCTCATTGGGATCCAACCAGATTTTACGCTCACCACACTTGAGAACGGAAGCAGCTAAACGCTTTTGAACAAGAAGACTAACCCTGTATTCATCTTTGTTAGTTTATATGTAATCAAAAAGGGGGATTTTGAAGAGAAAAAAAATTTTTTTTTTCTTCCTTCTGGTCCGGTCATTGTCCGGTACTTACATTTTGATTTAAAAGTAAAGATTTAAAAGAGGAGGAGCTCAGGCTCAGGCTTTTCAAGCTCCTAATACGTTTGAAAATCGAATTTATCGCATTTTCATTGGCTAATCAGGTTCATCTTCAGTCGAGCCTTACACAAAATGCATCCGTCTAATTCATTGGATGGATTTGCATCCACTTTTTTTGCATCCGTTTTGTGATTGGATCACCCGTTTATTCATTACTTTCATCCCGACAGGAAACTGCTGTGCACGAGTTATATCTAATTTTGTCATGCTAATGGGCATATGGGGATATGAGTAGACTTGATATATAAGATAGACTGATTTAGAGTAGTAATGTTTAGTGGTGTAATAGCATAGTTTGCACATTGAAAAACAAGGATTCTCTATCACCTTACAAATCATATTTGCCTATTCAACATGCCTGTCTATTTAACTTTCTACATGTGTTGAGCTTGTAAGGCAAAAGTACAGCAAACAAGCCAACTGAAAAATAAAAGCACACTATTAAATTATAGCAGTAAAATTTAATATAGCCAATGCATCAATGAGGAGACCTATGATGATGGGAGATGCAGACAGTTAAAGTCCAGTTTGTGGATATTATTATTCACGTCACACCTGGGTTAATTTGCGATTGTCCCTGTATATGAATTTATTTACAGCTTTGTTTTTTTCCTTTTCGTGATGCCTAGATTAGTACCTTTGTTAAGTGGATTAGCTTTAGCTACTGCCATTACCTATAAGGTTGGAAACGATCTTCAAAAGGACCAGAGCGAGATTAAGAACCGTTTAAACTCTGCAAAGAACACACTCGAGAGAGCAGTGGCTGAAGAGCAATACAGCCGAGGACCTTCTTATTTGACCGACTCACAGAAATATGTGTCTGATAGACTTGTCCCTTCAGGTACGTTATGGGTTATAAAAAATCGATGATTAAGAAAAAAAAAGTTAATATGATAATGTAGTCAAGGATTCTTGGAACAGCCAAATCATGAATGCATCTCAATCCTTAGTCAAGGTGGACATTGGATCCAAGGTGAAGCAACTTTGGGACACTTATACCAAATAAAAATTAAATAGACTGCTGACCTTTCATCATGTGATCGCAATCGTATTATATTTATTTTTAATTTTTACATTATTTTCCCTCCCTTTTTTTTTCCTTATTTTAAACCAAAAATGAATGAAAAGAAACAAGATATTGACAGTGATTATGGAATTCTAAGTATGGATGAGGGCAGTAAGCTATTTAATAGTGCTACGACGGTAAACAAGCAATGTGACAATTGGGTAGCACCAAAGCTCAAGTCACTACCGATAACACAGCAAAGCTCCAGTCACTTTAAGATCATGGTGTGTGGTGATTCAGGTAAGATTAATAAAGCCTGGATTTCAATAGGGACTAAAGATGATGATGATGGTGATGGTGATAGGCATTGGCAAATCAGCTCTTGTACAGGCCTTAACAACAGTAGTAGAAGAAAGGAGCAACGTAAAGAATAGTTATTCTCCCATTGAAGTATATATACCAGAGACAGATACTTGTATAGTAGATACCTGTGGTTATGGTGCCTCAATAAGAGTAAATATCATCCTTATTATTTTTAAATCTATTTTTTGTTTTTCAAACAAACAAAAAAAAAAACCCCCCAAATGTATTTTAGGCAGAAGTGATCTTTTCTCATGTAAAGAGCTATATTGAACAACAATTCGAAAAGACCAATAGTATCTTTAGTTCAAACTACGGGAATGATGACAACTTGACATATATGACTTTTCAAGCCAGTGATATTCTAACGCATGTGGATGTGTGTCTCTATCTGATCATGGGTAGACTCAAGCAAGTGGACATTGAATACATGCGATCAATACATCACTTGGTTAATATTATACCCGTGATTATCCAACCTGATTTATCATTAAGACCTGAATGGAGAATAGAGCAGAAACTAGCCATACTACAAACATTGAGTGATCACCATGTTAAAATCGCCTTACTTGGATATGAAGATTACGAACATTTAATAGATTCATGTAAGCAACCATCTAAACACCCACATTGCCCGCCATTCATGTTAGATTGGTCCACAACCAAACATAAACGGACATTTCATGGATTATTACCATTAAAGCAGAGTTTATTTCAGTATCAAAACCGACCATTAAAATATATCACCACACAAAAATTCATTCATTGGAGAAGCACTAGAAATATATCAGCATCAGCATCATCATCATTGTCACTCGTGTCTCCAAATTCATCACAGGAACATTTGAAAAATATTCGAATTTCTCAATATGTTACGGAAAGACGTCATAGCTTAAAGACGGAAATGTTGAATCAAGAACAAAAACTGATACAAGAGTTTGAGATATCAAGCAAGCAGAGAAGAACTGCCTTGATTCTAAAAGAATTGCATTTGCTTGTGAATCAAGAACTTGTGCATCCACCCATGACTCATTCCCCGTATTGGATTTTTCTATCTATTTTATTATCAATATTTATTTGCTATCAAAATAGGAATTTGATAATCCATGTGTTTCTGTCCAATGATATCCTAATAAAATGGCGATAAAGAACTAAAAGCAGTCGTCTTTTAATTACTGCATAAAAACCTTAGTCTTCTCTCTTTCCTTTTTTTTTCTCTTCTTTTTTTTTTTTTCTAAATGAAATGCCATTGATACAAGAACAACTTGAAAATTATTATGATTCACTTTATCATCTAGCTCAATTATCCGTCTATAAATTAAATAATCCCACAGAAAAAGACCCTACTCTCAGACGTCAATTATTCGTACGCAACTTGTTCATATTATCATCTAACCTCATCACAACTACACAAGAAGATGTCTGGCTGGATGCTTGCTTTGATGAATTAGATAGAGATGAAGACTCTGTCATGGAAGAAAAGGAGAACCTTGTCGTCGTAGCTATCCCAATTAATCAGCCTATTAGAAAGTCCCTTTTTCTACTGTAATATACCAATCTCTTTCTTTTCTTTTTACATATACACATATATACACAACAACAACAACTTAATAAAAAAAAAAAAGGATAATTATAAAATCGTTTATTTGTTTTCATTTTTTTTTTTTTTTTTTTTTTTAGTTTTCATGTTGCTCCTAATGATAATAATAATAATAATAATAATAATAATAAATGTGAGAATATAATTCTAAATTAAATCTTATTTGTTGCTTACCATTTCAACAAATCCGAGTGCATTCTCCTTGGTAGTTGCATGAATACGAGACACCTTGCCTTGGAAAGTAACACCATAAAACTTGTTTGCATTTGTCAAGAGCTCAGAACGGAAAGTGGTTGTAATAAACTGAGCATTTTCTGACATTTTATGAATCATATCTAAGACAGGATATATTTAGTCTCATTAATTTTTTTTTTTTTTTTTTTTTTTTTTTGGTTCCTCTTACCCGCAACAGCTGTTCTATATTGTGCATCCAAATTTGCATCAATCTCATCAAAAAGATAAAAGGGTGCAGGATCGCATCGTTGAATAGCAAAAATTAATGCCAAAGCAACGAGTGATTTTTGACCACCCGATAATTGTTGCATGATCATGCCTTCATCCGATTTGCTGTTGAATGACACCTATCACGTTTTGTTACTGATTAGTGAAATAATAAAAAATAATTAGAAATTTATGTTTTTCTGGTACCTGAATTGATATGCCGCTATAACGATCAATTGATACTCCGTCTACCTCCATATCTTCAACCTAAACACATTTGTTCAGTACGTAGAATTTGATCTTTTATTACAATACTTACATCCGATGACTTCATGATAAGCGCACCCTTACCAACAGGCACAAGCAACTCAAATACTCTGGCAAAATGGTTCGCAACATCATGGAAAGTACGTTCAATTGCCTCATTCTTACGACGATCCAAGGAGTCAATCAACTCACTAATAGACTAAAAAAGAAAAAAGAGGGAGGGCATCAGTTGATTAATTGATATAAATATTTGTTGTTTGTTTTAATTACCTCGCCTGATTTGTCCAATTCAGCTTTACGTGTTGTTAGTTGTTCGCGTTGTTTAGTAAATCGACCGTATTGCTCATAGGCCTTTTTATTGACATGATTGTATTTCTTCAACTTTTCATTGGCACGATGTAATCTTCTTAACAGTTTCTCAATACGTTGGTTGTTGTATTTCTCAAACGCTTCATCAGGTAACACACCAAGATCACGAATATTGGCGTTACATTCTTCCTTCTTTTGTGAAAGTAATGATCTCTTTAACAAATTCTCCTCCAACTTCTTTTCTTCACGACTAATACCTTGTGTAATTCTCATTTGAACCTCCTAAAAAAAAACACAACTGGATTAGAATTCAAAATGATTAATACTTTTTTTTTTTTGCAGAATTTACAATAGCCTCTTCTAATACGGAACTAATCTTAATATCTTCCTCTTGTAATTTGTCAACTTGGCTATCCAAATCTAGTTATATTGAATTATTAGTCCATCCTCTAAGCAACATCATTATTTATGTGTACATACCCCCAATTGTCTTGTTTACTTTCACGAGTTTCTTTAACGCAATCTTTAACTCATGCTTTCTTCTCATCAGTTCATCAACACTACCATGTGTCATCACTCGTTCTTTTTTGCTTTGTAATTCCTCCTTTTTACGCAAAAGTTCGTTATCTAGACTATCACGCAAGGAATTGATACGATCTTCGACCTATTAAAAATAACATTAATCCCATGACCACCCTTAAATGTTCGCTTCTAGACTTTAATACCTCTCTTCTCTTTTTAGCTGTTTCTACAAGTTGCTGGCTGATTTGCTCGATAGCAGTACTGTTTCTCTTTAAAATTTCGTCTTCTTGACTTTTAATTAATTCGGTCGGTTCGGAAGCAAGTTCGTTTTGATACGCCATTAATTGTTTTTCGAGCAATTGTCCATGAACACGAATATTATCAATAGCTCTAGTCTAAAAAAAAAAAAAGAGAGAAACAGGTTAAGCCTATTTGAATCATACATTTGCTATTTCAATGGTATTACTTTGGATGCGATGGCGCTCTTGAGAATATCCTCTTCTTTTCTCAATTTGATCTCGAGGTTTTGAGAGTCGTCATTGAATGCAATCTTTTTCTTTTGATGTTCCAAAGTCTGCAAGTTACTAACAATACTTGTGACCTTTTGATCCAATTGCGTAATTTCTTGCTTGATTTTTTGCCCACGGAGTTGCTCCTGTTCGAGCTTCTTTTGCCACGTACGAAGACTCTTAGCAGCACTCAGACGAGAACGCTTGGTGTCAATGTAACCACCAGACATGGCACCACGGCCATCTACACGGTTACCTTCAGCTGTGACTACTGTAAGGCGATAAGACTTTGCATAGCTTGCTGCAACTTCCAGAGTACGACAGAGAACAACACCACCAAACACTTGTTCCATTGCAGTTTGATATTTGGAATCAAATTGAAGCTGACCAATCAATGGAACTGCATCGTCCTTTTGGGGATACTCGACATGTCTAGGCTTAACACGGTTTAAAGGGATAAATGTGACTCTGCCAGCACGCTCCTTGCTCATGATTTCCAAGAGGCGGGAAGCAGTTTCATCCGTATCAACGACGACATGGAATAAACTAGCTCCTACAGCAACCTCAACAGCTGTTTCAAGTTCTTGCATGACCTGGAACAGTTCAAAAACAGGGCCGTGAACACCTTCAATACCATGCTCTCTCACAATACGGTTGATCGAAGCCAATCCAATACTTGTATTTTTATCCATCGAATTAGCTAACGTTCTTTCAGACTTGCGAATTTCATCAGTACAGTTACGAAGTACAGATTCCATTCTGGCTTCTTCACGCCAGAGGGCCTTTCTAGCTTCTGTAGCCTCGTCACGATCAATCTTTAATTGAATCCCTTGACTAGCTAACTTCTCGCGTTGCTCATATCGAGCCACGTTTTTTAACTTGAGCTCTTGCACAGTCTTGGCCTTAAAAACGATGTTGGCTTCAGCTGCTTTCTTTTCCTCTTCCAGCGTAATGAGCTGTTGTTGACGTACAGTCAAGTTGTTGGTGATGTCTTGGATTTGAGATGTTAACCATGTATCACGGTCTTGTTTCGTAGTAAATTTAGAAGATCTGGCCTGTTTAGCATAGATATGCTGTTGCTCGGCTTGAAGTGTTCTCATTTCTGTTCTCATTCTTTGACCAGCTTCAGTAAGTTGAGAATACTGAGGAGTGATTTCATCCACTTCGGCTTGCTTAGCAGCAATTTCGTTATCCAATTGTTGTAATTGAGTGTTGACAGTAGCCTACGACATGTGAGTGAAAAATTATTCAGATGCGTTTTGCAATATCAATTTCCCATTTTTACCTTGTATTCCTCTTCAGACATTTGAGAATCTTCAAGGTCCTTGACCAAAAGTTCAAGTTTAGCTCTTATCTTCATCAAATGTTCACGTTCGTCTTGCAGATCCTTCTTTTCGGCTTCAAAAAGTTGAACGTTTTGTTGAATATCACGCAATCTAGTATTGTGTTGCTACAGAAGGAGTCATTTAGCATATATAGCGCGCCAACGCCCCCTTCTTCTTTATTACCTGAACGGTGTCGTCATTCTTGATATAACTTTCACGAAGACTGTTACTATTGCTGATATATCTTCTTCTATCCTCTTCAAGATCTTCCAACTTTCGATTAGCACTGGATTGTTCACGAGCATAAATCGTGTACTCGATGGATCTACGATCTTTATCCAATTCGTTGTATTCAGAAAGCTCGGTTTTTTCACCGTCAAGTTCGAGTAATCTATCTTGGATGTAAGTTAAAACTTCCTCAATCTTGGCACGCTTGGTTTCTGTAAAAATAAAAATATAAATCAGTAAATCTGTTTTTTTAAAAGTATGAGGTGGATATTTGTAATTACGTGTTTCCTGCATAAGCTTGTTACTCTCAGCTCTCTTTTGTTCATACACACGAGTACCGGCAATTTCCTTGAGGAGCTTTAATCTGTCCTCGTCTTTTGCCATGGTCAATGAGTTAATCTAGAATAGGATTTTTTGTTTTAGAAATTAAGTCTACAGAAAACAATGACATCACTTACTCTTCCTTGAGGAACAATGTAATAAGGATTGGCACGAGAAAAGCCGGCACTTTCCAATAAACTCATGACATCAGTCTTACTACGTAAAAGAGAAAGATCAGTTCCTGACTGTTTGTTTTCAAAATCCCCATGCTCCCAACATACGTAATAGTTTTTCTATCGAGAGAGTATTCATCAAGGGTTAAACCGATACTTCTACGCAAAATAACTTCGCTTTTTCCAGTCTGTAAAGTATTGTTAGCAAAGGGATCGTTTTACTGGAAGGCTGTTTCGCGTTTTTTTCTTTTTTTTTTCTTACAGGAAATCGGTTATCGGCATTATCGAAAATAATCTCTACAAAAGCAGAAATGGTAGCTGCACCGACACCTTCCTATATACATTTGAATGAGTATAATGGTATTGTGCGTTATGAATATAACGTACATGGAGTAAAGCTTGTCTTTCTTCTTTACTCAAACTTTGGTAGGCGTCACCCAATACAAAACGAATGGCTAATGAACGTTAGTAATCGTACCTTTTTTAATATATCATTTATTTTGTTTAATTACCAGCAAAGAAATTACTCTTTCCCGAACCATTTCTACCGACTATGAAAAAAAAAAAGAGTATTAATAAACGATAACCCAAGCTTTCTGGTTTAGCGTCTTTTTTTTTTTACCAACAACGTTATGCTGAGGACTAAAAGGGTCAATTGTTGTTTGGTCCTTGTAGGACTTAAAACCTTGAATAATGATCTACGTCTCTATTAATACAAAGTTGAAGCGTTGTAGTTTTCATTGTTGTTTACCTGTTTAATATGCATTAAAAGCGATCTAAAAGGTAAATGAGGAGGAGAAAAGAAAAAATATCGAGTGGAAATAAAAAAATATATATATCCAGATACAACGCGACGGTCCCGCTGGAGACGCGATGGGCGCGAAAAGGTCACAATGTCGGGGCACATAAACATTGGATTGCCGCCTTCGTCTTCTGTCCCTGAATTAACATCATTTGCAAATGTTAATAGAGAATTGAATATACCTTTCGGACAGCAGTAAAAACACACAGATATAAATTTAAAAAATATTTTCATTTGAAGGCTTGAAAAGCATTTATCCAATACGTTTTACAGTGTCTGCAATCCACATTAACAGTTTCTCAAGCTATATTCTGGGTCTTGTTGTGACAGGATTCTTTGTTTTCATAGTTAATCTCTCAAAAAATTTGGGCGTAGTACCAACACACATCTATCAAATATTGGTTTTTAGACGAAGCAGTATTTTTTTGGAATCGTTATGTTATGGCTGTAAGTAATGATTACGCCTGTTATTGCTCGATCCACCTGGGATGGCTAAGGCAGTGATCATCTGTCTTTAAGACAAAGCACCACCTCCAATGTGGTTTGTCTCTGCTCACCCCGGCATATTAAAAGATCGTCGTTATAGTTAGACTAAAAACATCTTTTCATCCACTAGACTAGGTTATTAAGAACTGGATTTCTGTTGAAATATTGGAAACATTACTAGACTTCGAACTGTGCTATTATTCGTAGAATATGTGGCATTCATTTATCAACAGCATAAAGTTTGGCTAAAAGTATTAAATAGCTGACAGAAAGTTAGACAACAAGGGCAGATTTTGCATAAGAGCAGTAGTGTAAATCACAAGCGCGGCTTTTTATCCTGTAATTAACATCAAGATTTATTTGCAATATTCTGTTTGCGTTGTCTGATTGAACTTCTATTAATATCATGAATTTAAATATTGTGGCGGATATCAGTAACAAAAGACATTGGATTCGGATAATGCAAATCTGTTCATATCAGGCCTCTGTGTATGTTTTTTACACACTTGCAAAAAAAAAAGAGATAAGAAGGGAGATCTTGAAACATCTAGAAACTTAGTGTCACCTGGCGCTACCAAATTACTGCGGTTAAGAACCGGTGACATGGCACGTCTTGATACAGGTTCTTATCTACATTTTGAGTCTGCTGTTTATGTCGATATAAACAAATTTATTAAAAGAGCCCAAACTGAAATAGTTTTAGTGATAAAATATGTTTTAGATCTATTGTGACATCAAATACAATCTCAAATGTCACCGCCGCTCATTTTAGGCGGTAAAACAATTTCTGCAACCACCATCCTAACATTATGTTATTCTTTTTAAAACACTACAGTATCTTAATTGAAACAACCAGAAACAGTGCAAGTTAGAAAACATATTCATATTAACTTATGAGATAGCCGAGTCCCTAACTTACTGTCATTCCATTGACAACTTCTGAGTTCCAAACGATGCCGTTCGTGGGTAATAAAAAGTGACTTCCAATTGTTATTTTTCTTTTGCCCTGGGAAAATTACTAAAAGTGTAACAATAACAAAAGAAAAAAGAGACGTTTTCTTTTACTATAAATAACACTATGCTTGTTTCTACCTTTTCTAAAAATCTGTTCAAATCATTCCGATTAACTACCCCATATCGATCATTTAAGACAATGCCTCACCAACAACAACATATGTACGATCTGCAAAGTGATACGTCTACGGCGCCTACGGACGAAATGTTTGACATTATGAAGTTAGCAAGTCGTGGGGATGATGTATTTTCTGTAAGAGATATTACCACGTTTATTTTTATGAAACTAATTCCAAATATCAGGAAGATACAAGTGTCAATAATCTGGAGTCATACGTTGCAAATCTTTTAGGCCAAGAAGCTGCATTATTTTGTGTCAGTGGGTGCATGACAAATCAACTTGGTCTTCGCTTGTTACTGACACAACCACCCCATTCTGTCTTATGTGATGCAAGAGCTCATGTATATAACTATGAATGTGGTGGTATTGCCTATCATTCACAAGCAAGTGTCTCACCCGTCATGCCAAAAAACGGTCATCATTTAACAGTTGAAGATATTGCCTCTAATTTAATCACCGATACGCTTTGCTCACCTGTCACCAAGGTAGTTTCCTTGGAAAATACATTAAATGGCACCATTATGCCATTAGCCGAAATTAAACGCATTCGGGAATTCACAAGTAATAACGGATTAAAATTACATTTGGACGGAGCTCGTTTATGGAATGCTAGTCAAGCGACAGGAATTCCTTTGCATGAATACGGTCAACACTTTGATACGATTTCTGTTTGTTTATCAAAGGGCGTGGGAGCCCCCATCGGTTCTATTTTGGCTGGATCAAGGGAAAATATTCAGCGTGCTCGTCACCTTAGAAAGTTAATGGGCGGCGGTTGGAGACAAGCAGGACTCTTGGCTGCTGCTGCTAAATATTGTATAGAAACTGTTGTACCTACCATGCCTGAAACACATCGTCTCGCAAAAGAACTCGCTTCTTCGTTTGAGAAGTTAGGCATGACTTTGAGTATGCCTTGTGAGACCAACATGGTTTTTATTGACACTGCTAATGTTCGTTTGACAGTTGATGATTTGCATCATGCCTTGAAGGCAAAGAACATTATCATCAGTAGCGGATCAGGTACTCAAGCAAGAATAGTATTACACTATCAAATCACCCAGCATGTTATCGATACAGTAATTCAAATTACTACTGATTTGGTTGAGCAAAGAAGATTAGATCCTACACCCACTCGCACTGTACAAAATAATACACAAAATAACTCGGTCTATCCTACCAAATAAAACATATATATTGATATGAAATGCAAATGAATTTATTACTGGATTGTTTTAAAATGGAATAATAATGAGTATGGGGTATTCGTATTTAATATGACGAGTTTTATGATAGTGGACAATGGCTTTCATGAGAGAAAATAGAGACATCAACTCCACAAGATGGGCAAAATGTGGTTTGGCAAATAAAATTTAGAGTTTGAGAGCATTTGGCATGTTTTACTTGGCATTGGTATAGCTTATTTTGTGTAGTACTTGGGGACTGTTGTGTATGCTTGGCTTGTAAAGTGTTTGTTAAAGGGTAATCGATCATTGAAATGTTTATTTAATTGTCCCAAACAAAAAAAAACAAAAAAAAAAAATGGCTAAAACCTCATGCCCTTTTATATAAAATGTTTGTTAATTAGAACGCGTTGAATGGTTAGTTGTAATGCACCAATCAAGCAATAAATTTTGAAACCAACGAGAATAAAAGAAAAAAAAAAACCTATTTTTTTCTTTGTGTGACGCATGAGATTGAAAATATCACACCTGTCCAAAAGGAATGTTTTTTTGTCGATTTTTCTTTTTCGGTTGATTTTATGGGATAATTTCTACCCATCTGACTATAGAACAATTTTAGTCTTATATTAGAACTTTAAAAGAAGCTACGAATGATTGAATTAACCCGTGAAATTCAGGTACCATTTATAATATTAATGGGATCATTAAATAGTGCATATTTGGAAACCTTAAATCTAAGCATTACTAGCTTAATTTTACACCTTTTGCCAAAATGATGTCGCACGAAAAAAAATTAAAGTGTCGCGCTTTTAAATAAAACAGTGTATAATTCATAAAATACACATCACCTAACAAGCACATAATGTACTCATAAATCATAATTACTAATTCAACAGTAACATTTAAATGTCAAATATCTGATCCATGATTCCTTTATCAATTACTAGCACATTGGCCCTAAGATCTGTATTCAACAGGGTTTCAAAAAATACGGAAATGAACAGAAAGATAATTTGATAAAAATAGGTGTTCAATATTAAAGTTGTTTATTTAATTTGAATTATCAGAATTTGTTTGCTTTGACTTTCTTTTGGTATACTTGATGAATTGTTGGCGTAATGATTCAGAATTTTTATAATTTAATATATTCAAGCCCTTTCCTTCTTTCAAACAAGCGACCCAATCCATTGTTTTCTCTTTCTCCTCTTTCTTTTGTTTAAATTCAGCGACAAATTTCATGGCTTTTTCAAACTTGCTATCGTTCCTGTCAGCTGCAATGATGGGTGTGGATGTTGTTGGTGGTGGGCCACTCGTTTTTTTTTTATTTAATGAAGATTCAGTAATAAATAGTTCTTCATATCCCCTTTTCATCGTCAGAGTTCTTGTCTTTGCATCGTTTACGGCTTCTCCCAACTGTGGTTGACCAAGTGAATGTGCGAGTGTCAATAATTTATCATACTCCATAAGTTGAAAATCCATAAATGAAAGCGGAATATCTTTGTTAATGACGCTAATTTGATGTTGCAATATTGCTGAGGTGTATAAATATTGAACCGTTGGATCATTTTTGAATGGATGATCTGCTAATGAGAGACTACGGTTTGTAAAAAGAGAACCAAGTGCAACTAATGGGTCCAAGGGGTTCGACAGATTATCTTTGGTACTTTCTTTAGAAATAATATAGCAGTGTTCGGCCCATGGTTCTGAAAAGTATGAGAAGACACCTGGGAGCTTGCTTAGTTTCACATGTACATTATCTTGATTAAGCTCCTCTACGCAAATTATCAATATTATAGGATCTTTATGGCATATTGCAAACGCTTGTAAGCAGTAGCTAACAGCTCTTTTCATGAATGCTTTGTTAAATGTATGCTGAATCTCCACGATTAGAGGAGGAAGATCTGAGAGAGCGTTCTTCGGCTCAAGAACCATGTCGGAGCGTGTACCGTCTTTCCTTTCGCAGTTTCCAATGAAATAATCGTCTGTTGTTTTTACCAGGGATTCAGTGATGAGATTTATGACTTTAGGATCTCTTAGGGCTTCTTTGGCCATGCCGAAAACTATGGCAAACTAGATTATTTAGAGGAAGTAAAAGTCGTAACAAGGTTTCCGTAGGTGAACCTGCGGAAGGATCATTAAATAATTTTTAATTTATTCTTCAGAATATCATTATATATTTTACTGTGAACTGTATTATTTCATGACACTTGAGGAATGCTTCTGCTGCACCATAATGGACAGGTCAGTGAAGATGTTACTTTTCTAAAAACATATACGACACTGTTTTATTTAAAAGCGCGACACTTTAATTTTTTTTCCTGTGCGACATCATTTTGGCAATATGGATTAGACACTCAACCTATGAAAAACTTTCTTGTAAAAATAGCCCTATCCAATGAGGCTTTTTTGCTGACTACCATATCAAAAAAAGCTCTTTTTTTTTTTTCAATGTCAGGGTACCTCCACTTGATTGTTGCTCAAAAATCAATTATAGAAAATAACTTTTGGCTTTGAAATATGATCTCTTACTGTATCTATTGTAGAATCGATTGATAGATTGATAGATTGAAATGTTTATCACAGAAATACGTAGCATTGCTGGTTGCATACCATAAGACTATAATAAAATAGGGCAGAAGCGATGCAAAAGGAGGATATATCTTATAGGTGTCATCTCGTTTAATCTCCACTTGTCCTTCCATATGCTACTTGGTCCAATTATAAAATATCTCATATATAAACTAGCAAATAGTCTAATCGAATAAAATATTAATCGATTTATATAAGTCTACTCACAAATAAGATAAAAATTTTTATACACTAGAACATTTCTATGCTATCCGCATTGAAATATAAATACTATGTACGGACGTAGAAAGAACCGGAGAATATTTGCAAGCGTTTGATACACGCCAGTACCTAATACAATGTGAATGCATCCACGAGGATTAACACATTATATAGGTACGAGAATAAATGCTTCCCTACCGCTCCACTAACCAGTGTGAATTGTGTTAAGAACCCCCATCCTCTCCCCGTATTCCTGCCCCAGGCCCCCATAACATTTAAAGCGAAGAGTACAGTGTCAAGGGCCCACTTGAATTCTTGTATAGAATTGCAGCCTTATGACTGCACAGAATATTTTACACAGTAATAACCAGCGCCCTGAGTTTTTTGTACTGAAACCAACTGTGGCCACCAACCCTCTTTTGTATAATTGATATAGCTCCTTCATACATCTTTATCACTGTGAATATTTATCTTGCATTTTTTTTAGATATTACTCGTCTATTTTTTTTATTTATGTTTTTCCAAAATAGGTGTGTTATTCCTAAAAAAAAAAAAAAAAAAAAAAAAAGGCACCCATCTCTTTATTTAATATCATTTAATAATATAGAGTAGCTTAAATTGGAACAAATGCACCATAACCTTTCATTAATTAATTTGTTCCCGTTAACTGGCGGGAAAAAAAAAGAAAGCCGCTCTAAAATTTACGTATTCAGCAATGTTTAAAACATGTGTTGAACAACATCATTTACAGGGTCTTCCCACTGTTTTAGGGAATAGATTAAAATTAAAATTATTCTAAGTTTGGAACTCTATAATTACTATTTTCTGTTCCGATGATCTTACCTAAGCAGCCCATGTTGCCGAGGCGATTAATCTTCGGTTAACGTAAGTTATAAATATCTATTTGCTCTCGTAATTTCTCTTATTGAGGGCTTCTATTATTGACCCAACATCCCGATAGCCCTTCACTCTCTTATTCCGTTTTCCATGTGCAGTATCTTTAACAAACCTACATTTATGGATTTAAGAGAGATATAATTCCTACCGATTATGGTATATTACCTAACAACCATTAGTTGACCATAGCAGCATTGCGGATACAACAATGATATGAAGGGTCTTGCCAGGAGGAGAACACATGCAATAATAAAACAAATCAAATTCGGCTTTACTGCAAACGATAGCCGAGTTTGTTTTTGACATTGCTTTTAGGATCAAAGCATTTACCTGTTCGTCCGCAATAAAAAAAAAAAATTGATGACCGTCGGATGTTTAAGTAATAAGCGCGTCAATTGAAAATATCGATCACACGCGTATAGTTTCAAATGTTTTTTTTCTCAATTCCCCAAATATTACACAAAAAAAAAATGCTTTCTTCAGGAAAACGCAGTATACACTCACTAGACGAAAAACCCTGCAAGATTCAACAGAAGAATGGGGATAACATGAATAGAGCGCTAAAGATGCGTCATATAAGAAATCAACGCTCTTTTGGTAGAAGCTTGAAAGGTACCCCTGACAAACATTCAGCCAGGAAAAGAATGACAAGAATTTTAATGGTCCTTTTTTATATATTAAAAAGTTTCAGGAAAGCTCATTTTACCATTGTTCAAGAGTCCAAACAACATGATTTATCAGTTTATTTTTCCTGACAGAGAGTTCTGTACACCATTCCAGTGCGATTTCTCGCATCGAGCTTACGATGGACACCTTTTAGCTATTGGTGATGAGGAAGGACGATTATCATTGTTACGGACAGACATGGATAACGATGTTCGGAACCAGGAACATCATGTCTCGTTTTATTGTCATAAACAAACGATATCTGATGTCAAATGGAGTGCTGATGATTCCATGTTGTTGACTTCCTCTCATGATCGTGTGATTCGGTTATGGGATTCAGAGACGAGGACCAGCCTAGCCGAATTCTCAGGACATACGGACGTGGTAAAGTCTGTAAACTGGCATCCAACAAACGAACGTAAGGGCTTCTGTTTTTTTTTTTTTTTTTTGGTATAATGATGTTAACTTGCTTTTTGTAGATTTAATCATCACTGGATCAAAAGACGGTTCGTTTAGTATTTGGGATACTCGATATCAACAGAAAAAAACAGAAAATATGGGTAATGACAAAATGCGATATATCAATGGCATAATGTTAACATGTGTGTGTATGTGTTTTTTTTATAGATGATGCTTTAAGTATTCCAGTTTATTCCCCAATCTGCAATGTAGCTGCTGCACATAATGATGTCAAAACTGTAACTAAAACATTAAGCAGATCAGGAGTTAGACCGCTGGTAACATTGAAACATGACTGTGCATTATTATTATTATTTTGTTTGCTAAAAGGTATAAACTATGTGTAGTTCATTCGATCCGTAACTTGCGCCGTGTTTTCAGGCAATGACGAGAATAGAGTTGTTACATCAGGCAGTGTGGATGGTTCGATTAAATTATGGGATGTGAGAGCAGGAAGAACGGCTAAAGCAATAGAATCCACCATATTCGAAAATGAGTCTGGAAAGAGACATGGTATTACAGATATGAAAGTTGACAGATCAGGCACACGACTATTTAGCTCTTGCATGGATAATAGTGTATATATGCACTACTTGTCAGATTTAACAAAACCAGCTAGGAAATTTGTGGACAAGGATTACAAAGTAGGCAGCTTTGATATAAGAATAGCACTATCGCCAAATGACGAATTTTTGTTGTCGGGGTCTCATGACCAAGATCTATTTGTTTGGGATGTTGAGGGGACATCGAACAAGGCCTATCAGTATCAAGGTCATTCAAAGAAGGTGACGGGTGTAACATGGAGTAAACGACATTTAAATCAAGTAAGTCTAAAAGTTGCATATAGTAATATTATTATTATTCAACAATACAATTGATAGTTTGCAAGCTGCTCTGAAGATTTCACTGCAAGGATATGGAACTTGGAAAGATAAATTATTTATTTAATAATCATATACCCCCTTTCTTTAATGCATAATTGTAATGTTTCTTCTTTCTTAAATGCAAAAAGTAACAAACTATTGTAATTTATAAGTGTATGTTATGCAGTTAGGAAGACCTTGCAGGCAAATTAGGATTCACGGCACACCTTTTTTTTTTGTGTAATATACATATAAAAAAAAATTAATCCGTGTTGCACATTATATTATCACATGTAAAAATATCCTTACATCCAAATACGAGTTTTGTATATTTTGAATAACTCTCGAACCAACTCTCTAAAATCAATTCTTTTTTCGGCAATGAAGTAGAATGTCAATTTGCGTCTATCCCTATTGTAAATTATAAAATGGTGTTACAACTATTTATATATTTTGCATGATTAAGTGTTACCATTGAAATTCAGCATCTACAACTTCCATTGGTAATTTTCTGTTTTTGATCTTTTGTAAACATACAGAGAGAGCTCTTTGCTCATCTTGATCTTTCACCAACAACATATTCACTTCCTCATGACTGGCTTGTCTATATATTCTTTTAACGTGCGTCTCAGTTGTCTTTTCATTTTCATCCATCAGTTTACTATGGGGTTGTTTTTGTAATAAAACCACTTGGTCTACCGTAAGAACATCAGTAGCGACTTTACCAAGGTCTTTCCCACGATCGGCTTCAACTATTACCAAATCTCCAATACGTAATCTAATTAACGGATCTGATACATAATAATAATCAGTACGACCAGATTTAAATTCTACCATGAAGAGTGGAATATGAGGTGGTAATCTTAGGAGTAACATTCCTTTTCCTACAGATACACCATCTTGAGAAGGTGTACTCACAGATGTATCCGGAGGAATGATTGGTTGCTGTTGTTGTTGTTTGGCTGTAATTGATGAAGATGCTGATGTTGATGCTGATTTGGTAATAGGGAAATTTTTTAATCGTTCTGTAAATTGATTCGCCATCAAGTATGAACCACTGCGATTTATATAAATAAGGTTACTCCTGCATTAATGCTTTAAATTTATCACAAGACTTTTTTTTTTCCCTTGTGTCACTACTGCTTACTTGTTTCCTTTGGGAATAATATCTGGAAAAGAGAATTCTGGTTGAGACATACGACGCTGTTGTGGATTTTTATCGGGTAAAAACGAGACAAATCCAAGAGATGAACGACGACCGTTATTATTATTCCAATATAAAGACGGATTCATACCGAAGGTTGCATTAGACGATTGTGATCGAGCTCGAAGGTAAGCATCGTCAAAAGAATCTAACTCTTCATCTTCTTCCATAGTCGGTGCTAAAGCGCTTCTCGTATTATAATCATCATAACCGAAGAAGTTGGGTTCTTGTCCCGTTGAAAAAGAAAAACTGCGTTGTGGTTTATAAGTGGGCTCAAGAGATATATTAGGTAACATTGGTACTGATGATATAGAAGTTGGATCATATAATTCTGGTGTTGCTGTCTCCTCATCAAACATAGAAGGCCCTTCCCACTGAATACCACCAAATGAACCCCAAGGTTTATCTGAAGATACTGAACTACGCCTATATTCTTGCGATGCTGGTAGTTGCGGTGGCGAATTATTGTTGTTACCACGGATGGAAAAACTCTCTCGTCGAGATGGACTACCAACTGCTTTCCAATCAGGTTCACCTTCTTCTATATCCTTTGTTATGTCTATAGCCTTTTTTTATGTAGATGGTTTTAATACAAGATGGGTTTTACTGATAATATCTGTACTCACTTCATCTTCATCCTGTTTCCATTGAGTAGACTGTCATATAAACATGTTAATAAATCCATTTTTTAGACACGTACACTATTTAATACCAAAGCCATTTTTTATGTTTATGTTGAAAAAAGAAAGGGAGAAAAAGTAAAAAAAGAAAAAAAAATTGAACAAATATTACTCGGATCAATCAGTGTTTGGGTGACCCGATCTTATTTATTTATTTTTCATCATGCTCAACTTCTTTCAATGCAGCCAAGACAGCTTCTTCCTGTGCAGCGACCTGGTCTTGTTCTAATTGAATATCTTTGGCTTGCTTTTCTATAATGGCTTTAGCTAATTGTTCTTTTTCTTCATTTTCTCTACGTAATGCTTCTTCTTGTGCAATCTTTGCTTGTTCTTCCTTCAACTTCTTTTCGTTCTCTAATCGTATTCTCTCCTTCTCCGCTTCTGCGATAGCTTTTTGTTCGGCTTCTTCCTTTTCAATTCTTGCTGTCTCCAAAGCCTTTTCTTTAGCTTCTTGCTCTCTTCTAGCAGCCTCCTTCTTTGCCTTTACATTGGCAATATCTAAACGACGGAAAAGACCTTCGATAGTCTCAATGACGTTGCGCTTCTTGGATTTAATATTGGATACTAAAGCTTTTTCAAATTCAGTAGGCTCTTTATCGTCGGCACCATTACCCACAATGGCAGTTAAAGGTCGAATGGCATCTAATTTCTCCATGAGCTGGAGTAAAAGCTCGTTGGAATGAGCTAACGTATATTGCTTTTGCTTGAATTCTTTATCGGTACTAGCTTGGTTCTCGATATCAGTTTCAACAGCTTCAAAATTGGTTTGTATAGTTTGGGCTTGAACTTTGATTTGCTGTAACAAGTGTAAAGCAGCACGTTCTGCCTTACGTCCTTCCTTTCTACGCTTTACTTGTTTGTCATCCTCGATAATATAATAGGCAATTCCTGATCCTAAAATAGCTAACGAGACTGCGGCGGCTCCGTAAATAAAAGCAGAACGATTTTGTTGTAACTTCAACATGGGGAAAAAAAGGTGGAAAAAAAAAATAAAAAGTGACAGCCTATCCTTTTTACTGGGAAAACAATAACAATAATAAAAAAAAAAGACGTCATCTTATGTGTGTATACAAAATGTTTTTTTATTAATAGTGTTTTTATAGAACAAAAAATTTACAAGTAATCATAACCAGCACCACTTCTAACCTTGACATGCTTCTTTCCCTTCTTATGCTTCTTTGATGTGACATCGCCCACATCACCTAAATTGGCTTGAACTAAAGCCATACGAGCTTTTCTGTTCATTGGTTTACCATCATCGGTAAGTACACGTTGATGGGGATATAAGGTAACTCTACCGCCTGTCATAGATGATGCAACAGATTGCTTTCCGCTCACATTAGCTTGATTTAATTGTTTTTCAAAAAAGGCTTTATCGACAGCATCAGTTTTAGACCCAGATTGATTTCTTGAGCCATCAGAAGGTGCCACATAATTTAATGCAGTTGAGGGTACACGAGTAGTAGGTGCCAATTTCTTGAACACTTTAAGTGCTGCCTCATTAATTTCCTTATTGAACTCATCCGCATCAATACCAGGAGGAGGATGACAAAACAAGAGTTTGCCGTTGACATAATCCTTCAAAATATATCTAGCTGCACGAGATTCATCGGGATTACCTTGACTAGAACGAACATAACCTCTGGCAATAGCATATGTGGAACAGAATTCAGCACTAGTGGGAATACCAGTACCACCATCCTCAATAGGAACTGTACGAATACGAATACCATAAGTGGCTTCAAGCACATTTTGAGGAATACGCTTAGCAACCAATGTTGTGGGTCCAGTATGTTCACGAAGTTGATCGATGGGTAAAACACCGTTACACACTTGATCCGCTTTGGTGGTAGAGAAAGTGGGGAAAACCAAACCAGGACAATCACAAAGTACAAGTGTAGGTGTCAAATGAATAGTTTGGAAATGCTTGGTTTTACCAGGCGTGGATGAGACTGATACACGCTTCTCACCGATAATGGCATTAATCGTACTGGATTTACCAACATTGGGGTAACCAACCAAACCAATAGTAATCTTTTCAATTTCACCGTTTTCGTCTATTCATACTCGTTATTAACAAAGTTTCCTTATTTATATATACAATAATTAGTCCTTACTCTTTACAACAGGTGTTTGTTCAATCAATAAATCTAATAAATCGGTAGTTGTGCGAAGACGGGTACGTTCATCATCCTTCTCTTCACTTTCGACGTTGAGAGAAGCCTTGGATAAAAAGTCAGTGATCTTTTCAACCTCATCCTTTTTTTCCTCGACTTGTTTGGCTTGTTCAACAACATCCTCATCACTATCATCTTCATCATCACTACCTCTAGCAGCCTGTGCCTTTAAAGAAGCTTCCAATTCTTGACGTTGTCTTTCTTCTTCCTCTTCTTGCATAGTTTGAGCAGCGAGCGCAGCTGAAAAGAAAGTGTAACGGATGCCTTGAGAATCAAAGTAATCAGCCCACTTTTTTCTTTGTTTGACAGTTAAGAAATCAGCCTTGTTAATCAATAACAAATTGGCCTTGTTCTCGTCTACTTCAACTACATATTTCTCGAGATCGGCAGATCTGAACAACATGGGGTTACGAGCATCAACAATTTGAACAATCAATTGAGATCTTTCAATAACACGCCATAATTGACGCCACACTTCCAAATTCTTTTCGAAAGGGGTCAACAATAAACCCTCTTCATCTTCAAGTGTTGCCATGGAACGTCTCCAGTTTAAGAAAGCCTCACGTTCATTACGTTGAACTTCTTCTCCAGTCATAGTCTTTTCCCAATGAGGTCTACGGGGAACTGATAACTTATCTACATTAGCCTCTTGCTTCACAATTCTTTCCTTTTCTTCTTGTTCGGAAATCAAGAAGGGGTTTTGATAATCGTTTTGAATGACTTTGACATTTAATCTTTCTATAAATTATTGTGTTAGTCGATCTCGGTTTCCATTTTTCTGAAGCAGATCAACACTATTCCTTACCAGCTGTGAAATCGGTACCGGCAAGAGCAGCAGTACTCAAGAAGGCATCTAAATCATTTTCTTGTGTGATACTTTGCATTTTAACCCACTTGGGTCCTTCAGCAACTTCGGTTGTGTGCTATATAAAAAAAAAATAAACTATTTAGTGTTTTGTTGTTGTTGGAGCCCTTATTCGTACTTACAAGAATACCTTCGTCAAGGGCAATGGCCTTTTGACCTTGGAAACGAGATCTAATGACAGCTCTACCGAGAGAACTGGTTTGCTTCTTCTTGGGTGGTGGCATAATTTATAAGTTTAAAAACTGGTTTTGGAAAAGAAAAAGTCCCTAAAAAAATTAGATTTTTTACCCTCACTATGTTGCTTTGGAAGCGTGATTAGTAAAAACCGTCACAAGCCACCAATGATTTATCATCAAGCATGATTCTGTTACTTTCTATGAAGGGCTTCAATGATCAGATGGGAGACACAGTAGTATTACAGTTATAATGAAGACAGGAGTGGATACATCATTTGAAAATGACACATATATATACCTACATAATGAATTGAGTTAGCGGTAAATCATTGCTGTTAAATACATTGCTTCTTCCATACATGGTTTTTTTGTTCGTCTTGAACAGATAGTGTTCATATCACAATGCAGCATGACTAATAACGTTACACATACTATGTGAAAATCTCTTTGGACTCTAACGTCTTTTTACTTCATGAAGCAACCCGATATCAACGTTAAGCTTTTTCTTTTGGGATACAATATCAATCAATTAGCCAAAAGTAGCCACATCAACTCAAGAATCTGTATTTAATTTTATTCCCACCGCCATCCGAATCACTGTTTTGACTGGATCGATTTTTTATATTTAATACAGTTGCATTAGCTTCGGAGACACAGACTATAAAGCAGTAATAAGCCCTCATCTTTAAAGATATGAGCAGAATAAAGTATGAAATATGCGCACTTTTTATTGAATGGAATAATGTAAATGATGAATGCTTTTATTTTAGTAGTATGATCATATCTATTTTATTTTATATATTTTTTTGATATACGGTTCTTTTTTTCTTTATATATGACTAAATAATTCTTAATTGATTTGAAGTAGATTCAAATTCAATAACTTTTGTACAGTTCTTAACACCACCCTTCAATCTAACCCAACGACCCAACTTTAATTCCTGACCTACACCGACAACGAGAAGGGTACGTTTAGAGGGGAAAGTAGTTTTGATTTGAATGCTATTAACAACGCCTTGAACAGGGATTTGTGCGATTTGTTTAAAGCTCTTATTGTCTGCTGCTAACTTCCATACACGTACAAAACCATCCCATGATCCAGAAACGAATAAATCTGAGTATCTTAAGCATGCAACAGCTGTGATCCAAAAAGGTGTATTGATATCGCCTTCGGACTCGCTTGCAACGGTATTTAAACCATGCGCAGTGGATACTGAGTACATGGGCTTTTTGCGGTTGAGTTCCCATAATGAAAGAACACCACTATCACCACCAGTGATAAACATACTTTCGTCAATTTGGGCTATACAATCAAGAGAGCCTTCAACAAACAAAGGTCGGTTTCCATCGGGGTTTTTAGTGGCAACACCACCTCTGTACACAAGTTGTGATTCCTCTACAATTTTCCACACTCTCGCTGTTTTATCTCTACCACCAGTGGAAACACAACGTTCACGGCCAAGGGTATCAATATCTGTAATTTGATCTTGATGACCGAATAATGTTTCTATATACGTGCGATCATCAATATTCCACACCTTGATTGTACGATCGTGGGATGCAGAGTATAATTGATTTGATCCTTTACGGAATGCCAACCCCTATGATATTAAATGTGAGTATAAATTCACTATACATTAATCCAATTCCTTACAGAAACAACATCTCTGTGCTGGGTAAATTTAATAAGATGCTTATCTTCCTTCACTGACCAAATGTTGATGATTTTGTCCTTTCCACCACTTGCAAGGTACTGACCATCAAAACTTATTGCAAGGCATAAAATATGATCAGTGTGTCCATCATAGTTCTTGACTCCTTTTCTTCCACCGGGGAAAGTGTGTAACTTTTTGTATGTTTTAGCATCCCCTATGTATAAAAGTTAATACACGCACATACTATCCAATTCTGTATTTATCTTTACATTTCACAATGGAACCGTCTTTAGAAGCTGAATAGAAGACTGAACCATTTTCAGATAATGCGACGGCAGTGACAGGGAGTTGGTGTCCACGACATGATTGAATTTTTAAGTTTTCGATATCATCGAGTTTGAACTAAAATGGGAAACCAAATTAATATCAGAATTTTTCGGGTATTGCTGTCTAAATTCTTACAGTGTCGGCAATACGTAAATGGAGTCTACCTTCGCTTTCGTCCTAAATACAAAAAAAAAAAAAAATCAACATATGCTACTTAAAGATGGCATAATCTAGTTTATAACTTACATCGTCTTTCTTTAAACGTTCAGCAATCAAGTCTCTATCGAGATCAGCAGCATCGAAACCAACGAGATCGTCTATACAAAGGCAAAAATTAGTTTTGCACGCAAAAAAAGACTAGTAAAAAAAAATAACGGGGTACCGTCTAAAGTTTCTTCGATTGTTCCCAAATATGCCTTTGCGAGACGTACACGTTTTTCTGCAGCAGTCTCTACAATTTCTTCGTCGGAGGATTCGGCTTCACTGGCGGAAGATTGGTTGGCATTAAAGTGATCGCCTTCATCGTCGTCACCCTCAATGTCACTTTCTTCTTTTTTGTTTTGCTGTGTTGGTGCAGGACGACCCTTTTGTTGTTGAGGCTTTCCGCTTCTTTGTACAGTGTTTGTGGTCTTTGTAGGGCGCTTACGCTTACGACTATTAGCGAAAAATGAATCAACAGCCATGTTTCTGAATAAGGTAACTAAGTAAAGAAAAATAGGACAGTTTGCGTCGAAAAAAAAAAACTGTAAACTTTGTCTAAATTATGACATCAAGCCACATGATTCACAGTCACAAAGGGCTTATTTTATCGTGAAAGCAAATCATGTTTTAATTTCTTCATTAAAAATGCTACTTCTCAGTTGCTGCATGCGTCTTTAACAGACAAGAAACACAATCAAATTAAATAGAATGCATAAAACCGCTGTCATAAATGTTGTAATGATAATAAAAAATGTTAAAATAATTTGACATATTTTCGTGTTATTAAAACGCCGCCGTATTTTTGCTTATCAGTTTGCGCTTTTCGAACCTTCCTGAAGCTTTTACAACAATAAACGTATGGCCACTTCAAAGCAAGCAGAAGCTTTAGCACCTCCACCTCCTGTGTACATTTTCAGAGAACACCAAACTACAGTAAGTTATGTTCAGCTTTTTGATAATGACAACTTTTTAGTTTCGAGGTAAATGAGAGCATTTTTTTTCTTCTTTCCTTCATTCATCTCAAAAACGAATAGTGATGGCGAAGGTTGGATAATTATCTGGAAAATGAAGACCAGAAGACCTATTATGAAGTGGAAAGCACACAAGGATAATTGTATAAAAGCGATTTCCATAAATGAAAATACATTGATAAGGCAAGAAACCCAAAAGTGTGGTCTGACAAGAAAAGAAAAAAAGCTTATATATAAATTTTAATGTAGTCAGGGCAGAGATAACATGATCCATATATGGAAATTACCAATATTACAAGAAATCCATGCACTCACAAACGATCATCCTGAGTTAAAAAACTCTATTGTGTATGATGGATTGGGTTTCTGTAAGTTATCGTGTTACAATAATCAAGGTAATAAAATTAGATGAAAATATAGAATTAAGGAATTAACGCCATTTCAAAGAATCTTTTTTTTTATGTTTTCCATCCATGGATAATATGGGATCAGTAAGTAATGGAAAATTTTAAAAGCATAAAAAGCAAAAAAAAACAAAAGTTAAACACATTTTTGTCGAATACAGTTTGATATCTATGATTTAACTTATCAACGTTATGTGCTTCGAAACATTGGACAAACAGATAGCGGTACACATCGGCTTGGTTCGTGTATGGCAGTACAACTATTTAGGACATCTGAAAACCTATTTGTACTTGCGGGATATGAAAGTGGGAAAGTAGCATTGTGGGAAATTAAAGACATTGGCGAAATTATCTGGACGCAACAAGCACATACAGAGCCAGGTAAAGTTGTAATCAGTTTACACAAATTTAGCTAATCTATTTTTTTTTTTTTTTTACAAACAGTACTGGATCTGTCAATAGACCACATGAAATCATTTTTAATGTCTTCATCAGCAGATAATAATATATGTAAATATTCACTAGCAACAGGTGATATTATCAAAAAGATAACGATTAAGAAATCTGGAATTGTGGCGTTAAAGATTCGCCCTGACAATAAAATATTTGCTTCCGGTGGATACGACGGAAGGTAGGTTACAATAACAAATTGGAAAATAAAAAAATATGAGTTATTGAAAGCATGTTAGGATTAGGATATTTTCTGTAAAATCTATGAAGCCTTTGGCCATCTTGGCGTATCATAGAGACACTATCTATAGTCTTGATTTCAGCTTCAATGATAATTGGTTGATTGGTGCTAGTCAAGACAATCGTATCAGTTTGTGGAATATCTATTAAGTCACATGGTGGGATCTTACGCAAACTGCAGCATTTGTTTTCTTCTGTTTATAGTACACGACTGCTAAAGCGTCAGATAATATTTTCTTTTTATATAAAATGTGTAGATAACGATAAATTTTGTCAACCTGGTTGGCTATGATTCTCGTACGACCTCCCTTCCCCGGTTCTTGATAATCATTGTATGATATTGAAACCCAGAATACCTATCTATCTATGCTATCTCCACATGTTTGATCTATCACTGAGCTTATATAAATAGCCTCCTCCTTTCAGCTATCTCTTTTTTTTTTCTTCTTTATATTTTATTCATTCATTTTATTACGAACAATATTTTAAAAAGAAATGGATTCAGAACCAGAAGCTCCTGTTTACAATACTGGTGATATTGGCTTTGTGTTAGTCTCAACGGCCTTAGTTTGGCTCATGATTCCAGGTGTAGGTTATTTCTACTCTGGTATGGCTCGTAGAAAGAACGCCTTATCACTTATTATGTGTTGCGTATTATCTCTTGTTGTTGTCAGTTTTCAATGGTTTATATTCGGTTATACTTTAACTTTCAGTAAAGTCAGCACAAAGTTTTTGGGTAACATGGATAATGCATTCTTGCGTGGCGTTTTAAATGAACCTTCAATGGGTAGCGCTGCTATCCCTGATCTTGTTTTCTGTATTTTTCAATGTATGTTCGCTGCTTTAACTCCTGCTCTTGCTATCGGTTCTGCTGCCGAACGTGCACGTATTTTGCCCATGATTATCTTCATCTTCATCTGGACTACCGTCGTATACGATCCCGTTGCCTTTTGGGTATGGAATTCAAACGGTTGGAGTTTCAAATTGGGTGGTCTTGATTTCGCTGGTGGAACGTAAGTTTACGGAATTATGCAGATAAAAAAAAACTCCACAGAGACTAATACATTATTTTATTAAAAAAAAAAAATAGCCCTGTTCATATCACTAGTGGTTTTGCCAGTTTAGCTTATGCTTTGGTATTAGGACGCCGTGAAGGTCATGACCATAAAAAGGAAGAGTTCAAGCCTCACAACATGTCTAATGTCGTTCTCGGTACCACTTTGCTTTGGTTCGGTTGGTTTGGTTTCAATGGTGGTTCCGCATTGTCCGGTAACTTACGTGCTGCTATGGCCTGTGTAGTTACCAACTTGGCTGCTTCTGTTGGTGCCATTACTTGGATGCTTATTGATTACAGAATTGAACGTAAATTCTCAGCTTTGGGCTTCTGTTCTGGTGCAGTCGCTGGTCTCGTTGCTATCACTCCTGCTGCAGGTTTTGTTGGACCTGGACCTTCCGTTGCCATTGGCTTCTTGGGTGCTTGTGCTTGTAATTTAGCTGTCCACATGAAGGAATACTTCAATTATGATGATGTAGCTGATGTATTTGCTGTTCATGGTGTCGGTGGATATGTTGGTTCCATTTTAACTGGTATCTTCGCTGAAGCCTATATTGCCAAACTTGATGGTGCTACTGAAATTGCAGGTGGTTGGATGAACAGAAATTGGGTTCAAATTGGTTATCAATTTGCCGATGCTACTGCTGGTGCTGCATGGGCCTTTGTTGTCACCTACATCATTCTTTTCATCATGAACCGTATTCCTGGTCTTTCCCTTCGTGTCGATCGTGAGTCCGAGCTCAAGGGTTTGGATGCTGCTGAAATCGGTGAAATGGCTTACTATCATGTCGATAAGATTGTTGGTGTTAATCAAAACACTGGCCAAGAAAAAGTTCTCCAAGAAGAAGTTGAAGGTTATAGCTTTGAACCTCAAGCTCAAGGTACAATGGGTTCAGGCAGACCCTTAACTCACGAGAGTCTCAATAACGTTTAAAACCATTCCCTTCTTTTAATATGTAATTAACCCCTTTTTTTATTACCTTTCTTTCATACATTCCACCATATTTACTCTAATACTACTTACTCTATTGATATCCCTTTAATCCATAATCTTACTATGTACAATAAAAACTTAGTAATAAATACATATACATTGCGAAATTTACTATATCTTAAATAATGAAACATGTTAGGCAGTTTCCGAGATCAGCATTGCATTATGCATGTACCACAATACAGCATAAATGTAATATGCTATGGTGTAATTCTTAAGTCGACTTTTTTTTTTGGTAGTAGATTAAAAAAAGAACCTGTTTTACAGATGGCCAAGTTTTGTACAAATGCAGATCCCTGCATGTGTGCTTATATGCTGCACATTATTTTGACTTGGACGCACATATTTGTATGGAAGATCTCCCAATGACGAAAAAAAGCATATCATTCACGATCAAAATCTATCATTTATAACAGCATCTTTTTTTAAACATATATGACAGCACCATTCCTTTTTTTTTTCACTCTGGATATTATATATATCCCTCGTTCATAACGTCTGGAAATGATAAACATAAGTAGCTTTTTGGTACCTAATAGAAATAATAAGTGCATGCATTTTTCATCAATGCGCATTAAATGATCATAAAGTGAATAAATGAAAACTACTGTAATAAAAAAAACAATAACGCTCAGTCTGTGTAGATTGAAAGAACTAAATAATTGATCGATATTTAATCGTCTTTAAAGATTTAAGTGTGGAGGGGGATAAACATATTAAATTGTGTATGGGTTAGAAGCAAGTGTACTTCTTTTCATACTCTTTCACTACATAGCGCCCTGGTTTAAATTTTTATCGGCCAACTGATCCAAACTTTTCCAATAGTATGAAAGTTGTTGCTAGCCCTTGACTTTTGACTATGCTACCAGCAAATACAGCAATTCCGCTACACTGCTATTTGGATTTGGAAAGGTTTGGGTAAAAAAAGCCTATTTGACATAAGATATTTAAGCAGCTACCCACGTTAAAAAAGAACAAAGAATTTTATAATAGTTTATTCAATTAGACCCGCAAAGGTTACATCCATTGTTTCTTCTTTTATTTCTTTTGCATTTACATGGCAAAATCATCATCATCATCTTCTGCCTTGGCTTTTGGCTTAACAACTCTCTTTCTCTTTTTACCTTTGTTAGACGAAGCCAAGGGTTGAGCTTGTGCACTAAGAATATCATCTTCCTTCAACATGGCATCCCACTGCACCAACATGGCATCCAAATCACGACGCCAGAAAGTCTTGGGAGGTGTACCTCGGATTTCTTGCAACTCTTCATACTTTTTCTCTTTTCTACTGATTAAATCTTTAACCTTTTGTTCGGTAAATTGACGTACATTGAGAGTGAGCAGGTAGTTGTATCCATCTCCCTCCTCCTTCTCTGGTTCTTCTTCATCATCATCGTTAACGATCAAAGCACTCTTCTTCTTGGGAGAATAGATTTGCTTTAACCCATTCTTCTTCATGTCGGCCACCACAAGCTCTTCCTTACGGTTAATATACACCAATTTTTTGGTAATAACCAAATCGATAAACTTAGCCATATTGTCCAAACGTGTGTACTCATATTCTAACTTAGAAATTAAGTGCTCTTTACGCTTGACATAATACTCCAGTCGAAGCACATAAAACTCCTTCAAGATCTCTTCGGGACTTTCGTATTTGCGAATCTTGCCATCCTTATCGAAACACACGATGTTCGTTGTATTGATATTCGACGTCATCTTGAGTGCCTTTAATAATCCAATATCCTCCGCTTTAGCCAAATTGGTTTCATCTACTTCCACTGTAAACTCGACTGCCATATCCGTTGAATTGTTGGTGAAGTCCAATACATTGATCTCAGGCTTCTTATCCTTTGGTTCACGCATATTTTCCAAGTTTTCCTTGAATGAGTCAGTCCAAAGACGTACAGGTAATTCGGTGATCTTGATATGACCATCGCTATTGACCTCAGCTACACCACTCGAGATATATTTACCTGCTTCTGCTGCAGGTGAGATAGTACCCTTGAAACCACGGAACCAAGGTGACATTTTGAGAACTTCCTCATCATTCATCAAACGTTTCAAGTTCTCAGCTAGCACACGGGGACTGTAATTAGGAATGGTTGTACTCCAACCAGTACCAATACCATCTGCACCATTCACAAGCACCATAGGAATAATTGGGATATACCAAGCAGGTTCAATTGGCTTATTCTCTTCAATCAAGTAATCCAAGATTGGGTCATCATCAGGATGATAGATGGTACGCGCAATTTTAGCTAATTTCGTGAAAAGGTAACGAGGACTAGCAGCAGATTTACCACCATCATGTCGGGTACCGAACTGACCACAGGGAACCAACAGATTGATATTGTTACTACCCACATAATCTTGGGCCATATTAATCACAATGGAGGCAATACTGGCTTCACCGTGATGGTATTGGGTTTTTCCAGCCACATAATTTGCTAACTGAGCCACCTTAATTTCCGAAGTCTTTTCACGTATATGGGTACCAAAGAACACCTTACGCTGACCCGGTTTGAAACCATCTACAACACAAGGAATCGATCTGATATTATCGGCCATACTGAAAAGCATCAATTCACGATTTACGAAATCCGTAATCTTAATCTTCTCAACATTATGATCAATAAAAATTCCTGGTTCATATGAAGCCAACCATTCTTTACGATCAGCAGCTCTCTTCTTGTTAAAGGCCATATCCACCAATTGACGTTCTTCAGTGGAAGCGACTTCGAATTCCTTTTTATGAGTAGCTAAATCACTGAAATACTTGCGTGCATCGGCTTTATCTGAAGTACCCAAACCCTTGAAATACTTGGGTTCCCATTCACTATTCTTGTTATTGATCTCGGCCCATGTCTCGTACTCGGGGATGGTGAAAAAGGAAACCTCTTTCTTGTTTCGTTTATGACGACAACGGATAATGGGTGTAATAAATTCTAAGAGGAAACCAGGAATATCCAATAAAGAAGGAAACATACTATCGATAAAATTGATCAAGAGACCCTTGATATGGGAACCATCATGATCCTGATCAGTCATCAACATGAGTTTACCGTATCGAAGCTCGTCGGAATTCGTGTAAGTTTTACCGTGCTTCAAACCAAGAATGGCCTTGATGTTGGTAATTTCAGCATTGTTCATGATTTGCGTATTGGTAGCATCACGGACATTCAGCACTTTACCACGAAGTGGGAAAACACCGAAATGATCTCTTCCGACCACAGAAAGACCACTCAAGACAAGGGCTTTAGCGGAATCTCCCTCTGTCAAAATCAAGGTACATTTCTTGTTATGAGGCTTGACACCAGCAAGGTTAGCATCTTCGAGCTTGGGAATCTTGAGACGACGTGCCATTTTACCCGTATCAGCCTTAGACATTTGTTCATCTTCCTTAAACTTGACCCAACGTACGATATTATCAATGATACCCGACTTGGCAATCAAGCCTAAAAACTTGTCGCTGACCTTGTAAGTAGAGCCGAAACTACTAGCACGCAATGTCATGTTTTCCTTTGTTTGGGAATCAAATGCAGGATTTTCAATCAAACAATTAACGAAAATAGTCATATGATTCTTGATCTGGAAAGGCTTAACTGTCTTGTTATTGGTCTTACGTTGAACTTCAGGTAAAAGCGCCTTGACGATTTGGTCGGCAATATAATTAACGTGGGTGCCACCTTTAGCAGTACAAATACTATTGACAAAACTGATCTGATTAAATTGTCCATCACTAACAGCGAAATTGACTTCCCAACGAGGATTATTTTCAGGATCATTGATGATGGGCTTCTTGCCTTCAGCATTTCTAATTTCCAAAGTTTTGGTGTACAACTCACAGTACTTGTTAAAGCCCTTGACTGGAACCTTGGTACCGTTTAAATATACACCGACACCTTCCACGACACCTGCCATATCATACACACGCTTCTTGATCAATGCTTCAAAATCAGCATCCATCTCCTCCATACCAAATTTAGCAAGATCGGGTTTAAATGAGATACGCGTGAATTGAGTACCAGCAGCATTAGAAGTGATCTTGGGTTTACCCGTAACACTCATGTTGTTCTTAAACACTTGCTTGTATTTAAGTTGACGTTCTTTATCTCCTGTCTCGACCGTAAATTCGGTACTAAAGATGTTACAAAGTTTAGCACCATAACCGTTACGACCACCCGTTACTTTTTTTTCATTATCATTGTAGTTGGATGATGTCAAGAGATGACCAAAGATAAGTTCAGGAACATAGCATTTCTCCTCCTTGTGCTCAGTAATAGGAATACCACGACCGTTATTCTGAATGGAGATAAAGTTTTCCGCACGATCAATCACTACCTTAATCGTATCCATACTAGGATCACGAATCTGTATATTTATCATTTGTTTGTTAGTTTATGTTAATATTTGACAGTTTAACTTCTTTATACCTTGTTATCGGCAGCATTCACCAAAATTTCATCAACAATCTTGTACAATCCAGGCACATACTTGATCTTCTTCTTTTTAATTGTCTCATCTTCAGAATCAAAGATCCACATTTCTTGTTCCTCTGCTTCAATTGAGCCAATATAAGTATCAGGACGAAGCAAGATGTGTTCAAGTTGAGTCTTCTTTTGATAAATTTCTTCTACTGTTTTGTTTTCTTCGCTGTAATCCTTGGCCTTCTTTTTAGGTGGGGATGCTTCGGTCATCTCTGTGTCTTCGTCCTTTTTCTTAGTTACTGTCTTTTTAATCGCCTTGGGTTTAGGTGAAGTAGGTGAATCTAAAGCATCAGTGGATGAAGAGGCTTTGGACGTGTCAATAGATGTCTTTTGAAAGAACGAGCTGATATTACCACTAGGAGCAGCAGCAGCAGCAGCAGCTGTTGTTGTTTTTTTAGGTGCGGCTGCCTTTTTGGGAGCAGGTGTCTTTTTAGGGGCAGGTGTCTTTTTAGGAGCAGGTGTCTTTTTTTCTGCAGCAGCTTTCTTAGCAGGTGCTTTCTTGACAGTTTTGGAGGTAGAGGCTGTCGTCTTGCGTTTCTGTTGGCAAAAAAAAAACATTGAATGCATTAATAGGGGTTGTATTCAACTGGATATAAATGGACTTACCTTTACACTAGGCTCATAATCTAAAGTAAACTCTTCCGACTCATTGCCAGAGTTACCATCCTCGCTACTTGAAAAGGTGAACGCGTCTTCCGTATCACTCATTTTAATGTTAAGAAATAGATGTAGACAACAAAAAAAGAAAAAAAAAACACGAATACAAGACACGATGAACGAGAGAAAAAAAAAGCGCGTGCGGGCAGTCACGACTTTTTGAGAGCCAGATAATATGTATGCAGGAAACTTTGCTTTGACCTCAAGAAACAAACAGCCATAAAGAATGCTTAAAAGACACATGGTGAGTGTAATATTAGCATATTCAAAAGAGATTATACCTTACAATGATGTTTAATGATTCTATGAGGAGGGGTTTGGTTTATCGATTAGGTGATACGTTACACATGTAAAACTAATTATACGCGTTCCATACTTTTGACTAACAAAAAAATCTCGTGTGCCATTTTTTATTCTGTCCGATCAAATAATAAACGCCCGGGCTGGCTTGTAGTAATTGCAGCTAGAACCAGGAAAATATTCTAGAATCCACCTCCAATTAACAGAATAAGCTTTCCCATAAATAATCATATTACATAATAACCATAAGATTCGTAAACAAAAAATAAAAGAAATAATCGTAGCAGGCATGGCGGATGCTCCTCAGTTTTAATTATTTGGAATAAAGTAAATTTTTTTCTTTTTATTATTTTATTCCAGTTTCCAAAACCCTATTTACAACTTGGCTTAATAATAACTTTTTCGCACACCATACTTACGTCCATTGACGTGCCACATCATAACCTTTTCATAAAATATGCTTCACTATCAGTATATGCTACTACTGAAACGCTAATAGGCAACCAAGTTCATAATGACCAGTATAAAAACCTGGGGCTACATAATAGCAAATGTTTCTATTCTAAGTAAAGACCCAAAAATTCTGGGTGATTAAATCATCCTGACATAAGCCAGCTCTTGTTTATTAAATCTCGTTCACACACTTTTTTTGATCAACTAAATTATATAAATAAGACTTATTCCCACACTTTTTTCTTCCTTTTTCTTTTCCCTTAGCATACTTACTTTTCTTTACGAAAGAATTAATATTGTAAAATTTTTTGTTACTAATGAATTTTGTTTTTTCATAAAACGCTATATCGTTACCTTTCTTTTTTATTTGGGAATGAAAAGTATATATTGCAATTCTTGCGATATTACGGCCGTAGTTAGTCTTTGCTATATGATGATGACCACCCATTATGGGTTCTCAGGTGTTGGCCGGGAGTTAAAGCGTAAACAACAGGACAGTTTAACGCCAGAAAAAACTGAAGCAAACCGTGCTCTTTTGATGCAGTATGTACGTAATCGTGTGCAAATTATTTCTCTTTTTTTGGTAGCAGGAGCTGAAAGAAAGAGAAGCGAAAATGCAGCTATATCATTTACCCAAGAAGTCAACAAACCCATACCGATTCTGAATCCGGTGACGATGATCGTTATGATGATCGTTCTCTTGAATCCAACAGAAGACGTCTCAGGCCTGAGTGTTTTACAGTTTATTTGAGAGCAAAACATTGCTTTCATTTAAGATTGAGGCCTTGTTGGTAGAACACAAACGAGCAAAGGCTAAAGAACACAAAAATAGCCCAGATTGAAGAAGAGAGCTTCTTGTTACGAGCGAAGTATTTAATGATAACTAATTTAACGTTGCTGCTTAGCTTGAACAATGGCTAATTTATTTATTTATATATATTGTAGATTCCCTGTTGACCTCTATTGGGGAAGATTTACCCAACTATCAACAAGCCTCGGAAAATTTACAAAAATTCGAGATTTTCGGGTACGCAAGAAAGTCTCCTTCTGTAGAAAATCAAGAAGCGAGAGCTTGACTTTGGATTCCGGGATCAGTAATTTACTGTTTCGAATGAAGTTTGCGTCTTTGGTTCAATTACGCTGCTGTCCAACATCAAGTCAGACTTGAAAACTTTGACTATCGACTTGAACCAATTTAATGATCGAAACAAATACCGAGTTTTTATTGAATATGTCGGTATAGTTGTTTTAAACATTATAAGCTAACTATCCATTAAACTTGACGTTGACTGGATACAAATGGTATAGATGAGGACTGGATAGTGGAATTATAACAAGTTGCTTTGGATCGTTGTTGTAGCTAGTCGCAACATTACATAACCTATTACATTTTCTTCGTTATAACCAACGTGCATAATGCATCGCTTTTCTTATGGACAGCCAAAGTGCACGCAGTTACAACGTAAGATCGGGTATCTTAGCTGATTTCACTTGTGGTTAGATTAAATTTCGCCGTTGCTGTGCAACCTGCGGTGTATGTAGTCGTGGTTTTTGCTGCTTTGTCATAACGTGTTCTCCTATTTATACCATTGGCAGTGACTGGAAATATAGAACGCTCAATTAAGGACGTGGTACTTGTTTTAATAATTTAGTACAACATTGATGGTGGTGGTGGAGATTCGAACGAATTAGTAAAGAATTCAGAATCTTGAAGTTCGTCTGTGATTGTTGAAATCTTATTTATTTGGGTTTGTGTAGGAATTATGGTGTGTTTAGACAAGTGCTCATTAATTTTATTTATTAGAGAAGTGTTCCAAAGTTATATTGTTAAAAGTGCTACTCAAAGCATGGTGATACGATTTGTTGTCGGAGAAGGTCGCTGTACGGCGCAAAAGCACGAAATAAGGTAAAATGACTTCACTCCGTTTGTCAAGTTTTGACTGTATTAGAATGATACACGAAAATTTTACTGTGTAACTTCATTACTTTTAATTGAGCGGTGCATAAAAAAAAGTTTATTTTCATAGGATTTCATAAAGGGATTGACATAATGGAAACGGTGAATTATTACATAAATTGACTCTATAGGTGTTCAAAAAAGTGTATTAAATAAGGGGAATAGTCTAAGAAAGGACACGCGCAATTGTGTAAGAGTACGATCCGAATGTGATGATCATTTCTGTTGTGTCGACAAAGAGAGGACCACCAGGAAACATTTGAGAGTGGATCCATGTTGCTTGATCTCTTGCCCACAATTCTTCAATCACCTTTTGCGTTTGATCGTCAAACGAGATCCATGCAGATCCAGACGCATACACCCACTCTGCTATCATTAGTACAATTTTAAAAAAAAATTTTGGAAGAAAGAGGTGGAAATTAAAAATGGAATTCATTTCGAGCGATATTTATAATAAAAAGTATGCTCAAGCTTGACGCGAAAGAATGAAAAAAACCGCCAGGGTGATGCTCCTTTTCCAACAAAGTGATATATGCTTGGATCAATAGAGGCCAAGCACCCTTGCGTATCCTTTCCTGATAGTTCTCTGTCTCTATTTGTTGAATGGGCACATAAAAAAGTATCTATCATATTTGCAGTAGCAGGGTGAAAACGGTTTATAAAACTGACCAAAAACCTGTCACTTTTTACTCATCATCTAATTTTACCAAATAGAGACGCGTTAATATTATTTCCATCCTATCCGGCAAATAGTATTAGCGGATTCTGGCAGATCTTTATTTTTACCAAGTTATTTACTGCGCATTTCGTCAGCCCATGGGCGCTTTTTAGTCACCGATCTCTCTCTCTCTCTTTATCAGAGAAAATAAAAATGTTAACATCAACAAACGAAACAAAACGTATTTTTTCGTCTGTTGGTACACAATATACGTAATCTCCATTGTTCTCACTATCTTATTTGCGGTGTACGAATAGCCACGTGAAGAAAAAAGGGGAGGACAAGAACCAGGAATAGCAACAACCCGAAATAGACTTCCGTAATGTTTTCATTGTTATTCACGTCATGGCCCTTTGTTTAACCCTGACCCTTTCTTACATAGCATCGGAAATATAAAAATGAATCCGGGTTAAATATGTGTTCCCTTGTTTTCTCAAAAGACAGTTTTCAAGATGGTTACCACCCAATTTGTATTTATAGACAGTACTGTAAAATACAAGGAAATGAACAAAAAGTTAAGTTGGAGCTAGAAACAATAATAAAGGCAGCTACAAATACGATTAAAATGTAAAGCGAGGTTTATAATACATATTCAAAATGATAAAATGCGTCTGTGTAGAATTAGGTGATGATTTGAACTGAACAGGAAAGAAAAGTTTGATCAGTTCTCGTAAACCATTACACATCTATCACGAAGCTTTCGATATCTATGATGGAACAAACACTACCTGCAGGGTACACACATAAATATTTTATAAAGAATTTCTTTTTTGTGATATTTTTACTTCTCTAGCCTGTCCAACGTGCTGATAACGCATTACCTTTACCTACTTTCTCGTCCGGAACAAGAAAGTCGATGGTCTATTTGGAGTGATATATTATCCTAAATTAGCTTACAATCATGATGATAAAGACATCTAGGATTGCAATGTAAACAAAATTAACCTTACATCCTTTCAAAATGACAGAGGTATCTTTAACAGTTTGAAGTATTTAGATATTACCATTCAGGTTAAGTGCATTAGAAGCAGTTAGACAAATATGACATTGATTCAGAAAGAGCTCGCATCAAGGATAAAGAAAACGATACGAATGTCACTGGCGGAAATTCCTTTCGTTTTACTCGCGAATCTTTAGTAGGTTGGCGTACAACTTCATCCTAAATATTAACAGACCTAAATCCTTTTAATAGAATTGCGTTGCTTTATCAGTATTATACGTTGCTATTGAAAGTAGTTTGAATAGAAAAAGACCACTGATCCTGGTTTGTAACTCACCTTTCTTTACCCGGTTGGCTTCCTTTTTCTCTTTTAGGCTTATGCAAACCTTTAATAATCTTGTTGTCTTTTCTGTATACAACTATTGCACACTATTTCAAAATTTTGACGTTGCATTTTTCTGAGAACCCTTCATGTACATTCTTTCCTAGTGAAACTCGTTTACAACTTATTAATAAGGAGTTACACGCCTAGAAATGATAAAACAGAGTTTTTATAATGCTGGTTGTGTCAATATTAAATTATAACTATGTTTATTTGAAACTTGTGTCCTTTTAGTTTGGTTGATGTCTCACAAGAAACCACGGGTCAAGTAAAGCTGCGTATGGTTTCTTAGCAACGCCATAGAGATTTGTTCAAACTAATATCCAATTATTAAACATTTGTTTTATGTACGCAAACCAGGATCGTATCAGATTTAGATCTTTTTTTCTGGGTGATAAAGAGTCGTATACTTTACATATGTAGACAGCCTTTAAAGATAATCGAATCCGATTACTGGTTTCTCTTGTATTTCATACAGCTTCCCTTTGGCGTTGGAACGGCAGTAAATACTCGCTCTATTTCCATAAATGGAATTAGGGGGATGGGGGTAGGATGACTCATGTGCAAGAAGGGAGTCGGGGGGGGGATGATATATGCGTAAGAGGGGCGAATGGGGGGAGACATTTGTGTTTTATGTAACTAAAAAAAAAAGTTATTCTTAATAGGGAGGTAAAGGGGAGTCTGTTTTGTATATATTTGGTAAAAAACAGTCAGATGTGTAATAATTTTTAAACCAGTGTTAGGTATATAAATTGCTTCTCTCTCTCTTTTTTATTTTAGTTTTTTTTATTATTATTTGTGAAAATAATGTCTTTTGATACAATGGTAATGTGCCCAGCTACTTGTGAATTATGTGGACAATGGATGCCTCGACATAGCGTAAATATATTCCTCAAAATTCTACTTTATGTGTGTTCTCATTTTTTTTCTTTTCTTGATTAGGAAAACTGTCCTCGAAGTGGAGTGCATCCTTCACAATGGTCTCTTGACAGTGATCCACTTGGTTTTTCAGCCAATAATAATGACATATACGACAATGAACCATCGTTCATTTTATTCCCCTTCTTATATCCCTCTTCTTCTCCCTCCACCGACTAACGTTTTGTACACTTATAACAATAAAAAAAATCACGCACACACACATTTATTTTGACAGACATCGATTTTTACTTTTTAAAGATCTCTCCACGCATAATTTCATCTAAATCACTAAGCGCTACACGAGCCTGGTATCGCGTCAACTCATCCTTATCCGTTTCTTCAATATATCGTAATGTACGGTACGTTCTTCTTAAGCTTTCTGTTGGGTATTCATATAGCGTTTGTGCTGCTAATCCTCTAAAAAGTGATAATATCAATACCGTTGCCGCTATTCAATATATGAGTGAGTATATGTGTGTGAGAAAAATTTGTACATCCTTTTGATTAATTTTTTTTTACCTCGTCGGATCTCGGCAGCTTTTTCAATTTCTAGAATGTTCAGCACCCAATCGATCAATTCACTCATTTGTGAGGAAAGTGCCACGGGGCAGGTTTGACAAGCTGTACTGAGTAAAGACAGTGCCGAGACACGAAGATTTGTATCCTCTTCGCGTCTGGCCAATACTGTCTCTAAAGGCTTCACCAGCGTATCCACTAAATGTGATATCAGTTTGGGTGGAGGTAAGCTTTGTTTTTAGATGATTTTACCGTAATTGCCTAAAGCTGTACCACAACGCTGAATAGTTTGCATTAACGCCTCACCAATCCTTAAGCGGTTATCCAATTTTTGTTGCGGATCACTATAAATCTTTCCTAATTTCTTGATGATTTGATTTCCATAGGCATCTGTCATAGCTGATAATCCCTTGACCGCGTTTAAATAGATATAACTATCCTCATCCTGCACAAGCCGAACAAATATATCCAATACTTGATCCACTCCCTCCGCTGATGATACCAAAGGGTCTTTTGCAAGCACCATTTCTTTCAGCATACCCATACCGTGTGCACGAATCGGTAATAAATCATCTTGCAGTGATTTCATGGCATCGCGGTATTTTTCTTTTGAAACCTCAATCCCCGGTGTATGCTTACTTTGTGACATACGTTGAGATGATAAAAACGACGTGATAGCCAAAAGCACTTCATTCACTGACTCGCTGACCAATTCAAATGGATGTTGCTCGAGTTTTTTAAGAGGTGGAATGGTCGCTTGTAATAATTTCACTGCTTGCTCGTTCAACTCGTCGTTCTCTACCCAAGTAAATGATGATACTTGTCAGCCTTTTTTTTCTGCATGCAAAAAAATAAATATATATCGTTTTTTTACCGTGCATAACGGCGCGAAGTAAATTAATTGCTAAAATCAATGACTCGACATCCTCCTCCAATGAAAACTGTTCATCATGCACCGGTTCCAACTCATCCTGATCAACAATATTTGCAATATCCACAAATCCGGTTGATTTCTTTTCTTTCTTCTTTTTTGGTGTAAACAAGCGGTCCATATGATCATTCAAGATATTGGAAGCAAATGACAAGATTTGTGTAGGTTTACGGAGAATAGTGGGTCCCAACGTATCCAACATTCCCATAATCAAATGCAACGTTAATAACATACTAGTTTTTTTTTTTTTTTTTTTTTTTTTTTTTTTTTTTAGAAAACATTAGATCAGTATCACTTTCCTTTTTTTTTTTGTGCCTTACACTTTGGGATCTGTACGGCCTGTTTGTAGTGATGAATATTCGTTTAAGAGAAACACAAAAAAGTCTCCACATAAATCTGCATTATCCATCATCTGAAGAAACCCAACAAGAATTCCGGCATGGATCGGTAACTCATTACCTGCCAACACTTTGGGGGACTTTCTCAATTTAAGCAGAACACCGCCACTCGATCCAGGCGCAAAATAGGCTACACGTGCACCCGCCAAATCCACTCTATCCAACAGCACACGCTTTAACTCTCGAATTGCATCGGATGTGGTGGAAATCCGAAAGTAGGTTGACAATAAATCCAGCACGGTTTCGCGTAACACGGATTTCGAATGTACTGTGAATTCATATAAATGATACAAGCAAGGAATCGACGACGCTAGAAACGTTTGAATCACCACAGGTGAGGGTTCTCCGCCTATCATCACACGATGCAATGTATGTAATAACATGGCTAATTCTTCCTCTGTAAGACATGTTCTTTCCTCTTCGTAATGCTCTTGGTGCCATGCCGTTAATAAAGGTCCCACAATGGGGTCTACCAGGTACGTCTTGGCAAGGTCGGGGTGTTTACCAATGATACGACTCATAATAAATGTCACAGCTTGACCCGTGGGTGACTGATCAGGTTCTTTTTTCAACAATTGCAACAATTGGGGTGTGATGATCGCGTAATAGCTCTCCACCGATGTCATTTGTTGTGGCACAGATAATATCAGTTTAGCAATACTTTCCAATTGTGCCAACTGCACTAGAACACAAAAACGTTTAACGACAAACAATAATAATAAAAAAAACCATTAACCATCTATATCTTACATTGATCTACATGGCCAATAGTAAACTCAAGGACGATAGAGACACCATTGGGTTTCAACAAGATACGTGACAGGAAACGACCACATATAGTTCGTAACCAATTAGGGATAGGATGCGATGGCGACGAAGTAGCTAATAATGACATGAGAGACTCCATGGCTCTGGATAGATCCGAACGATCAAAGAGCCACATGAACATACGTGCACATTTATCTCGCTCTTCTCTCGATAATCCTGTACGACTGATAGGCCGTGCAATGTTGCCCGGTGTTAAAGGCATGTGATTGACTCCTTCTGTCGTTAAGGCAGTAGGCTGAAATGCAGAAGCAGGTGCATAGGCTAATTCTAGAAGAGCTGCATATAGATCGGGTAAGTGACGAGACATCAAAATCGAGGCTACGGTTGTGTAGGATTGACTGGCTGGAACCTTTTCTGCTTTCGAAATCATGTCAATCAGGGTTGTGGCGAGTTTAAACAATGATGTAAGGTGTGTAGTAGTAATCTTTTGCTTATCATCATTTTCGTCTTTTGATAGTAGTTCTGCATGTGCGTATGTTTGTGTGCGTATTGATTAATAGTTTATAAAAAAAGAATTGGCAATGGTTGATCGTTACCGTGGTTTGTATAGCCTGATTTGACTCGTTTGGATAAAGGCACACCTACACCAGGTAAAAAGCAAGGGTAGAAACCCCACGAAATTATAACTTGAAGTAACGTATGGATTAATCTAAAATCACGCACGCCTAAATAATCCTTATCACTTGCATCCATTTTTTCTTTTATACCGAGTTAAAAAAAAAAGTATTGCATAAATCAGCATGTCAAAATATACCTCCTGTAACGCAAACTTGTAGTAAAGCGTCTTGAATAGACACCAAGACTTTTAAACACTCGGTAACAAATGCTTTGCGAGGATCTGTTTCATCGAAATCGATACCAGCAAGTCGTGATGCTAAAGTCTCTTCAATCGATCCTTTTTATTTTTTTACAAGAAGAAATGAGTGTCGTTTCTTTTCTAAAAGCACATCATTGAGTCAACCTTCGTCTTTTAACTCGACTTTCTCGCCCACTAATTCTTGAGCTCGTGTTAAATATTCTCTCAACCGTGTCTTTTCAGCTTCATGCAGCGACATGGTTTGTAAAAAAGAGAGAGAGAGAGAAACATTTTCATTCCTGTCATATTAATAATGCAAACAGTCACTTTTTTGATTTTTTATAATGTAACGGGTAAGCTTTTTTATACAAATAAATAAAAAGAGAGGAGAGGGGTGTTTGGTAGGTGTTAAGGGTAATATACAATAGGTGTTTTGAAAGAGTGATTACTTTCTTCTAGACTTCAAGTGTGACAGAGGCAGCTTTTCTCAATCGATTCATGACGGCCATACCTTCTCTCTCTTCGGATATACCTTCCACAAAGATCAAATCCACGTTACGTTCATCTAAATCACGTAATCCTCGAAACATACCTCGTGCTACTTCCTCAGGATGTCCACTTCGCCCCATTTGAAGCGACACACATTCAATATTATTTGATAACCTCGATTGCGTCTCCCATACTGCCTCTTCTCCCTTTTGCGTCGTACGTAAAATACCAATCTTGCTCACAACTGCTCCTGTATTTTGAACTGATTCTACTTGTTCTCGTAAAACACGATTAAATTTGGCATCGTAATTATCATCCTGATTGTTCAAACGATCAATCAAAATCACCTTGGCTTCAGGTGAATAATGACGGTATTTCATACCCGGTGTGGTGGGGGCTGCTTCCAATTCGGTATCGACAAAATGCTTCTTATACACTTGCAATTTCTCCATACCTCGTACATGCTGTAAACTTTCGTATGTGAGTCCACCAGGTCGCAAAATAGCGGGTGGATTACGTAACCCATCCAGGACCGTACTTTCCACTCCTACGTTACATGCTCCTCCGTCCAAAATCATGGGAATACGACCCTGTAAATCATGATAAACATGACTTGCTAATGTGGGTGAAGGTTTACCAGATGAGTTGGCGGATGGTGCAGCTAACGGAAATCCACAGGCTTCAATCAAACTACGAGCAACAGGGTGAGAAGGAAATCGCACGGCTACGGTGGGATGACCACATGTGACAGAAGTAGGAATCAAGGAAGAAGTGGGTAAAATTAAGGTAAGAGGACCAGGCCAATGTTGTTCAATGACGGGTAAATACACGTCGGGTACAATATTGTCGGGCAAAATACTTTTCAGCATATCAATGGAAGAAACATGTACAATCAAGGGGTTATCTTGAGGTCGGTTTTTGGCTCCAAAGATCTTGCTGACGGCAGCAGCATCCAGTGCATTGGCTGCAAGTCCATATACTGTTTCGGTGGGAATACCAACGGCTTCTCCTTGTTGTAACCACTTTACGGCTGCATCAATTGCAGCTCGGTCAGCGGCATCGCTAATCACACTTTTAGCATTCTGCTCCGGGAACTCATCGTTTGTCCTCTTTTCAAAACTAAAATGCTCCGTATTCACTTTACACACTTGTGTCTTGAACATATTCGAATAGAACAAACGTTGGAAAAGTGGTTTGACAGATAAAAACATTTTTTTTATTATTCATCAAAAAAAGATTCCAAAAAAAGTCTAAAATTACAGTTACACAGGGAGTCTAAGCCACTTATGGCTCTTATCATCCCGCTATTTTGCATGAGCGCTCTGTATACAAGCACTGATCTGATAAAATATGCCTATTTTATCATTAGACGATATTTCAAGTTTAAACTTGGATTCGTATGAGTTAAAAATATAAAGGATGTCTAATACGGGATTAATTCATGGTATCAGTTCGGATCCAGAGCTGCTTGGAAGATTTGAAGATTCTGTCCTAACGATCAATAAAATCTAAATGCATACTCACTCTCCAAATACTTTTTTTAAGTGCCATGCTAGAAGAAAACTTTGACGTGGATTTTTTTTTTGTGGCGTACCTCCAAAATGATTTGGTATGTACGAGTATGAGCATGAAGTAAAATTACATTCATCGATATTAAATATAAATTAGGGGCATGTATAATTTTAAAAAATAGTACAGACAAAATAGCTTTTATTGATTTCCCAAAAGCTTTCTCTATGTCATTTTAGAACAATACCTTTAACATTTCACCCGGAGTCAAACCTCCCCACTTAAGTATAAAAGCAAACTCCTGGCCCTTTGTGTCAAGCTTTCGGTTGCTACGATACTTTTTCATCCTCATTTAAAAAATAGTAATGTTTTACGCAGCTGGATCGAATTGTAGAACGTCGTCCAGCTATTTTTACATCCTTAAGAATAAAAACAAATGCAGAACAATTTATTCTCCCGGTATATCTGTTAGGTCGTTGAAAACCGTTTTCTGATCCTTCACCTGTCGTATTCTCCTTTTTATCTTGTTTCCAAAAACAACGTCGAATAAATAAATCGATAGATAATACACTAAATTCGACATGACCTTCTCCCAGATAGGTAGGACGATATCTACCAAAATGCTTGCATATCATTTTAGTATAAGACTTGACGTTTTTAAAAGTCTCAGAAGGAATGCTGATGGCAAAACTGAAAGACTGTAATCCAATTCTTAACAGGAAACTCGGCTTCAAAAGTAGGCTTTCGCTCGACTGACACAGCCTCGGGCAAAAGTTGAATGGTGTCATGTTGATTTGACACTAATGTTCCCCACCTCAGGTTCACTAGGACGTTCATTGTCTTTCAAAGTAATTCTCGAAACTTTTATTGACATCTTCTACAGAATTGATAACAGTTAAAAGGATGTTGACAAGTAATTGGCTTTCATTTGAAGATTGTGAAGAATCGTTTGAGTCAAAAGGAAGTATGGTGTGAAAACAAGAATATAGCGTAAATTAATTAGCTCGGGATTTTGCCATCTGACCGGACAAGAAAAAAAAAATGGTGCGCGCGTATAATTAGCCTTCTTTCAGCATCATGCAACAAGAATGGGAGATGGGCAACAGGCCATCAAGACAGAGACGCCATTTACCTCTTGCGGCTACAATGGCTACTAATACAAGAACCAGACCAGAATCGAAAAGTAATATGTCACTGCTGAAAATGCGATTTTCAAGGGCAGAGAAAGATACAAAGAAACGCGCACACCACACAGATAACTCACAACGAAAGAAATGGATCTATCTTGTGAGTGCGATATGGATTCTGTTTATTTTATATCGAGTGATTGGCTCGCTTATTAGTCATGACTATGCTAGTCTAAGCATTGTGCACTTCTTGTCAAATGCCATCCTAAAGAGGTGACAAGTCTGTCAGGATGACAGAGGGTGCTTTGTCAGTCGAAGCCTTTGCAGGGGCTTTTAAAATGTTTTTTGCATTGGTCGTTAAAAACTGTGCATTATAGAATTCTATAATTACATAATATCCTTCTTTAAATAAAATACCATTAAACGGCAAATTGATCCTGTGTATTATTGTAGTCTTCTTTTTAGATTAGTTTCTTAAATTTTTGTGGATATAATTAATCTTCAGTAAAAGATATGGAAGCCCTTTAGGAGGTGTAAGGTGCAACATATGGGTGTTCCTTAAAGCGCCCCCAGCTATCATCTGACATAATTACCATTTAACTTTCTTACACGAGCATATATGGCTGATTACAGTGATCTCTATGTGCACATTCATTGGATAATAGATTTCAAGCCAGTTTGCTTGCTCTAAGCCTGCTAAGTTCTAAGCGTCTATTTTTATAACGGAACAGTGGAATCTGAGAGTTTCGAACGCACTGAAACATTTGTATATAGACTAAGTTCTTCATTGATGCGATAACCAAGATATCTGTTGTTAAACTGTGATTTGGTTCATGATCTGAAATAAAATGCTGTAGAGCGAGTATTTTTAACTTTCGACATTAGAAGTGCGGGTGCTAGCCGCAGCAAAGGGCCAAGTTTTTTTTCTTAGACGGAAAGGATGACACATAATTTACAATATCTTCATCGTATATCTGATAGTTATACACTAAATTTATAAGTTAACCAAAAGCTTCAAGTACATTCTGATACGCAGACAGGTTAGTTTTAACATATTGCGGGATTGCTAATTTAGTTATCCGCCACCAAAGACTCTTTTTACAGTGTGAGTATGCAAGAAGTAATTAAAAATATCTGATTTAAAACTTTTTGAGTTCACCACTTAAGTAAGGAAGCCTGATTCGTCCGTATTCCTTGTTTTCGATATATTTATTTCTTCATATGTCTGTTGAAAATAAGCGTATTTTTCATGAAGAGGCATTGGTACTTAACTTACTCATGGTAGCCCAACACATCCAGAGTGCTGACAGGAAGAAGAAGAAGTATCTTTACTAACCCCTTTAAATGTAGATAACAACAATGTCAAGTTTATTACAAGTCTTATTTGTTTGACTGTTCCAGACGAGGTAAAAAAAAAAAAAGGAAGGCAATAAATATTTAGTTTAAATTCAATGAGGACTGTCGATAGATATGTGGGTTGATCAATGTCCACATTTCCCTCTTTCAGATTTTTCGTTTGCTCGACTCGGTAGTCTTTAGGGAAGAGCTACTTTAATTTCGTATTAACCATTGTCAACAGCGTTCGAAATGGTATGTCAAAATTTTGGTTCAAAATACTTATACCAGCTTGTTTAGTAGATGCTGATTCGCAAACTCAACTATTCTTCCCTGGTAGAATTTTATATTGATTTAATTTTCTCCAAGGAGTTGTTCAAACGGGGGATGGGGGGGACAATCTCCCTACAGAATCTTTAATAGATGGAAACAGTATACCATGTGAACCGAATTTGATTTGTAGAAGCTCCTATAATTTTAGGTTGCAGTTCTTACAATTGTGACTTTTTGCAAATGCATGTCCCTTTACTTGGTAGGAAACCACTGATTATATTACTTGCTAAATATCTATATCGGCAACATTTTTCTCTGCATGTTCTATTGATTCTTTTATGTAAATTACCAGCCTATGAGACATTAAAAGGCATCAAATGTCATCTTTTTGAACTTCAAACACTTAAAAATCTCGTGTTATCGTTTAGTTTAATGTCTTTTAATTGTGTGCAATTTATGGTGGCACTGAAGTGTTTTACTTCAGGATAAATATGTTTAAGAGGCATTAGGGGGTAAAAAAAAAAAAAAAAAAAAAAAAAAAAAAGAGATTAAGAAATTATTGTATTAATAATCTCTGCAGTCACCGGCATACAATGAATGATTAATTACTGTTATATCTTTGCCTTTTATTGTTGCCCTTATGTCAACATAAAATGCTTTGAAATATTGATTTATATTATTATGCTTTAGATGCTCTATCATTATATTTGCCCTTTTCCCGTTTTTCTTCTAACGATTCATCACAAATAGCCTGCAGTGATTTATTGCTTTAATCTTCGCCGAAACAAGCTCATGGTAATTACTTTTGATTCCTGTTTTCTTTTATTGAGAAAACTTATTGGTAGTTGCTTAGACTAAATATGGATTTCTCGGTTTTAAGGCAGTTACAACCAACTATTTTGTAAATTTTATGGACAAATGCCTTCATAAATAACTGAGTATAGTTTAAATGTTGATTTGTTATTTATTTTTTTGGGTTTGTTTGTTTACACTGGAATTAATTCTGGCTTGTGTGACATACTTGAGGGGGGGTTACTTTAACAGAAAATTGCCTTGGCTGCGCAAGACACTCTGAGACTTAATGGAATAGTTATATCGAAAGATAATGAAGACCAGTTTAGTATATATTTTAAAAACGCTATATCTAAAGATTTTATCTGAATTTTGTCTAAATTCTGTCTGAATATATATAAAAACTTTTTTTTTTGTCTGCATTTGTCTGAATTTAAAGTGCGAAGTCTGTATAATGAAATTGTACATTGAACAAATAAATATGACCCATTTGTTATTTTTTCTCTTCCTTTCTTTTTTCTTCTTTATCCCTTTTATTTTTTTTCAGTAAAACTCTATTCTCTTACCATGTATAATCATCATGAAAATGGAGGTGGCGGAGGTATGGCCACTGTCTGGTCCGAAGATCAACAACAAGCAGAAAAACCCACGCATCCAGAATGGGGTGTAATGAAAGAACAAGACTTTCATCCTCTTACTTTAAAGCACCAACGCGATTTAGAGAACCTGCATCAATCAGGAAGTTTGATTACGGATTTCTACTTTTGGCAAGCTAATTTGGGCGGTTATTGTATGGCAAACATGATCCAAAGTAAGTGTTCTTTTTATTATTATTATGCTGCTTTTCTCTTATTCACTTTCCATACAGATGTCGTAGTTTCATCAGAGGGCGCGTTTGTGCTTGTACGACGTATTGTCGAAGGTGCTCCACATCCTGGCAGAAAAAAGAAGAAGAGAGTCTAAAATAATTCATACCCTTAATATTTTAATAATCTTGGATCTGGTATTCATTTAAATTGTACTAATGCCGCTTTTTTTTTATAATAAAATAACACTGCATTTTTTTTTTATATATATATGTGTGTGTAATTTTTGTGTGTGTTTGTTTGATAACGCGAAACAGTATACATATATATAAAAAAAAGAAAAAAAAAAAACTTAAATACACAATCTGTAACTGACATAACGGCCTGCTGTTTCACTCTCTCTCAAAATCTTGACGACCTGATTATTTATGTACGTTAATAAACCCCCCCTTTTCATCATGATGTAATCTAATAAAAAAAACCCTTACCTGTCCACGCTTTAAACCATAATATCTTGCAACGGGATCAGTGTGTTGAATACGAGGTAATTGAGTTTCCTTTAAACGGCTGTAATAATAAAAGTAATGGAATCAATATCGTTGCTGCATGTTAAATCCTCTGCATAATCTTACTATCTTTGCAATAAAACTGCCTTTTCCTCGGATGACAAGACTTCATGTTTGGGGACCAAAACATGGTGTGTGATGTTGACTAATAACTCGTTCTCTTGGAATGATTCTAATGTGTGCTTTGAAGGCAAAGATTGGATGACCTAGAAACAGCTTATTTAAAAAATGTAGGATGGAAGTTTTTTTTTTTTTTTTTTTTTTTTTACCTTATTGGCAGAAGCGGTCATACTCTTTTGATAGATACAAATACCCTTGGGGATTTGTTGTTGTGCCATACGTTCGACATAACTACACACTGTTAATACATATATCTGGCAATTTTGGTAAGCTATACATACACTCTCAAGGGCTTAACACCAACTGAGGTATCTTTGGGGAAGAACACAAGTAATTGATCAGTAGGATCATCTCTCTTTTGAACTACAAATGTCAATTGATCACGACTAAAAGTACGACAATTAGTTTCCCTCTCAACCATGCAGCCTTTTTTTAAATAAAACCCTTACTCAACATCACCAGAGGGAGCAAATGTACGTTTAAAGGAATCTAAATCCATATCGAGTTCAGATTGAGAAACCAAATAGCCCTAGTTAAATTTACGTTGAATAAAATTTCCCTTTGTTTTCCTTCTGTTATTGTTGCTCTAAACATACTCTGTCATGGACCATTTGATGTCCAGTGCGGAAAACTCTCCATAATCTAGTGGCTTCGTTGTTATTGGGATCCATTTTAAAAAAATAGTGAGGAAAAGAAAGTCGGTTTTATCACTTGCGCGTGCGATAATGACAACCAAGAAAAAAAAAAAAAAATCAAACGGCGCACGCGCTCACAAACTCAAGTCAGTGACTGTTCTGGTAAATTAGCCACACAATTCATCAAAGATACATCTATTCGTTCTTCATGACACAAGGATTGAGCTCATAAAGTAGAGCTATTAAAATTAAAGCTGATTTTTTTTTTATCTGTATCTTTGCCATTGTGTATGTGTGTGATACATTGCCCCCATATTCCTACCCCCCTTATTACATCTCACCGTCCATTTTCAGAGTCAGGAAAACAAATATTAAAGGGAAGAGCAAGATTGAACCCACGCCATGAAAAGGAAACTTTCTTTTTAACTCTCAAGTGCCATGATAGACCACTTCAATAGCTTTTCTTACATTAGTTGCTAGGAAACTTCGTGACTGGTTTTCCTCCGCTTTGTTCTTCCCCTTAATTGAGGGACGAATAATTAAGCGCCACTTAATTCATGCTAAATTAGAAATAACACACGCACTTCTCTTTTTATATCAGCATGATGCGACCTTCACTCGGTCTTGTGCTAATAATACAAACATGCATTCAAGTGTTTGGTCTCTATATATTTTTAAAAGGATTTCTGTTAACGCGACAGACTTTTGATTTACAAGGTAAATCATACTCATCGTGGGATCGATTTCCTTTACATGATGTACCTTCCATCCACATACCACCCATTGTTCCACCCAAGCCTTCCTTCAAACGTACTATAGTAATTCTCATTGACGCCTTGAGGTTTGATTTTGTTTTGAATATCAGCAACCCTAGTAACCCTTACTTTTTAAACCAATTCCCCATCCTCCACCACTTATACGAGACACAGCCACGCTCTTCACTGCTCTATCAGTTCCGTGCCGATCCACCTACCACTACGATGCAGCGTGTCAAGGGCCTGATGACAGGCTCTTTACCGACATTTATTGATGCTGGCGCCAATTTTGCTTCATCCGCTGTAGGCGAAGACCATTTATTATTCCACATAAAACAAAAGTTTCACAATATGTACTTGATGGGCGATGACACCTGGCTTAACCTGTTTCCCGAGATCTTTGACGATCCTTCCAAAACATTTGCCAGTGATAGTTTCAAGATGCTGGATCTGGATTCCGTAGATAACGATATCTTGTCACATCTATGGACAGTGATGGAAGGAGAGTGGGAGGTTGCTATTGCTCATTTCTTAGGTGTCGATCATTGTGGACATACATTTGGTCCATCCGACCCCAACATGGCACGCAAATTGAACCAAATGAATACTGTTATGGAACAACTCTTAACTTTTATCGATGAGGACACCTTATTAGTGGTTATGGGCGATCATGGAATGTCGTTGGAAGGAGATCATGGTGGTGAAAGTGTAGAGGAGCTCATGAGCACTTTATTCATGCATTCAAAGAGACCGTTAACAATAGAGGGAGACTATTATAAAACATTACATCACCGAATCCATCAAGCACGGGCAACACGATTAGATTACGATATACCCAACATCTCGAAGCGTCTTTCTTATAATGCTAGTCAATACCCTATCGTATCGCAAATTCACTTGGTGCCGACGTTAGCGTATCTTTTGCAAGTACCAATACCTTTTGGGAATTTAGGTGCCATTATACCTGACATTATCTATCCGGCAGACGATGGAAACCAAATAGCCAACCTGGTACATATGGTGGAACAGTTTCGAATGAACGCTTTGCAGGTGCACGATTATCTCCATCAGTACTCGAAAAGTCACGCAGCGGATTTTTCTCAAGACAAAACACAAGCATTGGCACGCCATCTATATCGCGCTGAGGAAATCATGGTACGACTAACAAACCAGGATCAGTTCCAAAAAGCTATGGAAGCCAGTGTATCTACAACAAACGACATACAAGAATTCAGTTCATTGTTGGAGGAAGCTATTTTAGAATACGATGCGTTTTTAATTAGTACTATCAAATATTGCGAAGCTATCTGGGCACAATTTGATACTGGATGTATGGTGATCGGGATCATTTTATTGATCTCGGGTACCTTGAGTTCCCTTTTGTTGCTCTCAAACAAGACAAAACCCACCAATGACAAGAGTGTGCTTGTATTGGGTATGTCTGCTTTGATCATATCGTGCTCTTTTGTCTATTTACGATATGCTGTTTTCGCACACTTTTTCTTGTCCAAAGGTTGGTTTGAAAAGATGGAAGTGTTGGATTGGGTTGGTGTTTCTCTAGTCTTGACCTTGTCTTGCATCTCGTTGCTAACTCAACACGAAAACCCAAGTAAACCGAGTGTATATTGGTATAAATATGATTGGTTTGTCTTGTTGGCTGGTGGTCTAGCACAATCGTTTACTCTAGGCTCCAACAGTTTTGTAATCTGGGAAGATCGTGGTACAAGGTTTGCCTTGGCTACATTATCTTTCCTTTGGATGATTCGTAACTTACAGGCTTTAACTAAGTACACGAAAAAAATGGTGCTGCAATCGATTGGCTACCCGTTTTTGCTTTTGGTCTTTGTACGTTTGACGGGTCTTACAGGACAATGTCGCGAGGAACAATTCCCTGATTGCGTGTATATGTACAGTAGCTCACTTGAATTTGGAAACCATGTCACTGGGTATTGTTCTACAGCTTTTCTGATAGCTTCCTTGTTCATTGTGTATTACTTTTCTCGAACCATTCAGAATCTATTAGTAGCGGGTATGTATGGAATCTCTGGTCTCATTGTTGTCATCAAAATGGCCCAAGAAGTATATCAAAAAAATGCGATACGAACCGAATCCCTAATGACTAAATACTTGGATGTGTATTTACCCCGTGTGGTGTACGGGCTTTGCCTGATTGCCACTATTGGGAGTATGTGCCAATGGGTGTATACACGCAACAAACACACAGGGTGGTCGATTTTGTTAGTATGGAGTACAGTGCTGGCCATTGTACAACGACCATTTGCCAGTGTGATCTTATTACTATCCCCTTTTTGCATCCGACTTTTAAGCACCGGTACACCTTCATCCTTGCTGATAAGACTCTCAATACTGCATTTTCTGGGACATCACTTGTTTTTTGTGACGGGACATCAAGCGACATTTACTTCTTTACCTTGGAAAGCGGCATTTGTGGGTTTTGACGAGATGAATTATTACGGTGGCATGATATTGGTCACATTGTCAACAATGGCGGGTTACATAGCTGTCTGGATTGGCTGGTTTTTGGTAACAGAGGATATAGAAACATTATCGTTGATGACGTTGTTGCAATCGATTCCTACTTGTTTATGCGCCATCTTTATCTGGATCTTGCGCAGACATTTGATGACCTGGAAAATCTTTGCACCTCGTTTCTTATTACAGATTTTGGTCCAAGTGGGAGCTCATCTCGCTGCCATTGTTTTAGAAAAAGCTTTATAGAATAATAAAAGTAATTAAAATAAAAAAAAGCAAAAACTCGTTTGGGGAAAAGCATAGGTTGATTTTATTGTTAGGGCACATAGGCCATAGGTTATTACTTTGCATAATTTCTAGCATTAAAGGGAGTTGGGATATCATAAGTTTTGTTTTGAAATAAAAATTGCATAGTAATCAAGGAGATATAAAAGATCATGTAAAAAAAAAAGGAGTGTGGATCAGGGAGGGATCTTGTGTGTGTTAATATTGATAGTTTTCATCCTCTTCTTCATTACTACTTTGGTATAAGGGGAATGCAATAGAAGCAGCTGGTCTTTCACGGACCAACTGTTCTAGACGAGTATCATTTTTCTCTACCACCAAGGCCTTTAGCCACTTGATTTCTCGTTCTAGATCATGCACCCGCTGTTCCATCATCTTGGCCTTATCCGTCATTTCGCAGGCCGTGCTTTGAAGTGCTTGTTCTCTCATTTTTTCTTGATGCGAAAACGTGCACTGGCGGCTGTATTTCGTCGACGTTTATCGTCTTTGGTTAAAGACGTACGGCTGCTGTTACTACCCATGCTACTATAGCTCTGTGCTCCATCACCAATGACAGGCTCCTCTTCTTCCTCTTCGTCGTCGCTAATTTTTTTCTTTGCGTGCTCCTTATTGTGTCTGGATAAAATAAGATGGTCCAATGGGTGCTTTTTGTCTTTCTTAACTCGGACGGGTTGCTTCTTCTTCTTTTTGTCTTGTCCCACACGCAGATCTGACACAGTTGAAGACAGGTAATTTTTGGACGGGTCAAAATACGTTTGATTTGGCGAAGTAGGAGTCGAATGGTTGGGTGTTGAATGGTTAGAGTACACGTTTTCTAAAAGAAATAAGAAGGATATAAATATTGTAAGATGTTGTAAGTTGTGAGAATCATTCGATTCGTACCATGGTTTAATAAAACCGGGGCCTCGGATGAGGTTGATGGGCGATCGAATAACATTGATAGACTATTCAAATGGTCAATGTTACTTTTAGCTTGATACTGAGCTGGAGGCATAGTTTGTTGTCGCTGTTCTAAATAGGAACCCTCCAAAGGGTACCTGAATGTCGTGCCAGCATAGTAATCCAACTCTTTTTGTAGATCGGATTCGCTCATCATTTGTACAGGCGTCAAAAGTTGATCCAGATGAGACCAAGTGCTTTCATCTGGAGCTGATTTACGTTTATTTCCTTGTTTTTTCATTTAATACAAAAAAAAAAAAAAAAAAAAAAAAAGCGCACAGGTAAAAAAAGATAATTGCAAAGAAAAAAAAAAAAGGGAATGACGATAACGTCATTTAGTAATTAGTTTTTTGTTTTTTGTTTTTTTTTTGTCTTGTAAAGAGTTACACTAAATGTCGCAATAAATGCGATATAAATGCTGTAAATCGCGTCATATGTATTTTTTTTTTCTTTCTTAGTTTTAAAAATAGATCTTAATTTTTTAAAGTTGGTATAATTAAATCATTCCGAAATTCCAGATTTTGACTTCTCCATCGTCTGCAGCAGAAACAATTCTTGTATCACTCAATGCAACGGCTGTCACTGGCCCATGGTGGCCTTCTAAGGCATACAGACATCGACCGCTCTCGGTATCCCATACGCGGAGTGTTTTATCATGTGAGCCCGAAACAATACGGAGTTTATCAAACGCTAGTGCCCAAATACCTTGTACATGTCCAAACAAGGTGCGTAAACATTGGCCTGACTGCGAGTCCCATATTTTGATTGTATTATCCAGCGCACTGGATATAATTATTGGTGAATCTGAAGGCTCTGCGTTTGTATTTACTTCGTTAAATGATTGTACATTATTAGGAGCGGTTGCATGACTGATGGTGTCTCTACTAGTAGATGAACAACCTGGTGTTTGCAATACATTAGGTTTTAAATTGGTTACAGTATTAGATGCATTTTCATTGATGGCAGCTGTATTTAGACGATGTGTGAATCCATGGAGGCTCGGTAAAGCCATTTGTACTTGTCCTACATGGCCACGATAGACTCTTGTACAAGACCGGCTTTGAAGGTCCCATAAACGAATGGTAGCATCATCACTACTTGAGACCAACATGGCTCCGTCGTGGCATATCTTCACTGAATTGACCCATTCGGTATGACCGGATAATGTACAGCATTCTCCTGCCTCAAAATTCCAGACACGAATCGTATTATCAGTTGACCCACTTGCCAGAATCCGCGAGTCAAAATGTAAGCTAAGGATGCCGCCTGTGTGACCTTCCAATGTACGGATACATTGGCCTGTGTGATAGTTCCATATTTTCAAGGTGTTGTCCATGGCACCCGTGACTAATTTGGCGTCGTCAAATTGAAGTGCGCGTACGCACCTTGAATGACCAATAAGCTGTAACTTTTCTTGACCGGTTTCCAAGTCCCATACACGGACAGTTTTATCAAACGAGCCTGTGATAATTATCTTTAGAATTTCGCAAAATTGGACACACATCACGCCATCGTTATGACCATGTAAGGTAATCACATTGTATTTGTTATTACGCCAATTTCTCTCCACCATTAATCGCTCACTATAAACATCTTTCCAAGGCCGACGTAATATCTGTGTTTGATTAGTTGTTGTTCTTGTTGTTGTAGGATAGTTTGTGTCAATGGGTTCTATAATGATATTTTCTGTATTGCTGTTGATCTTTTGTCGTTTGGCAATGGGAACAAGTGCAGTTGGACCACAAGCAACTTGTAGAGGAGATTGGGTTGTGATAGGTCGTTTTCGGATAGACCGTGATTTATTTAATAAAGGCAAACCCCATCCACATTTTGAACACTTCTTATCAATGTGTTGTTCACACATTTTATGCCACAAGGAGTCATCGTCGGCTAACTTTTTCCATCTCTGAGAGACTTGGGCTGCATGACAAAGCGAGGTTGCATCCATTAATGAAAATATAGATAAGGCGATTTCTTTAGGTAAGACTGAGACAAAATCGATGCGTAGTAAAGGTTTTGTCTCGCTATGCAAGAATGAAAGTTGAGGCATACAGCATGTTGAAACAAGACCCTTCAGGATTAATGTTCTTTGATCTGCAGGAGCGGCAGAAAATAAGGACCAAATATGTGAGATGGCTTCTCTATCAGATGTTGCTAATTTTTCCATTTGCTAGTTGACAGTGTGTTAGGGATCAACTATTTAGAATAAAAAGAAAAATAGATAACCATTATACTTACTTGCTGTATGTTGGAGATATTAAAGTTATCAGGGCCTCGGTTTTTAACCAAGTCAGGTCGGTGTCGATAACATAGTTTTTGAGTGTTGCTTATTTGTGAGGGAACATGACGAGTCAAGAAGGGATAAAGGCTTTCTTCTTGTTTAGTCATGCTGGGGATGAGTGTTGTTAAGGAAAGAGAGAGAGAGAGAGAGAAAGAAAGAGAGGGAAAAAAAAGTGAGGTTTTTTTAAGAGAAAGGATCGCACGTGGTACAATGCGTCTTTTTTGTACACAAAAGATAGTTTATTATTTTACATTTATCAAGTTTCGCCCGTATTAATCTTGTGTTCAACCTCTTTTATCTTTTCCTTGGTTTTCTTTTTCCAGTTTAGATAATTCGACTTGTCAATTACCACTGGCTTTGTCTGTCCTTGAATATCTTCTACTACCACATGGTTTTCCTCATCCCACACTTGAATGCGGGAGTGTGTGGTGTCGTCATTAAACACATTCTCGAGCGATGATTCCACTTCTTCTTCCTCAATCGCATGTCCTTTATGATCCTTTTTACGTTTAAATAGACTCTTGATGCCATGTGCATGTTCCTCTTCTTCTTCTTCTTTGGGTCGCGTCAACCAACTCTTTAACCCACTCTCGTTCTTTTCGCTTACTACACGTGGCTTGACCGGTTCCAGGAACCGAATTGCTTGTTGTGTATCCAGTGATACAGCGCTCACTCTTCGAAAATCCTCGTCTTTGTCACACTGGACTGGAGCCAGTTTAGGCTGGCTTGTGACTGAAGCATCATCCGGTAAGAAATCCTCTTCAGCCAGCTCAGAATCACTATCGCTGTGTTTATTAGACATGTCTACTGCAAATCCATGTTCCTTGATATGATCATGTTGCAATGTATTAAACAAAGTATTTCGCTCCAATTCTGTCATCCCACCACCTCCGCCGCCACCACCGCCTTCTTCCTTGTGCTCATGATGTTTATGTAACTGCTGCCCGAATTGTAGTTTAGGTAACCTTAGCACTTGGTTACTACTGATACTTGTAATTGATAATGTTCTTGTTCGAATACGTTTACCCAATTTAAACAAGGGAATGGTGGTACCGTGCACAATGACTGAGCAAAATACAATAAACAAGACAACGGGACTGATGACACGTATGGATACTGGTGATTCTTTACCTTCATAGGCTGTTTCCAGTTCTTCTTTAGCAATGATTGATAAGAAGACAGCGCCCACGCCCATGGGGCCAAACCAGCCACTAAAGATAGCTTCACGGTAGGTCTTCATGGCTGGCATAACGGGTTTTAATAAGACAACAATGGGCAGACGCCGAAAAAATAATACGAGAATAGCAATAGCGACCAAACGCCAAGGTGTTAAACCCAATTCTGCATTTGTAAAATCGGACCAAGGCTTTTTTTAAAGGGTACTGTTAAGAACGATTATTATTATTTTGTTAGGGAATGGCACTTACGATGATAGCCCCGATATAGACGAAGATTGCTAGATTGAGCATCATATCAATGACTTCTTGAAAATGAGCTTCTTCGGTTTCATGACGAAACCAATCGTCCCAAGAAAAAGCATTCCCTGCAACAAAGCAGGCTAATAAATCATCGCTTCCCGAAAATCCAGTCATACTCATTAAAAAAAGCTGTTTTTTGGTTTTAGTTGTGATTAAAACTATTTTGTTCGAAATAACTTACTGCCAGTGCAATTGCAAATGCGAGAAACGATGGCTTATCAATAAGGTGGCTTTAAATAAACAGAAAGAGTGAGATGTTTTTTAATTGATAAAGGGGCAATAAAAACTTACTGTCTTTCTGACCATTGTAAGACCTTTCTGGCCACATAACCCACAACCACACCAATGATACAAGACAGGACAATTTGAAATAAACAGGTAATATAGATCCATTTTCCAATAGCAGTTCCAATGTCGTCCTCCGCAATCAAGAAAATAGCCAAAAATAGAAATGGGAACCCCATACCATCATTGGCACCACTAAGACAATAAATTATTGTTTAACTCCTTCCCTTTTCAATATATGTATGTATAATGGACATTACCTTTCTGCAGATAATGCATTACGAATATGAGCCGGAACGTGTTTTTCTGCAAAGCGGCCTTTTACGACAGAATTGGCTAAAATCTTTTATCTTTAATATGAATAAAAAAAGTGCAAAATATTTAGAGTGTTGTATTGTATTGATATTTACAGGATCTGTGGGACAAATGCAAGCAGATATGACAAGTGCTTCCAGCTGTATTAAAGCGAATTTTTTTAGATCAGTTATGCAAACGAAACAGAAAATAATCCTTACATAATTGATGGGAGGGACCAAACCCCAAATAAATAAGCCACTTATTAACCACATAAAGATCATGACAGGCATTAATAGCATTAGCATGGTTTTCCACTCCTTCTTTAAGTAATGTCTATCCCCCGAAGTTTAGTTTTTTGATTTAATGTACACAAATAATGCTTTTCTTTTTTTAATTACTTTGGTAGGTCAATTCCGACAGCCATAACCTATTCATTAAATAAGTAGGGAGTTAGGGAAATAAAAAAAATTAGTTTGTACCTGAATAGCTATAATACATCGAGTGAGTTGTTTGGTGATTTCGTCGTGATGGTCCCAGCTATAAGGGTTGAATCCATTTGTAACCAAGGGACCTGCTATAATTCCGACAATCACTGCAACCACTTTATAGATGTATAAAGAAAGTTAATAATCGTACTAAGAAAAACAGAAATAATTGTCTTACATGCTTCGGAGAGAAATAATCTTTCTTTCAGAAACATGGAAATGTAACCAAAGAACAGAATAAATCCACTGATGATAGCAATGGCAACTGTAAAAGTCGATATTTCACCCGGAATGACATGAATTGGCATACGTCTATTATTATATGTGTATAAAATAAAAAAAAAAAGAGATTAATTTTGCATAAAAAAATACAGTGAAAATGTATCGTAAAGGAAAGGAATGAAATAACCAGAAAAATGGAAATTTGTTATATAAATACGCAATTCGGTGTTTCAAATACACACAATAATAATGCGAAGATCAATCAGGGATTTCCTTTCCCTCCTAATGGACCCCCTTTTGAAAGTGGACAGCAACAAAAAGACAGGATATAAATACACTGACAAAAAAAAGGAGGCTCATATATATTACTTGTTCCTCTTTCTCTTCCTCTTTACTTTTTTTATTTTATTATCACTTTACATGAAGTCTTTACATTGTGTTTATAGCGCTAATCGGTTCGCAGATCAATACACACTTGATTTAGAAGGATTTGTAAGTTTTTAATCATAGATAGAAAATAACGATGATTAAAGGAACAAAAAAAAATTAGATGAGTCCTCATGAATTTACTGCGACGATTAATACGTTTAATACAGCCGCCTGGCACTATCCACCACCCAGTCGTATTGGAACAGGATCATTAAATTACTATCTATTCTGCCTATCTACAATAGTACTAGTGGCAGTTATAACTGCTATCCACTATACACATCAAATTGGATTGATCCTCGTGCTTCCCTTCTCCTTTTTATTATTTAGCCTGATTGTTATATACTGGCGTCGCCGCAAGATGAATAGAGTAAGATAAGAAATAAATAATATCAAAAAAAAAAATACTAAATATATATCACAGTTTGAAAGTGCAATGATTCATTTGTGTTCTTGCATGAATGCTACGGAAAATGTTCGTGGTATTAATTTCAGATTGACTTATTTGACTCCTGAACAACAAATTTCCATTCATCCTTCATCTAGTTATGCAAGTATTCCAAAATTCTATATTGACTATTAAAATGTGAATTACATCTAATTTTTTCTTTTAAATAATCTAATAGGCAATTACAATCGAATTCGATGACAGATACAACCTTCTACATCACTTTTCATCATCCAATAGACAACAACAACCTCCTGCTTATAATAGCACTAGTATCACAATTTCTCCTCCCCTTTATGAAATTGATAAACCTTCAAACATTTATCAGAGCTCACTAAAAAATTGAACCAATAAAACATAACATCATCGTGTGCGGAGTCATCAAGTGCAAACCCAAAAGGGAAAAGGCTCCTTTTCATTGGTCCGCTTCTCCCTCTTTCCCATTTTAACAATTAAAAAAATATAAGGCTTTTTTTTTTTTTCATTAATTTTTTTATTTATTTTTTACTTCTTTTGCACATAACAACAACATGAGAGAGCCCAACTTGAGCTTTCCTTCACAAAGTAGAGCAGCAGTGTGTATCACTTCTGCCTTGTATGATCGACGAGCACTAGATTGTACAGCTACTTTACCTCTCGTTAATTCACTCACTCATCTTGCGTATTTAACCTCCACCTCACCACGTATAAGAGAAATCTTGTGTCTAGATGGCGGACTAGAGAGACTTGTACGCATCTTGTTTCATACCTCAAATAGGTCAGATAGATTGACTCTTTGGAAATGGACGCTTGCTTTCCAGAGTATCGTCAATGTTGGGGTAAGGGGAACTGAACACATTCGAACTAAAGTAGTCGATGCTGGTATTATTCCATTTGTCATTACTATCCTAAGCAACTATTCAAAGACTTTTGATATTGTGCACGGAAGAAGAGAGAAAGGTAAAAAGAGCTATATACGTTAAATAAAATGATGACTAATAATATGAAAAAAAAAAGATCCTTCACCTACTACTACGACGCCTTCAGCAGCCAGAACAACATTTACAGCAGCATCATCATCATCAGGTTGGTATTCCGACTATGCAGTGTATCACCTGTGTATTTTTTCTCATCACTTCTTTTTTATATATATATATTATTAATAGTCGCTGAAGTAAAGCCGTCCGCATCGATTGCTACGCAAACATTACGTCGCTCCACCTTTCCTTATGTAAAGATTGACCCAGCACAAAGAAGATATAAGCGTATTCATAAAGATATAAAGTTACCAGAGATGGAAAACGTATTTCACCGTGAAGAGGATATATTATTGTGCTTGCAATTGTTGGCCTATTTATCCAAATATCCACATATTCGTGATATATTCCACACCTCATTTACAAGGAACGTATTCAGCGTAGTGGAAAAATTTTGTCATCGTCTTCAACCCAATTCGATACAATACTGGGCCGGTGTAATTATGAGAAATGCATGTCGAAAGGATGAAACTAAAGGTGGTATCCGACGCTGCGCCAATATGTCTTGTGGAAAGTGGGAGACTCAACCTCGTGAATTTGCTAAATGTCGACGCTGTAGAAAAGCCAAATACTGCTCGAAATCATGCCAATCCAAGGCTTGGGCTGACGGTCATCGTTGGTGGTGTGTTGAGAAACATGCAACTAGCGTCAATGAAGCTGTCACCACTGCTACTGCAATCACAACTACTGCTGCTCCTGCCATGACAACCGTTACCAGTAGTAACAATATTGAATCTGATAATGCCGAGACTTCCTCAGAAAATAGACCTATGCTTATGGAAATGGGACTATAAATTAATATAGTTTCCACTTATCACACTCCCTTTTCTCACTCCTTTTTTATCTTTTCTTTATATCAAGTATACCTCCATTTTTTATTTTCTTTTTCTTACTTTCTGGCATCTCAACCCAAAAAACTACACAAGCACACACACTCTCTTTTTTTTTTTATTCTAGATTATAATATGCATTTGTATCTATTTTGTTCACTACTACACACCCATTTATTGTTAAAAAACAAGCAGCAAAAAAAAAAAAAAAAAAAAAAAAAAAAAAATCTACAACAAAAAAAACATATATTAAAAACTAACAAAAAAATAACCCCCCATTCATTTATTCACGTGTTCACTCTTGTTTTTTTTTTTTTTTTACAATAAAGTTTCTTTCTTTTACGTTACGATATACATGGAGAAACCTTTACCTACAAAACCTTCTCACAGTGACACTCGAGACTTTATTGCCAAAACAGTGGCTCCTGTGATTGCCATCACAGCAAGTGAAGATGCCGAGGAATTATGTAGAGTGAACCATATTCCATCATTTGCAGACTTTATTAAACCTTTTGGTGACATGATTGAAGGGAGAGGTAATTGCTTTATTCAAAACCTAAATCCCTCTGTATTAAATTCCTCTCTGCAGTTACCCCACGCGATTGGCAAGGTGTTCCTATTCCCATCGACGACTTTCATTTACGCTTTAAACCCATTAATAAGCTGGAAGAACCCAACCATCAAGCCGTACTGAAATTAGTACAAGATGAAGTTAAACACCATGGTCAATGTGAACCTACCAAAGAAATCAGAACCAGAAATGACGTGGACCAAGAATATTTAAGCAGTATGTTTTTTTGTGTATTGAGTAACACATCTCCTAAACCTTTATCAAATAGCTCCATTGGACGAATTGACACCTTGGTACGCCAATTTCAAAAACACCATGCTATCACTTCGTGGAATCACTGAACATGAAACCTTTGATCATCCAGTGGCCACCATGATTGTCATTTCTTCTTCGAACCCGGATCCTGTCAGCACTATTATGCAACTTTATAACCCGAACGTACCTTCATTTACAATCGATAAACCTTATGTCGATACCAACATTCTTCGTTATTACGTTGTTCTACATGATCCTAACCGTACTAGCCTCGAGCAGTAAGTTCCAGATATTACAATCTATCAGTGAGATTAAATATTCCCTTTTGCTTGATAGATCAAAATCAGTATTCGACAAACTGAAAAGAACTGTTGGATTACATTGTCATCTTTTAACGATCAATTCGAATCCTAGGGATCCTTTAGATGATGATAGTATAGAGGATACATCTCCAGACAACATTCGAACTATATGGGATGGATTAGCTGAATCTTACCGTATCGAATCTGAATTACAGTCCTATGATACTGTTGTCAATGTATCATCAGATACTGCCAACATTGGATCTCCCATGTCACCTGGCTCCAACATGTCTTCACCCTTTTCAGCTGGTCATACAAGATCAAGTTCGATTGCATCCAACTTGAGTAATTTACCATCTACTGTGGTTCACGGTACATCTATTCAATCCGTACCTATCGATTTACTAGACGATGGAGAACCTGGACAAGAGATACCTACATTTATTGCACCAGAAACACCCTCTATTCAATACGGTCGATGTATGACAGCTGAAGATGTCAATAATGTTAAAACCATGGTAAAGGAATTCACCATTCAGAGCATGATACCTTTTATGGAGCGTAATATTCAACATTGGAATGAGCAAGTGGCTTCAGCGCGTCGTGGCCTTACAGGCCGTTTATTCGGTGCCAGTCGACGATTGTTCGGCGCAGCTAATCGATCACCTACATCCCAAGCGGTTCAGGTCATTCCTGTGCAAGGTCCCAATGTACCCATCGGATCCAATACATTGACCATATACCCTTATGCTGCACCCGAAGCGCAGATGCGTAAACTGGCAGATTATGCCTTTATGTTGCGGGATTACAAGTTTGCACATACCATTTATGATACGGTGCGTCGTGATTATGCCACCGAAAAAACCTACAAGTATCATGCTGGTACGCAAGAAATGATTGGTACCTGTCTCTTAATGATGAACCAACCTTTAACGAATAAATCCGATGTTGATCGAAATTTTGAACTGGCTGTACAACAATACATCGGACGTTGTCGATCGCCATTTCACGCTACACGTACAACCATTGTTTATTATGAGTTGCTCAAGGCACGTCAAATGTGGAAAGATGTTCCCACCGCACTTGTAAGAATGACAGGCGAGGATTCGGACTTACGATCGGGCTTGTTTTTGGAACAGGCCGCGCATTGCTTCTTGAGAGCAAGTAAACCTATGGTCAGAAAATACGGATTTCATCTGGTGATGGCGGGACATCGATATGGAAAATCATCTCAGGTAATAACTTTAAAATTATATGTAGCTTCCCTTCCCAAACTGAAAAGAAAGGGGTATTCTCTTTTTTCTTTCTAGCGCTTGCATGCTTATCGGTCTTACAAAATGGCTTCATTTGTATTGGAGAATCATGCATGGTCTGTTGCCAAAAGTCATATTCAATTCGCGCTCGGGCGTCAATCATATCATTTAGGCCGACTTGAAGATGCAGTTATGTATTTCTCCAACGTCTTAACCGATACGAAACAAACACCTCAACAACAATTATCGCACATTCGAGAATTCTTGTTTATTTACAAACAGTATACCACACAAGAAGGGATCGATCCTTTAAAGGAATCTTTACCCCACTTGACTTTACCGGTCATTGAAGATGCACCTATCCAAGTCACCTTATCAAATGCACAATCAAACACCACCCATCCCGAAGAATGGGCCACCATGGAAATCGAGTTATTGGAAGAATGCATCAAACATGGTTACATCTCTAGCTCAAAGAAGGCATTGGCTGTACAACAACAAGATGATCACCGTGTTGTATGTGCTGTAGGTGAACCTGCGCTTGTTCATATTGAGTTGTATAACCCTCTTCAAGTACCCATTACACTGAGTGATATTATTTTAGGTTGTCAATATAGAAAATCCACCACCGAAACGCCTGACAATGATGAGCCTGTCGATGCCTATCAAGTAATGCCCGTATGTAAACCCAAGCAGGATACACCTGATATGTTTGACTTTGATGAATTCGAATTACAAAAGATAGACCAAGTGACTTTAGAGCCATTAGAGAAGCGAATGATCAATTTAGCCATCGTACCTCGTCACAAAGGCAGTGTACAAGTCAATGGATTGCATTATACTTTAAATGACCTCGTTCATACCTTTAGACCGTTCCATAAGAAGGGTAAAAGATTAAACAAGACAAAGCAAGACATGATGTCTGTGACGTATGCTCCCGATCGATCGCTTGATATACTAGTTACTTCGCCTATGCCTTTATTGGATTTGGCTTTCCATCATGTGCCTGAAACTATCCTATCGGGTGAGGTCGTTCAAACCGTACTGGAAATCAATAATAAGGGTAATAAGGGTCTAACTGCACTTCGGTTAAAATCAAGCCACCCTAGTTTTATCTGTGTAGGCAATCCTGAGGAAATGGATTCAGATATATATGGTAAATATAACTGCGTAATTGTTTTAAAAAATCCCACTCATATATAAATGTTTTTCTTGTAGCTTCCAAGGATACATCAAGTGGTACAGGTACAGAACTAAAGATGGACAACAAGCTATTTGACGCTAGTGTGATTTCAATTCCTTTACCTGCTAAAAAGGGTGAGACCCATAGTAATGAACATGGTGTGGTAATTCCTGGTGAAACCACACTTGTTCCACTCTGGTTACGTGGTGATCGTATTGGTAAACACACCTTCAAGTTTTTGTTTTCATACCAGTCCGATGAAGACAACGATATGATTGCGCATCGCACATTAAGATACACTGTACATGTTCAAGTTTTACCGTCACTCAAGATTAATGCATTTACTAGACCTAGTACGACTGCCGTGAATGAGTATATCCTGGGTATCGAAATTGAGAATTTGCAGACGATTGCCAATTTTGATTTGACTCAATTAACTGCTACGAGTCCCATGTGGACTATTGCGCCCCTCAGTATTGATATCAGTTCGCCACAGGATATTCAAGAGAAGACGGTGATTCCACCGCGTCAAACGACTTTCGCCTACTACAAGATTAAAAAGGCTCAACATGTGGATACATCTTGTCCCGAGGCTTGGACTTCAAATGCGCTCGGAGCCTTATTAAACAATGTCGAATCCAAGACGAAAGCCATGCCACCGCCCATTTCTTTGAATTTGAGCAAGATTTCGTTTGTAAAGTAGAGCTGAAAGAGAAATGATATATTATGGTAGGAATCTAATGTTATATCTCCCTTTTTTTTTTTATGATTTAGAGAGATAATGATATTCCTTTTGATACGTCTCCATTAAAAACATTTGCTCTGAATTCCCGCATGAATTGGCGTCAAACAAATTTGGATGGACAATTCCCTAATATTTCTCAAGAAAGATATAGTGCTTTATTTACCTTGTTTAACTCGGGAGATGTGGATTTAACATTGTATTGGAATATTCCACAAATGAAACGTCATGGCCATCATTATATCATTGGTGTTAACTTGGGTGTGCAACAAAATCCCTTCCAGGGCACAACGGATGTTGTAGGTAAGCAAAATACACGTACCATGTTTGAAGCTACAGTGAAAGAAAGAGCCTTGTTGGTGAGCAGTCTTACACGTAACCGAGCTATGAAGGATGAAAGTCCAATCAAATTAATGGTATCCACACAAGATAAATATGCACACAATTTTGAAAAAGAAGGGTAATTAAGAAAATTGAAAGCAAGTTCTGAAACCATCATCAGTTTACTCACTCTTTTCAATATATGTAAAAAAAAAAAAAAAAAAAAAAAAAAAAAAAAAAAAAATAGGCTTTTGAAGGCACCTATCTGTATTGTTTTGCAAAACTGTTCATGGAACAGAAGTAGCAAATACACACTTGAATTATTACCATGGTCTGATCATAAATCCAACAAAACCAGCGGCAAAGCAAGCTCGTTAAATATATTCCCATTCCATTGGACAGGATCCACTGTATTTACAGGTAACTTGAAACCTGATGAAAAACTAGATTTACTTGCATACGCGACATTTCAGTTACCTGGTGTGTATGATGTCAATCGCTGGAAATTGACTGTACGCACGGATGATAAAGAAGATTCGGAAGTGTTTGTTCATTTACCTAGTTTACCCCAATTAGTTACTGCTGTTGCCACTTAATCAAATAAACTCACAATCCCCCCTTTTTACCTGTAATTAAAGGTTGTTTGGAATAAGACCTGACACTATTTGGAGAATATGGTTGCTATTGAATTATATTGATATGTTTAAAAGATTATCTTTGTGTCTCATCCAACTGCTCGAATAATTGAAGTGCATATGCTCCTTTTAAATTAAGCAGTTCCTAACGAAAATAGCATTGCTCCTAACATTGTGAATAATTTGCTCTACTAGAATATATGGCACTCCTGATAGATAATAAATACCTAGCAAAGTATCAGTTTTTGTGAAAAGAGATACCTCTCTTTTTCCTTTTCCACTCTTGCGAGATAATAAAAAAACTCCAGGACACAATATAATATTGACAATTCATTTAAAAGTATGGGTATATGTCAACTTCTTTCTAACTGGTATACCAAAGAGGATTGTTAGATATGAAAGCAAAAAAAAAAAAAGACTTTGTCTTAAAGTCTGTTTGAATATGTATACTTTGTTGAGGATAACATAGATATAATAATTAAGTTAATTGTCACATCACATTAAGGAAAAATAATAAAATAAAAGTTAATCATGAATCACACATTACTCCACTTGTTCTCATTCTACCGTTGAATTCTGTACACAGGGTACAACCCTGTGGCGAGTAAATATTTATTCTGCAAAAAGTAATACAATCGAATTGGCCTTGACTATGGAATATTGATAGATCCTGAGCACCAATATTACTCTTGTCATTTGATGTTATATTACTGTTGATCCCTCTGACTAATATTTATATACTCAGTATGGAAGTGCTAAATTTAAAGACATGTTGATTATTTATTATCACCAGGTTATTACATCATGATCCGATAAGGCGCTTAATATTCTCCCTAGAACTATCAAGTTCTTCATATAAATATCCATAGTTTTTTCTCATAGACCATCATATATTTTTTAATTAATTTTTTTTTCGTTCTTAATAAAGTGGTATCCAAGTTCTAACAGTATCACTTTGGTTTTACTTTAATTTTGTTCTCCATGCAAAACAATGTTTAGGGCGCAAACAGTTTTCGTTGGCTAAATCAAGAATATAAAATACGGAACTAGGTGGGTAAGGATGCCATAGATCGACGCGAAGCGGACTACTCCAAGTTAACGATAATGGAAGTCGTTGGAAGTTCTAAACAATTAGCAACGCTGATAACAACATCCGTGGATGATTTAGGTATCTAATCGATCAATGACTTGTAAAAGTAGATATAGAGATCCGTTAATCTTTTTGGTAGCAGGAGGACGACGTGGAGGAATGGTCAAGATCTTTGGAAGCGGTTGGAAAGTGCTTAAAAGAGTTTGGAGTTGGTTATCGTGGATGAATATTTGACGAGTCAAATCTGCCATAAAGGTAGTATTAGAACTCTGGGACATGTTGTAACCAAAAAATCAAAACGAAGAGTACATGCGGTATTGAAATGCAAGCAACATTATAGTAATGTCGTATGGCTACTCACAACATATTGGACATTTTTTTATCTGCTGCAAAAAATAATAATCAACGTCCTGATGTTTTTTTTTGCGTCAACCTACAACAAATTTAAAACCTGTAGTAACTATGATGAACATACTCTTTTATACTTCCGTACTCTGTAAGTTACATTAATTTAGTGATTCTAAAAAGGGTGTTAACTTTGTATTTCACAGATAACTTTTGCATTCTCTTTAAAGGCAATAAATATATATACATACGTGTATACATATATATATATACATATTGTTTGAACTTGACTGAAAATTAATTTTGATCCGTCTGAAAAAAAGTACCACAGTCTGAATCTTAAATGGGAAATCTGTACCATGGTCTTGGTTTTGTCACAGACAATTAAATTCTATCAGATTATGTGGCTACCATTCCTGGAATAATGAAACTGTTAAAACGTCATGTACTATCATAAACTAGTATGATAATACTTGTTTTTTTCTTCGATCAAAAAACAAAGATGAGCTTGAATTAGTGTTACACTATGGTTTTCTGTTATTTCTTATTTTCTGGAAACTTTTTTATTTTTAGGTCTATTTCACCATTACTAAGTTTGTTTAGATGAAAAAAAAAAAATTTATGTTATCAAAAAAGTTAAACAGTTTATTTACATAAAGTATATTTAGGAAGGATGAGCATGTCCGGAGATACCAATTTAAGGATCAACATACAAAGGGGGTGGGTAATTCTTTATTCTTGTGGTATCCCACTAGCATTCCTTGAGTGTACATCCAGCACCCTCCTTTAGACCATTGGAGGGACAGTAACATGTGTTACATCCGTCACTGTGTTTAAATGAAGAGCCAGGTGTGCATTTTTTATCTGAGGAGACACATGCCTTGAGGGTACAACCAGCTTGACTCTTTATACCACTTGGTGGACAGAAACAAGTGTTGCATCCTTCTGCGTCCATAAACGATGTTCCAGGAGTGCATTTATCTTCATTACCCGTCGTGGTACATGACATCAAAGTACAAGCTGCCTCGCGCTTTAAGCCACTAGAAGGGCAAGAGCAAGTATTACATCCGTCATCTGCAGTGTAAGATGATCCAGGGGTGCATGTCTTTCGATTGACCCGGCAAGACATTCGTGTACAAGGCGCGTCACTCTTCAATCCACTGTGAGGACATCTACATGTATTACACCCATCCTCTGCTACAAATGATTGATTTGGCTTACATGTGATTGTGGCAAGAGGGACACATTGTTTCAAGGTACAGGCTGCGTGCTCTTTTGATCCATTTGTGGGGCACTTACAAGTATTACAACCATCTTTAGCAGTAAATTTAGATCCGGGAACACATTTTTGAGATGGGTCGACTTTGACACAGCTCTTCTTGGTACAAGCAGCATTCGCCTTTACTCCACTGGCAGGACATATACAAGAATTGCACCCATCTACAGACTTAAATGATTCTCCAGGAGTACATTTGGAATTGTCACCACAGAACATTCGGGTGCAAGGCGCTTTTTCCTTCAAACCGTTGGCAGGGCAAATACATTTATTACATCCATCGGCATTTAAAAACGATTGGTGGGGGGTACATTGATCTTTTGTGAGACAAGCGACTTCAAGTAAAAAATAACAAAGAGCAAATAAGAAAATATATCCCTTCATTGTAAGTTTATTTTTGACAAGAAAAAGAAAAAGAAAATAAGATGGATGAGCCTGCCTATTTATATGTTTGCATTAGCCGTATATGGAGCCATACGGTGTTTTAAAATAAGGTTTTGTTTGGAATTTCTGTCTGCCTTTTGATGGAGGAGGGGTCATCACAAGCATGTTGGGTAGACACCCTGAGACCAAATGTAGGAACCCATTATAATGAACATAAAAAATTGCGAGACTACAACTGAAATAAATCCATATCTATAGCTGTCCTTTCTACCAAGACTAGTCAACTCAACCATAAAAGTCGATATCGTGCTTAAACAGCCACAATAGCCGGTGGCTAACCCATCCACCACGTCGCATGCAATTGAAATTAGAGAAACACCCGATTGCACAAGTGATAGAACGGCAAGAACGATAGTTGCAAATAGATTGGCAATAAATGTACCAATAGGAAAATGAGACCATTTCCCGTTATAAAATGACAGGTACCAACGTGTAAGAGCACCTACTGGTGCGAACACGCATGAAAAAGCTAATCCTCTTTGATCTTTGGTAAAAATAGAAGCAAGAATAACTCCTATCCAAGATAAAATACCGAACACAATAGTAAAGTAGTCCTTTTTGTCAAGATACTTTGTTGAAAATCCACGCGGGATTATTCTTTGCTCATAAATTACTGGAAAATACAACTCACCAATATGCTGACCAAAGACAAGGCCGTTCAAGGCCACCGCCATTGTCACGAGAAATTCAGACAAAGCGGCCAAGACATTCTTTCCCCTTGTATGCGGATAGGCATTATAATTTGCAAATTCTTTAAATGTATCCAGCTGCCATGATGAAAACGTAGTTATAGACCCGCATAAACCACTAGTAATCGCTGGATGAAATGGGTGATACCTTATTGATCTTTTTTAGTATAAATTGCCTGAAAAAGGGAATCTTTTTTTTTTTTATGTTATACCATGAAACTAGTAAACCCTTCTTTTTCATTGCAATTCCCATAATCAAACAACCGACCCACTGAGCATACACAATGCCGAATACTGGCGCACCAGAATATTCCTGTAATCGAGTTATTGCAATGCGAATTAAGCAACCCGCAATTGACGATGGTATAATCGCTGCGGCAATAGCAAGTTTATTTTCGCTAATCTCGACTACTCTTCCTGGTGCATCTGCCATGTGAGCATTCATAAAAAAAACAGATATCTCAAGAGAGGATATGGTAGACTTGAGCCCGAATTTGCGGAGATAGGGACTGTCGTTTTTATTAAAATCGTGATCATTGAGCCTCTCGCTCTTGTTTCTTTTATCTTTAAACAAAAAAAAATGGGTAACCCACTTGACCTGTACACTATCCGCCGTGCTGTTGAAGGAGACCTTCCTCAAATTCTTGAAATTTACAATGAACGCATTGCTAATTCCACCTGTCTCTTCATGTACGACCAAGTTCCTCTCGAGAACCGAGTAACCTGGTTCACAGAGACAAAAGCAAAAGGGTATCCCATTATTGTTGCCGCCGAAAAGGAAACAGATAAGGCCATTGCATATGCAAATTACGGTGTATTTAGACCCCATACTGCATTTATCTTGTAAGTCTCTTCAGGATCTATATATGCAAATACATCTAAAATCCCTCTCATTTAGAACTACTGAAATATCCTTGTATATCCACCAAGGTCATCAACGTAGGGGATTGGGAGCATTGATGTTGACAGAAATGATGCGTATTGCTAAAGCTATGCAGTTTCGCAACATCATTGCTGGTATCACTGCTGAAAATGAAGGATCTGTCATTCTGTTTGATAAGTTTGGTTTTAAAAAGGTTGGTCATTTCCATGATGTTGGATATAAATTTGGGAGATATCTGGATGTTGTTTTCCTGGAATATATTACGGATGCTCAAGTGGAAGACGAGAAGCAGATCCCTTCATTTAAATCTTTCGCCTGGGATGATTATGTATATGGTGGTACTATCACGAATTAGCTAAAATAAAAGTGCATACACTGTAAATATTTAGATTATAGTTTATTCCATTTCAAGCGGCTGCAAATTTAGGAGTATATGGTAATGCGGCACTTAGACCACCGTCGACTACCATAGCTTGTCCTGTTACAAAGGATGCTTCAGCGCTGGCCAGAAAAGCAGCCATTGTAGCAATTTCTTCTGGTTTGCCACATCTTTCCAGAGCAGAATTATATTTTATGGATTTTGACTCATATGCATCATTGGCAATCGCGTTTAAAACACGTCCTGTCATTTCTGTTTCAATTATACCCTGTTGATTTAAAATACAATAATTAATTTAGCTATTAATTTTGCGTCGGATCCACTTACGGGACAAATTGCATTAACACGAACGTCTTTCCCGTGTAATCTCCAAGCAGCGGACTGGCAAATATTAATAACACTTTTATGTACAACTCGAAATTAGTGGATCATCACGGAATTATAAAAGGTAGACAACTTACGCTGCTTTTGAAGCCGAATAAGACACAGGACCAGCACCTGATCTCAAACCAGCAACTAAAAATAGTATTTAATGAAATGAATGCACAATCACACGCACACTAACCTGAAGCTGTAGCAATAATTGAGCCACCAGACTTGATCTTATCTTCTGATGTTTTTTCCATCGCCACAGATGCATATTTGATCGCGGCAAAAACACTAACCATCTGAGTCTTTCATACCTATAATTACATAACAATATCTTATTACCTCCAAGTATTAATACGCATCATCTCAAGAAACCCTTCCATTGTTTGTGTAGCCATAGGGTGGTTTCCACCAACACCAGCGTTTGCAAAAAAGACGTCTAAACGGCCATACTTTTCTAAGGCGTCGTCAATTACTGCCTGAATATCCTTGTCTGAACTAGCATCGACAACTTTGGGAATACACGCGACGCCAGTGGTTTCTGTGATATCTTCTGACAAGGTGGCAAGATTGTTATCATGGATATCCGTAACATAAATAACTTTTGGTGTTTTCTTCGCAAAAGCATATGCGGAGGCGCGGCTATAATAGAATAATTTTCAGTATAGAAGGTATATTTTGGGTGATTTTCACTGTTACCCAATTCCGGTTAAGGAGTTACAGCCTGTGATAATACAAACAAAGCTATCCATTCTCCTATTTTTTTCTTCTTCTGTTGAATAAAAGAAAGAAAAAAGAAAAAAGAAAAACAAATAACTAATCATAATTTAAACTTGTGTTTGTTTATAGTTTCAAACACGTTTTTTCTAAATGTTGTGTCATAAGGGAAGTCAAATCAAGACAAATGTACGCCTAAAAATGTACAAAAAAAGTTTAAATGGGGATATTCCTACTGTTTTCAAGGGGAGATAGTGTATTCATCTGAATTGTATATGTATTACGCGTTTGCTTTTATTTTTTAGTGAATTAAAATTGAAAATATGAGTTGTAGGTTGATATATTATGAATGATTATAAATTAAGTTTCACCGAAGAAGGGGCTGTATGGGACAGCAGCACAAATACCACCGTCGACCTTAATATCTTGTCCAGTAATGTAAGAACCACCGGGACCGGCCAAGAAAGTAACTAAAGCAGCAACCTAAATATAATTTGTCAGCTTACATGGGTACACAATTCTTAATGCTTTATTGCACTTACCTCCTCAGGTTTACCGTATCTTTCTAAAGCAGTTGTCTTCATGAGAGCGGTCTCCATGTCCTTATGGTCCTTGATAATATCAAAGACAATATCGGTCATTTCGGTCTTGATAAGACCCTGTTTAATTTAAAGTCAGTACAAATATAAGGCTAATCAAATCAGGCACTTACAGGACAGATAGCATTAACTCTGATGTTCTTTCCGTGTAATCTCCAGGCAGCAGTTTGACAAATGTTGATAACACTAATTTGTTTTGTGTATAAGTTTTTGGTATGCTTCTTATTCTTAATGTTACTTACGCAGCCTTTGAAGCAGAATAGGACATGGGTCCACCTCCGGATCTAACACCACCAACTAATAAAGAAACGTGAGCAAATTATCATTATGATAAAAATAAATCGTAAATAACACTTACCAGAAGAGGTGGCAATAATAGATCCACCACTAACAGGCTTCTCTTCAGAGGTCTTTTCCATAGCTAAAGAGGCATATTTGACAGCGGCGAAAACACTAATTTGCGTTAAAATCAGATTCCAATCCCCTCCCTCAATTTTCTTAAATTTATACATACCTCCAGGCGTTAGTGCTCATCATAGTAAGGAAAGCTTCCTTAGTTTGTGTAAGGTAAGGATGGATACCAGCGACACCGGCGTTGGCAAAGAAAACGTCAAGACGACCATATGCAGCTAAAGCGGCATCAATAACAGCGTTGATGTCATCATCGGAACTGGCATCAGCAGCCATAGGAATACAATCAACACCAGTGGTTTCCTTGATATCCTTGGCCAAACTGGCAAGGTTGTTATCATGAAGATCGGTAACATAGACAGCCTTGGCGTTTTGCTTAGCGAAAGCATAAGCGGAAGCACGACTATGGAAAAAAGAAGATGGATGTTAACAACCAGCCCATGATTTTTTCTTATTAAAGATTACTTTACCCGATACCGGTCATGGAGTTAGCTCCTGTAACAATGCAAACTAATCCGTCCATAGTAGTAAATAAGGATTGATAATAAAAGTGAAAGAAAAGAAAAAATGAAGGCGAAAAAAAAGCACGTTCTTGTACTAGTTGTTTTTTTACATGAAAGTCGCACACGGAACATCAGTAACACCAGAAATAATAATTAAGGTATGGGTAATTTGACACTGTTGTACATTAATTTTTGATAGGTCTTCTTCGGTCAAATCTTCCGTCTAATTTCTCCCCATGTAACATATACTTTGTTTTTAATCAGATTGGTGTCTCTCAATATATGCCAAGTGATCGCTCGCTTGTCATTTTGAAAGCACAAATTACACACGATAGTTTAAGGTTATTACATTATGTTATATACAAGAAAAACTACCTTACCTGTTTTCTTCACAAAAATGAGCATATTCGAAATCACATGCATAACATTTGAGATACAGGTCAAGTTGATTAAACGACCTTTTATATAATAGGGTTGTACATTGTAGGATTCAGAACAAGTGTTTCGTTTTTGGACAGATCGCAGTTCCAAATAATTAGGATTTAACCACACAGAGAGCTTAAAGGCAATTATTTTTTGGTTCACAATCAGAAGGATATAACGCATACGTCTTATTTCCTTTAATTGACTGTAACAAGCCAAGCAGTCAAGTGTTTTGGTAATTATCATTTTTCAATGGATAATTAAGTTTTGAAATGATCATCGCCGAAGCATTCTCACGAGTTTAGACATATCATTTAGTACTGTAAAGAGTTCTGCAGCTTACCAATGAAAGTTTAAGCTCCTGGAGTATGAGCCTTGCCACTTGTTGTCTACCATGAGCTACTATTATAAAATAGATATAAGGTTGAAACGGAATTACAAGTTTGGTGTAACCATAAACTTATTATACATCAGTTACAAATTTGATGAATAATACATGGACGACTTTAGTCTTCTTCACATTTTACACACAGTGTGATTAATTCCTAGTGTGAATATAATAATATTCCTTTGAATGGGTGCTATTGAGATGTCTGAATAATTTTCTGAGAGCTGGAGTCCTTAATTAGTAGAGTGGTACAAGCAACGCACAGTCTTATCTTGGAATTTGCAACAGGAAGTCATTTCGCAGGCTGAAAGAGCGAAATAAAAAGTTAGCAATCGGCACAACTTTACAATCCAATACAAAAATACAAGTGCAGTATGCAAGTTTCTGCCTCCCAAAAAAATTAGGCTGATGTTCGATTTTAATAAAATACAGGCAATTTTAAAAGTTTGTAAAGAGTTAAAATCAATAGTTTGAAATCAAACTCGCTTAATCGTAATATTTTTTTTTTTTGCTAGGTCAAAAAAAAAAAACTCCCCAGGAATGATAACGAGTGTTAAGTATAAGTAGTCATACACAAGCCTCGAGAGCTAACATTGCCTTCAAATTAATTTGGTTGCGAGCCCATTTGGTTACTATTGTCGTTTATTACCATCTGGTTTTTAGACCTGTAATCGGTCTACATTCAATACTTTTTGTGCGTCATATTAGACGCAACTCAAAAATAAGTTTGTTTATTGTTATTCTGCTGGTTATTATTGAGAAAGTTATATAATTTTTGCTCAAACAATGGAGTACTTTAAAACAGGCTTAATTTTTTCCTTCTCATTGAATATCATGTTAGTGTTCATGTCTACAGGCACTTTCTTTTTGTTGCTGCTACCTTTATGTAAGTACCACTTTAGGATGCGAGCGCTCTTATTTTACTACATGTTGTATATGTTGGTAACTTTTATGTGAAACCAGTTTTAAATATCTATGTTGAATTAAATTAGCATTTTATTGTAATAACTTTTTAATGGCTTCATGCCATTATGTGTATTCTCGTAAACATTTACTTATTAGTAGTGAAACACAACCTGATACTTACACCTGTGACATATCCTCTTATGGCTTTTGTAAAATCAAAGATTTATGACTCCTGAATAACTTGACCAACTTTTATTGAGTGTAGATAATCTTATTGATGGGTGGGTGTTAAACTCATAATGGCTAGTAACTACATGACTGTATATGATCGCTGCATCAAATGTAGAACACAAGTTAAAATTGTTTAAAGGTTTAAGCCCTGATAATAATGCATTAATAATAAATTTAAGTAAACAGAGTCTTTTAAACATCAATTCAAAAGACAATGCTTTTAAATTTGTAAGTCAGCGAATTCTTCTCCAGTTTTTAAGAGGTGTTTTTTTCGAGTAGTATATTTTTTTGTCATTCTGATTTTTAAATAACAATAATTAATCAAACAATTGATCAGCTACCTTAGTTCATATTGTGATCTACAGCGTTGGAATTTTAAGCAACTACGCTGCAGGAGAGACATGCAGTGTGAAAAATTTAAGGAGAGCAATAAAGAATGAAAATTTAAAAGTTTGAAGTCAAGATACTCTTTTGTTTTTTACATCGTTTTTTTTTTCACTGTTAGTCTTATTATTTACTTGATGAATATCAGCAGGCACTCATCTTCGATTGAAATTGACCTCCCAAATGAAACCAAGACTATACATACCAAGTCGATAGAAAATGTCCAGCAGCCATATTTTACGTTTCAGCAGTCAAATACGGGTCAAGGATGGAAGGATAATACAATATACAGACTAAAAAATTATTTTCCACGTTACCAACTACAAAAGTCTGGTAGTTACAATTGGGTTAATACAGTAAATTAAATAATAATCTAAAGAATTATTTTAATTTCTAGGCGTTGTTCAAATATATGAGCGGCCTACTTGGATACTTTGTGTAGGTTACGGTATTCAACATGTTTTAGCCATGTTTAGCGGGGTAATTATACTTCGTACGTAAATTTTCGACAGTATCAATGAATTACTTTACGCAATATTTAAACGGCTGTGTAGCTCTAATTCTAGGTTACGATTCCAACAGTATGTAGCCAATGATACAATATGTTGTTGTTGTCTTTAATCAAGAATATGTTTAGCATCCTTGTTTTTTTCTGGAGTGTCTACAATCGTGTTTTTTGTTGTAACAGGTGGTAGAGTGCCTGCCTATTTAGGTTGCTCCGGTTCCATTGCGAGTGTTATCTTATCTATTACAAATTATAATTATACAGCTACCTCGGGTCTAAACTCAAATATATCCCAAGTACAGGGAGCTTTGTTGATACTTAGTATTGCATACGCCACTGTTGCAATATTTGTAATATTTTTTGGCTGTAAATGGCTTGAATTTTTTATGCCACCAAGTAAGTTTTTTATTCGGCAGACTGCCTAATTTTCCTATCATTAATATTATAAAGTTGTTACCGGTAGTATTATAACAAGCATAGGGTTGCATCTTTGCTTTATATCATATGGTCAAATTACAACTAGTCCGTTTGATACTTATATGTCCGTTGCCACAGCAGGTTCAATCATGCTTATATCTGTTTATGCGCCGACCAATGCAATGCGTAGAATGTATGACGTGTATAGTCAACATTTTTATTACCATATACGAACTGATGTTTTTTTTTTACTTGTAAGATCTCTATTGTTAGGTACAATAATAGGTTATGCTATTCATGCTATATGCGGATCAAAAAACATAGGACCATCCATTAATTACTCTGGGATAGTATCAAGCCCGTGGTTCCGAGCACCAGAAATTAATTATCAAATAGAGTTTGATTCCCAATCAATTGGTATGGTTTTGCCAATTTTAGTTGTATTCTTGGCCGAAAATCTGGGTCACATGAAAGCTATCCAGTCTATAATTACCACAGGCCCTCCCATGTTAAAGTATATTGGGCGAGCATATTTAGGTGATGCCCTTGGATGTTTAATCGCTAGTGTAGGTGGTACTATACCATTTACTACGTACGCCGAAAATATTGGTGTGTTGGTATGATAAAATATATTGGCGCGGTTTTTAAGGAAGTTGCTAATTGTACATTAGTCTGTCACTCAAGTATTCTCTCCGTTGGTTATATTATTTGCTGCAATTTTTGCAGTTCTGTTAGGTTTCTTTGCAAAATTCAGTGCAATTGTAAAATCAATTCCATCAGGTGTTCTAGGCGGAGTTACCCTTGTTTTATACAGCTTAATTGTAATCACGGGTATTCGGATATGGGTGGTTAACAAGATAGATTTTAATGGTACTTATGTGCGCGTAAATTTAAACCATACTACGTTGCTAAAAGAAATCACTAATTTTAGACACCCGTAATGTATTTATTGGCGGTGTTCCTGTCATTTTAGCAACAGTTATGCAAACCCCTTTAGTCCTAGGTAATTTCCAATTAGACGGTATTGGTGTTGCTACTTTTTTATCAATCATACTGTATCAACTTTTACGAGGGTTTGATGAGTGGAAACAATGTTTCTCTGATATCAGACAGTCATTTCGCAATTGACCGTAAACCTTTTTAACCCAGTTGATTGAGCGAGCGTTTTATTGTATGGCAAGAAGAGATTAAATAAATCAGTAAGATGCCCTGTAAACGATGCGCTTTTATTCTTTGTTTTGTTTTAAAAGATACAAGAATATTTAAGTTATTGATAGCAATACTTATTGATTTGGTAAGATTAGCAAGCAACTCGTTATCAATTATCGTCATACACAATAGATTTTAAACCTATTTCTATCAAGCACATAATTAGCTTAAATTATAATATACATACATAGCAAATGTATATATATAATTAATGTATAGATATAAAGTATTCGCAACAGTGAGTTTATGACAAGAAAAGGTGATTTTTATTTGTAAAAAAATATGGATATATGGGAGTTAAATAAAATTTAGTCCTTGAAAATGCCGTTTTCTTCGTCACGTTTAATTTGTTCTTTATCAACAACATATGTATCTTTGAAAGCCCAGACTTGTCCCTTGTTGAACAACTAAAAATAATAAGTTAGCATATGTTCGTTTAGTATATAAAACAACGACTCACCTCGTCCATTTCTTCCAAAGAGCGACCTCTGGTCTCTGGTAAAAGGAAATAGGCAAATGATCCCATAAGGACGGCACAAGAACCGAAAAAGAAATAGGTACCATAAGTAATTTTAGCAATCATAAGAGGTGTAACCTTAGCAATAGCGGCATTCATAGCCCAATTGGCGGCAGTGGCGATAGATAATGCCATTGCACGGATACGAGTAGGATAAATTTCGGAACAGACAACCCATACAACAGGTCCCCAAGAGAACTCATAACCAACAGCAAAGACATAAATACATATCATTGCAATATATCCCTTGGCTCCAACTTTAGCTCCTGGTAATGAAAGACTTCCGCCATTTTCTTTTTGAATACCATAAATCATACCACCCAGAACATAGAAAGAGATCATCATAATAATAGCACCAAGCATAAGTGTACGTCTACGACCCAATTTGGTGTCGACCATAAAGAAGGAAACAAAGACAAATGCAACCTTGACAATACCATAGACACCAGTAGCGAGAATTTCTGTTTCGTTGCTGTCCAAACCAATTGAATGGAAGATTTCAGGAGCATAATAGTTCTATATAATATTAATTAAGTCTTAGGGTATACGAATTATTATTATTTGCTTACAATAGCGTTGGTTCCTGTCCATTGTTGAAAGATCTGAAGCATGACACCAATGAATAATCGATGTAAATTAGATCTGTTAAATAATTCTGTCCATTTTCCGGATTTGGATTCTCTCTCGAATTCTGCAGCTGCATTGATTTCTTCAAGCTCTTCAATAATTTCGGGATGATCTTCAGGCAAATCACGAAGTTTTAATAAATTAATTTTGACATCTTCAGCACGATCTTTGAGAGCAAGCCATCTTAATGATTCGGGTAAGAAAGCCATACCAACACAGAGAATGACACCAGGGGCAAGTTGAATAGCGAGAGGTACTCTCCATTGATTATCACTGACTGCCATGGATCGAAGACAAGCATAATCAATCCAATAAGAGACCATAATACCCAAAACAATCAAAAATTGCCAGAGTGTACCCAATCTACCTCTTAATTTACGTGGAGCAATTTCTGCAATATACATGGGAACTAAAGCTGAACATGCACCAATACCCACTATTGAAATAGTTCTTTTAACCAGCTATTCTCTTTAATAAACCATTTGACTTACCACCACCAAAGAAACGGCCAGCCATCATGGTAGCGAGATTTTTAGCGACAACTTGCATAACTGATCCAGCAAGGAAAATAACTGAACTCCAAACAATGCACCACTTACGTCCAAAACGATCTATTTCATATGAACATGAGTTTTTTAATATATGATGGGTGTGAATCTATATTACCGGAAGGGAAGTTGACAAGTAATGCACCAACACAACAGCCTGCTTGTAAGACAGATACAACGTCACCTTTCATCGTTGCGATTTTACCGGCATCACCTTGAATTCCAAAATATATAGGAAAGGTTGGCATAGCCAGGACACCTGAAATTACACCTGGAAAAAAAAAATGGAATTGTATTTAGTAAACTACTAATTTGTGCATATGGTATAAATTGAAGTACCAATATCATAACCGAATAAGAAACCACCGATACAAGATACAAATGTGGCGATTAATGAAAGATGTTTCATATAATTATTTAAAAAAGTTTAAATTATAGAAGAAAAAAAAAAAAAGAAAAAAAAATGCAGGACAATGCAACCATCTTTTTATACATTCATGAACATGGAATAACACTTTTTTTTGTACCTTCTTTTTTTTTATTTAGTGTTCACCAAAGTCAGAAGATACATGAAGTAAAAGCAAATCAAAAAATTCTCCTTAACCAGTGTGTTCCCAAAGCCAAAATTCCGAAATGACAGTAATTTTGTTTTTAAACTCCAGTGTCATGATGTATTTTTTTTTTATAAAATGGGAATTAACCCCACATTATGCTATGTACTAAATCCTTGTGTAATTATTTATTATTGTGTCAACCCAACCATCCTTCTTTTTTATTACTTATTTTTTCGCCTAGTTACTCTCCAATCTTGCTGAAAACCTACAGATCGTCATCATTATGTGAAACTTCTTTTGTCATACGACGCAATAGTCTATTCTCATTATGGCCATTAACAACTTGTTCAAATAAAGTACTACCTTGTACTACAGTAATTCTCATTTGTTTTCCCACCCACCAATGTGAGAGAAAATAGTTGTAATTTCTATTATTTTATATACAGAACATCAATAAATAGTGCATGTTTATTTTTTAAATTATCATTTGATAAAAGTGGTGGACCTTCAGTGTCAATTGAAGAGACTTTTGAAAAATTCGTATATATCATGCACAGTGGCATATGTAAAAAAATAATGCATAAAAACTTACGTATGCGCAGTCAAATACCTTCTCCTGATAGGTTCATGCTGGGAAAAAGTAGAATTTTGTGAAGTGTGTGTGTAAAAAAAAAAATCTCCCAAGTGCCTATAAAAAAGACAAGCGACATATGATTTCGGAAAAAAAGGATTAATTTTAATTGTCCTTTAAGAACATAAGTAAAATAAGCATTGTTTCATGGTAAACTCGTTACAAGCATAAATGCTCCCCTTCATTTGATCTATCATCTGCTAATGTTTTTGTTTTTGTTTTTGTGCACTACCAGTAGGATAAAAAAAATGCCAATGACAGTCCATTTAACATTATCTTGACTGTCAGTGGTTTGTTTTCATAACATATTCCGCGATGTTTTTGTTGGGAAATTTTGGTGTATACACACGAAATGAAAATAAGAAATAAAAGATGAATCCATGTTGCACACGAAAAACGCCCCGTTCATTTTTTTTTTTTTTTTTTTTTTTTTTTTTTTAGATGCTTTCCCCGCAGTTTTTTTATCAGGCGTTTAATCACACGATGGGTTGCATAAGTTCTTCCCAGAGATGCCATTATTCTGTTATTTAAGGTAACTTGACTAACTGTCTATCTTTTTTTAATGCGGCTTGTAATGTTACACCCATATATTCCTGTGATTCAATCCGACTAGTTGGTTTTTATATGCTAGTACTGAATAACCACTAAATTGGGGTTGATGTTATTGCTATAAAAAATGCTTGATATAGCACCAAAACATCATAAAGTAGGATACAAATGATACAACATCAGTTAATTTTTGGCTGATCGGCTCTTGCTACCTGGCTTGGAAGAGTGATTAATGTGTGTGTGTGTGTGGGTTTACAGGGCAGTCTGTTTTGTTACTGTTACTGATGAATATACTCAATAATTTTAAATGGTTATAATGATACTGACAACAAGCAAATTTTACAATGATTTTGTTATGAGATGGACAAGCATTGTCATGCTCCTGAGTCTGAAAAACAAAGCTGATCCAGAACAGTTTTCAGAATGATGTAATAAAACTAGTGGGTACATCAAATTCTACCCTTAAGGTTTCAGTTACTTTTGATTGTAACTTGTTTATTTGATTAAATATGCCTTGTTAAACGAATAAAAGATCTCAAAACCATTTTTAAGATTGATATCCTAAGACGCTTTATAGGAAATAAAAGACGGTGAGCTAAAGTAAAGCTGTTTTAGACGCCAGGATGCTTTTATCTACTGCTTTCATGCAATTTCGATCATTCGTGCCATTATTCTGAAGCTGAATATAGCTATAGTATATAAGCATATCAATGATAGATGAGTGATTTTATTCAATCCAGATCAGCGGTGCAACTGATTCGACGGAAAAAATGGAATAACCACAAAGAAATAAAAAAGTGATACTAAGGGTAAAACTAAGCTTTCAGCATGAAATTCATTTGATTTTTATTGAACTAAGCATTTTGTCTTTATAAATCAACATTTCAATTATATTTATTACCCACTAGCTTCTTGAAGGCTCCAATTAAAAATCACACTCGGTTAAGGACTTAACGAATCTAAAAGTGCAAGATAAACTTGGCACCATATGTCTACAATATCATAATTCGACCGACCTTTGGATTGGATATCTTATAGGAGTACATTGTTCATGCCAAAATGGCTCTCGATTGGTTAAGTAGATAGGTGAAAAGGAGTTGAAATACAGAAAATTATTAGAACTATTGTAATTTAGCATGATAGGAAAAATTAAAGAGTCATTATTACATTGAAAGTCTTTACGGATTTCTACATCAATACCAAAAGCCTGACCAGACATCTCTTGATAAAAATGTGACTTTGAATAATATGATCTAACCGTGCGTATGCTTGCCTTTTTTTTTAAAAAAAAAAATTGTATATTGCCGAATAGAAGTAACTGGGTACCCCAATTATTAAGGACTGGCAGTGCATTGTCTCACTAAGACAGTAAGATCTACAGATATCGCATACCACATTTAGCAGCTATAACAAGTAATGTATACAGCTCTTGATTATGTCGTCTGTGTTATCTTTTATATATCCGCCATGCATAGCTTTCAGTGGCTTTGTGCCTAAAATATCATATTTCTAAAGCGCCATCTAAACGGAGCCGCACTAAACATCAATCTGCATTTTTTGTAGAATTGATTGGATTTCGACAGACGGACTTTAGAATGGTATGACACCTCACATGGCTATTTCTTCATCTTTCTTTTTTTTTTTTCATCTTTTATCTTCCCTTTCCTTCGCACCTTTTTTTAGAAAAAAACATAACATGTGTGGAATTTCAGCCCTTATTTTAGCTGACAGCAATGGAGCTGCTTGTCCCGACTTGTTTGAAAGTTTAGGTCTTCTTCAACATCGTGGCCAGGTAATTGATAACCAATCCAACGAAGGTGGTGGTAACTAAAAGTAGAGATAGGATGCTGCAGGTATTGTTACTTGTGCTGCTAAAGGACGCTTTTATCAGTGCAAAGGAAATGGAATGGTCAGAGACGTATTCAGCGAGACCCAATTAGCCAATCTTGTTGGCAGTCTTGGTGTTGGTCATGGTAAAAAAGATAAATGATATACAATAATTGAGAGATGCTGACGTTTTTTATGTAAAAAAGTTCGTTACCCTACCGCAGGTTCATCTTCTATGTCTGAAGCTCAGCCTTTTTACGTGAACTCTCCCTACGGCATCACTTTTGCGCATGTAAGATATATACAACATATTATTAATCTTGTGTCTAATGATTGCTTTTTTACAGAATGGTAATTTGACAAACGCTCGTGAATTAAGAACGTTTCTTGATAAAGTCGCTCATCGTCACATCAATACTGACTCCGATTCCGAATTATTGTTGAATATTTTGGCTGACAATTTACAAAAGACTGGAAAATTCAGGTAAATCAAAGGTCACACTAAAATGGGTCATACATCTAATCTAATTTTTTCAAAAAAAAAAAAAAATCTTAAGAGTCAACGAGGAAGATATATTTACTGCTATTAAAGATTTATACCAACAATGTAAAGGTGCGTATGCTTGCGTTGCAATGATTGCCGGTTTTGGTATCATTGGTTTCCGTGATCCTCATGGTATCAGACCTTTGATCCTTGGCCGTCGACAAAGTGCTCATGGTTATGATTACATGTTCGCCTCCGAAAGTGTTGTGTTAGAAGCACTTGGTTTCACTGATTTTGAAGATGTGAAGGCTGGTGAAGCAATTATTATTACTCGTGAACAAGTCTCTCGTCGTCAATTGGTCGTGGAAGAAACTTTGGCCCCTTGTATTTTTGAGTATGTCTATTTTGCTCGTCAAGATAGTATTATTGATGGTATTTCTGTCTATAAAGCACGTCTTTCTATGGGCGAAGCATTGGCTGATCAGGTGGTAAAGGCGTTTGGTGATAAGATGGATATTGACGTTGTGATTCCAGTAAAGTGTCAACTGTGCTATAATAGATTTGTTTGTGTTACTCAATCCGTTTATTTTTAGGTTCCAGACACTAGTCGTGCGGCTGCACTTGAATGTTCCCGTAAATTAAATATTAGTTATCGTGAAGGATTCAACAAAAACAGATATGTCGGCAGAACATTTATTATGCCCGGTCAGCAAGTTCGCCGCAAAAACGTGCGTCGTAAATTGAATGCAATGGCATTAGAGTTCAATGGAAAGAATGTTTTATTGGTGGATGATTCGATCGTCAGAGGTACTACATCCAAAGAAATTATCATCATGGCTCGTGAAGCAGGCGCAAAGAAGGTTTACTTCGCCTCTTGTGCTCCCCCTATCAGATACCCCAATGTTTATGGTATTGACATGCCTACCCGTAAAGAATTAGTTGCTTTTGGACGTGACGATGAACAGATCGCTAAAGAAATCGGCGCTGATAAAGTCATTTACGAAGATTTGCATGATCTTACGGAATCCGTTCGTCGATTTAACCCTTCCGTTAAAACGTTTGATACCTCCGTATTCGATGGGGAATATGTCACCAAGGATGTTGATGAGACTTACTTCAGTTATATCGAAGGTGAACGTAATGATGACGACAAGACAATTAGCACAGACAATGAAAGTATTGGGTTGCACAACAGCTTCAGAAAGTAAAATTATAGAAAAACAAATTCCCTCACACACACACAATGTATGTTCCTTTAATCATCTATTACCAAACAATATCATGGAATTTACATCATGGTTTCATTAACAAAACGATACTTATTTTGATTGAAAACCTTCATCTTTTGTAAAAAAATAAAAAAAACTAAGACTGCTCTAAAATGATGTCACAAAATATTTTTGAATCTCGCGCGTGCCTAACCTTGAACCCGCGTAAATGAATCATGTTTCCCTTTATTTTGCTTGCTTGTTTATATAAAATTGTATATTCAAAATGCAAGCTTCTGCTACTCCCAATAGTGTTCGACCACAATTTAATGATATGGAGAATCTTGTCAATGCTGGAAAAGCTGTAGAAACTGTTATTATGCAGGACGAGATATATCCTGATCTAGGCGACGTATTGACCGGTAAACAAAACAAAAATAGACAATTCAAATACATGGACTAAACACCGCGTTTAAATTCGCTATAGGTGGCACTTCGGATTCTTACATCAAACCTCTTTCGAGCCCGGCAGAGGAATTTTCTGAATCGCATCGTGTCCCAATTCCTCAATCAATTCAAACACAAATGGGCGGTAAAGTTTCTATCTTTGCCTACAAACTCCTTCCTCAATTTACTTAAAGATGTTACGTATTTAGGCCTACAATTTCGCTGTTTTATGGGCCTATTTCCAGAGATTGGAAGGGCTTGGCTTACCATAGACCATCGTCTATTCATTTGGAATTACACAAACCCGTAAGTAACTTACAGTTTTACAGACGCATAATTACTCAGCAGTATTACCATCCAACAGTAGACAGATTTTTGAATATAAAGACCAAGATCAAATCATTGTGGGTGTCGCTATTATTAAACCTAAACCTGGTAAATGAAGTCTGCAGAAGGTTAGAAGATGGCAATGCTAATTAAATTACACATATTTAGGTATTTTTGGAGATAAAATTCATCACATTCTTGTACTGTCAACTCCCCTCCAAATCATCCTTCTTGGTTTGCATGTCTCGCTTGATGATTTAAAGCTCTTTGTTCTTGATATGACTGTGCCAGCAGACGATATTCAAATGAGAGTGATTAAAGGGACTGATGATGGTAGAATTTTTATGATTGGTAATGACGCCAATGTGTACGAGTTTATTTATAATGTAATTGTAGTGCGTGATATTACCAGTAATTTGTCCATTGACATTTTTTTCTGTAGGCTCCCGGGAGTCTATTCACTAGCAAATGTTACATTGTATGCAGAACGACACCATCATATATGAAGTATGTTCCACATTTTATGAGTAATGTGGGACGTGCTTCCAACAAAGCATTGGCAGTAGACAACGAACGCAAGGTTTTATATTTGATGGATGAAACTTCTGTTGAGGTAGGCAGAGTCAAAGGTGGGGTCATAGTATTTTATTGAAAGTTTTTTAATACAGGCAATTCATCTGGGTAATAATAGCAACGAATACAGATCCATTGCCAAAAACATCAATATTGTCGAAAGTGCCCTACAAATATGCCGTCAGTACTCCAGATCTTATAATGTCGATGCTTTCCGGTTAGAATCAATCCACGTTATTTCCGAAGCAGAATCGAAGCGAATTCACCTCATGGTTATGACATCGGCTGGATTTAGGCTGTACTTTAGTCTTTATAAAGATGGCTTCAGAAATACTATCACTCCTTCCTCATATGTTCCAAATGCTTTAGAGTTGGGACACGTTCGTCTTCCTCCTCCTGCTGATGTTTTGACTGCACCTCTCAGACTTCGCAAAACCTATTATGACTGTGGAATTTGTTTAAGTGTTAACCATATAGACGAAGCCCGTGATATGATCACTGTTACTAGTGTAGCACCCAGTATTACCCCTCCTTCACAGCCATCCAGTTATCCACTTATTAGCGCAGTTCCCAACCGACCCGTCTATGTCGAAACTTTCGATACGGTCATACCTCGTTCAAAAGCTTGGGAGATCACCGAAACGAAGCCAGAGATGCGTGGGAAACACCCCATGAAAGAGATTGCACAGCAGCTGTCTCAACCAGCCAGACAATTTATAGCCATGACAACTGAGGACCTTGTGTTTTATAGCAAGTTAAGACCTGTAGACGTACTGCTAAAAACTTTGGATAAATCAGGAAGATTACCTATGGATGAGCAAAAAGATTACCAAGCGTTCTTTGAGAGGTATGGTAAAACCGAATCATGTGCTATGTGTCTTTCAGTGATCTGTAACACCGAAGTCCAAAGCACTGTGGCAAAGGCTACAACTGTGTTTTTCGAATATGGAGGTGCCCCTACCACTATCAATACTATGCAAGCAGTTGGGAACCATCTAGGCCAAATTATGGGAAGTACAGGTGTTACTTTTAGTGGGAGACACGATGGATTTCTTTTATACTTTTCACGTATGATTGCGCCTATTTGGAACTTGAAAGTGTTCGTTAACTGGTAAGTTTCTGGTCTTTAAGGATATAATTTGTTTTACGATTCTAAATGTTTATTTTTTGCTCAGTGATCCTACAAACCCCCAGTCTAGAGTGCGCTTTGCTCAAGCACAGACCACCTTGTATGATTCCAGGGCTAACTTGCAAAGATTGAAGGCATTTATGGATAAGTAAGTTTCATTTGTTTACATTTACACGAGTTTGAATATGCCTAATTTTTCGATTTAAACAGAAACTCGAAGTTCCATGATAGCGCCAATATTTCCGATCCCAAATTTCAAGCTACAGATCGTACACAACTTGAATTAGATTTAGCCGAACAAAAATCTGTCCATGAATTATACCTGTTGTTAGCACAATGCATTGATGTTGTATTTTTTGTTGAGTTTCTTTTAGATTCTTACTTGGAAACTATTATAACAAAAGAGTATGTAAGCACGCTAAAGACCATAAACACAAAACTAATTTTTTTCTTCTTCTTTATTTCCTAGTACACCGGCTGATAATCTTCAAGCCTTGTTTGATCTCGATATTAAAACAATTCTCACTACATCTGAAGGCAGAGGTCTAGCTAGTGACCTGGTAGTCGCGATTATCGGAAAATATGGTGCTCCTGGATCGCATGCTAGCTTCAATGTAGTCAGCCATGAATTACAAAGACGATGCAGTTCTTACTTCGGGGCCAATGATATTTTATTCTTTCAGGTAAAAAGACGTAGTATCACGTATTACATAGTACGTATTCTTACACGTGTTGCAATAGGGTATGGAACACCTAGGACGTTCCATATGCGCAGAGACAGAATACGACAGAATGTTTTCTATAAAGGAATCGTTGAAGCACTTCAGCAAGGCAGCTAGCAGCATCCCCGAAGACAAGTTGAAAGCTATATGTCAAGTATATGTACGTTTTGCGTTCCATATAGGCGTAGTCCAATTATCACTTTCCCGTGCACAGATGTTAGATCCAGACAACCTTGCACTTGTAGCATTCGAATCGCCACAAAAATCCAATGAACTTCAAAGCAATTTATACAAAGCACGTCTATCCGCATACGATTTTGCTCTCGAAGCTCTTAGCGATGCTCATCGTCTTAAATATCAACCTTTACCAGCCGGCCGTTCACCTATAGGCGACCCCAATGTATATTCCAGAATGGTTACCGATGCGGCTTTAGAAAGTAAAGATGCGATATTTCATTTCAGACTTTACTCATGGTTTATCGAGAACAACCTGAGAGACGAGTTATTGATTATCGATACACCCTTTTTGGTTCCCTACTTTAAAGAATACGTTAAAGATGATGTAAGCTCTTGGGAATTCTTATGGAAATATTATAGAAGTCATGGTCAGTACTTTAAAGCAGCAGTGTACTTGCGCTTATTGGCTTTTTCTGAGTCGCCGAGCATTTCGCTTTCTCGACGTGTCGAATTCTTGGCATTGGCGGGTATCAATATCCAAGTAACCTACGAAGATAACACAGTCTCGCCAGGGGATGTTGCCTTATTCCGTCAAGAACTCGAGAAAAATATTAAAAACAGTCAACTTCAAAAACGCGTCCAGGATATTTTGAGAAGCACCGACGATGTAGAAGCACAAGTGACGGCCGATAATTTAGATAAGATGTTATTAAGTGAAAATGATCTAAAGGATTGCATATCAAATTTCCATGTGTTATCCATCCATTTGTCACAAAATATCTAGTTGGGAAAAATCCCGAAATATCATTCCACATATCAATACAATAAAATGTTTAATAGCTTGTTTTTATTATTTACTGCAACCATAGTATTCTGACTAGATCCACTATGGAAATCGAGATAGAAGAAAAGGCATTGATACCTTTTTATTTTAAATACATATTTCTAGAAAAGATTGAAAGCATGTTTGACTTCTCTTTAACGGCATTTAATACATGATCTAGGGTTGTCTATAAAACAATTAGAGCATTTTAAGCGATTTTTTTTTTTGTAAAACAAAAATGATACATGTACTAACTTTTACATTTACATTTTCTGTCACTCCATTACCAAACAATTGAAAGCAATTACATGCACTGAGATTAATGGAGTTATAGATTAGGGACCATCCATTAATAGTCTATTTCTGAAAGCTTCTAACACTCCATGTTTTGAGGACTCCGGAATTATTGATTATAGTATTTATCCGTAACAAAAAGGGGAAAACACAATTAATGTAAGATTGGCAAGTTACACGGATTATAAAACACCCCCTATACTACGCGAATTAGACATGTTAGAATTGGTCGGTTTATATTAACGTCAGGCGCCGTAATAAGTCCAATGGATTACTACGCATTAAATATGATAACAACTATTTACTGCGGAAGTTATTTCTAACATGTGAGTGTTCAATATGAAATCACATCTGTTTAATAGTGTTTTTGATTGGGCTAATATAAGTACGCACCTGAAACTACATGTGCGAGATAGAAATTTGGTACCTGCAGCATTTATAAGAATGTATACGAATTATCTTTGTTTGAGCCGATTATTTGGCTTTCTCCGTGTGACATTTTCCTTCTGCATATCAGCATAGGATATGTACTTTTAACCGAGAAATTTCATACATCTAGGCCTTGTCATTTTAATAAAATGTGTATATTTACTAAATTCATTCATGTATTGTTTTAATCATAAATGAGAATTGTCGTTTCTTTTTTATATAAAAAATACATTAACAGGCTAATAATATACATAACTTTCTGAAATTATTATGTCATTGTTTAAAGCATTATCTGAACTGAGGAGTCATTAATCATCTTCATAAACCTTCGAGTTTTAAGAGATCTCCTACACTCATTTTTTAATTTTAACAGCACACATGTTGTATGTATGTGTCCTGTCTTTTATTTATGCTAGTTCATATGTATATGATGTTGATTAACACTAATTAAGATTTTCGAAAAACGTATATCCTTGCCTTGATTCTAATGACGGCTATTTACAAAAGAGAGTATTCTAGCTCGTGAAATCTCCCAATCATGTAAGTAAAAGGCAGTATTATTTTTAACTAATAGAAATTGGTTGTAGACTAATAAAATAGTTTACATGATTCAAGGCCATAAAAATGCGGTAATTGGCTTAAACCATAAAGATATGCGCTTACAAAGATTTCTTTTTTTGACAGAAACCAATCAGTGTGTTTATGCAAGGTAATTAAGCGTAGACTTAACACATGAAAAAGATTCCTATTTTTATTATTTTTCAGCCTTTTAGTACATACAAGCCCCTTGTTAACTTCTAGCTAAAAAAGAAAGAAAAAAAAGACGGGAAGCTAGTAAATATAAACCATGCGACATATTTTTTTCTGAATAGTGGATCCTTAATAACGTGGAATTCATCAATTATTCCAACGATCCACGTGTTTGGACCCGTTTTTATATGCATGATTTATTTATAATTTGGATGATCTTTTCTGGCAGCAACCCCCTTAGAATTGGGATAAAATGGTCATTGTCAATTTCATAGAGAAAGGGCGCAGAAAGGCGCAGAATTTTGTATCCTTATTCATAAATGTATATGGGGGTTTTTAGTATTAGTAAATTTATTATTAAATGTTGCTTGTAATATGTCTAATGTTTGTATGTTGGTATAATATTCATAAAAGAGTGTGTTCATAATTAAAATGGTGTAGCTGCTTTTTTGGTTGTGGCTCTAAAATAGGACTGCCATTACGTGGGGTGGGTGGGTTATCTTCGGCTGTGATGGACGAGCTACCGGAAAAGTTTTGCGTGCAATAAATTGGCTCATCATCGATATAATCACCAATGTAAGCCATGACGGTGCTTTCGAAGGACTTCGTACATTCAAGTTGAGAAGAGGGTGGAGTAAGATTTTTGACAGTCAAAGGTGCAGGTTTTGCTGTTGTAAATGAACGACAGACCAAAATCATATTTCTTAATTCTGCTAAGGTGATTCTTTTTGCTGGATCTAGGCAAAAGATGCGTATTAAAATACGATCTAATGATTTTGAAATGCCGGGAAGAATCGTTCGGAAGAATTTGCGGGGTTGTTTGACATAGGCAGCAAAGGCTGAATCCTCCAAGTTTGCTTGTTTCCATGGATTACGACCGGACACGAGGTTAATTAAAATGATGCCTAGACTCCAGACATCATTAGCCTTTGTATCATAGCAACCCACCCGTTTACTAGTGTTATTATCTGATGTGAAACCTTGGCATTCTAAATATGACGAGTACAAAGTTAATATAAATAATATATCAAACTTTAGAAAACTTGTACCTGGAGAGAAATAAAATGATGATCCACAGTTAAATTCAGTAGAAATCGATTGGCTGGTGGTGAGACCGAAATCCGCAAGTTTAACACGATGATTTGATAATAATAAAATATTTTCGGGTTTGAGATCCCGGTGGGCTATTAAGTTGTGGTGGCAATGTTGTACAGCGTCTAATATTTGTAGAAATAAATGTCGGATCACTTTCGTCTTTCCGATAATATCATGAGATGTTATACTGGTAAACAAGTCTCCATGGGTAGCATACTCCATAATAATAAAAACTGCATTCTGCTCCTTCACTACTTTCTCTAATGAAAGTATATTTGAATGGCCGGATAAAACTGAATGCATATTGATTTCATTTTGTGTAATAAAGGTATCTTGGACACATTTGACAGCATAATAGCGATTGGTAAAAATATATCTACCCAAATAAACTACGCCATAAGCGCCTGTTCCAATAATGGAAACAAGCTCAATTGAATTATTATCAATGCATGTAAATAAAAACTGTTTAGGGTCAAACATTATTGAATAAAAAAAAAGGTTAAAGATGAGAAGGAAAGAAAAGATAAATTTTTCTTTATTTATTTATTTATTTATTTATTTATTTATGCACGCACAGCGAATTGTGCCCAATGTCGTTTGTTTGATATGATTCTAAATGGTGTCTGTGTACTGACCCTCCTTCTTTTTTATTATTATTACTGATCCAACCTCCTTACAAACATTATTAACCTTATCTTATTTTGATCACTCCTTTTTCTCCTTGTTTTTTCAAACAACAATAATAGGATTATAATCATTCCTCACTTCTAAACTAAACTAAAAAATAGTTTAGAGCCTCTCATAGTTTTGTATCACAATAATACACTGCGAGGGAAGAGGTAATTAGAGGCAAAACAGTTTGTCTTATGAAAAATATAAAAAGGACTCAGATCACCTTATTGTGTCACAAACAAATCGAATTAGTGGTTAATATCACTATTTATTTTGATGAAACCGTCGGAAGTTCGTAAAAAGGTAATACCAACACAGGTTCATTATCGTGACTATTGTTTGAAAACTTGATTAAATTCATGTTCGATTGTAGTATAATGAATAGGTGTAACCACTCCCTAATACATAGGCTGTATACAGTGTTTCGCGTTGGAAGACACAGTGATTAGGGAGTTATAAAATAGAATAAATTGTGCAACGAACAGATTAAGATATACTGTTTTGCGAGCTTTCTGTTACAAATAACATTGTAAGATAATTGCATGTCCAAACAGTAGGTACGCATTTTACCAGTGTCGAATCCGAACTTGATAAAAAATTCAACTCTGTCAGCAAGAATTCGTCCGTTAAAAAATTATCATACGAACTCGGCCTTCAGTTATTTTGCTAGCTAGTATCAATTGGTTGAGAAATAATAAACGAAGTGGTATAGATAATAATGTCTGTTCATTGCTATGTCATTTGATTATTCGGTTTTTGATGTGGCATATTAAGAGTCCTGTTTATCTAAAAGCCTATTAAACCTGGTATTATATGCATCAAAGTCTTTTTTTTTATATCAATATTATTATCAGCTGTTGCTGCCTTTTATATCTTTGGTATACCAGGCTTTAGGCTCCATTGAGATGTGGAAGTAAGTTTGTATATTACTATTATATAGAATATAATGCTGAAATTTATTCTGGTATATCTTATACCTTAATATGAAGTAATTGTTTGGAAATGACATAAGTTTACCAAACCCCGTTTTCCACAATTCTTCTATGAAAAAGTACCCAACACCAATTGCCTGTTCCACTAATAATGTGAAAAAGTTTCAATTTTGTTTTTATGGTATCATAAGGACAGAGCGCAGAATCTCGCGGTTAAGCTTGAAATAACTGCATGTTATTTGATATAAATATTGACGATTTGTAAAGCAAAATTCAGGAGGAAATCCAACTATACCCATCGACATGCCGAAATTTCTTCAAGGTACTATATGTATCTCCCTTTTATCGAAACAGCTTACTTCTCTTCATAAAAGCTTCCCATTTCGATATGCTTAGAAACGTACGCATATATGCTGGTCGTACAATTTGTGTTTGTAAAGGAGTAACATTGCACAGGTAAGCATATTTTTTTAGAGTAATGTTCGGATTAGAAATCATAGCCTCTCTGTGCACCTACTAACTATATATTCGTTGTTGTTTCTCTTACAATTATGTTACTCTAATTACATGATTGCTTTTACTAAGGACTTGTGTGACAGCATGTAAAGTCTTAGTATAAAACATAAACAAATTATGTTCGTTCCGCCACATGCTTAATTTTATTTGTTGTTATTTAAAACAACAATGCTAGATGTTTTTTGAAGAAGCGAGTACTGGAATTCCAAAGGCTTCGAACACACATTGGTGCCATTGCATAAAGGTCATCATTTTAATTACCACTGGTTATATACGATCAGAATCACATTCAATCTATAAAATTTCGACAAGTTTTATTAAACATTTTAATTTTTCTAAAGGTCATGGAGTTTTGTACACAGGAGAGAGGGGGGAGGGGGAGGGTTATAAAAAATAATAATAATAAAAAAAGAAAATGTATGGCAAGGAAATAAGAAAAAACAAATAGACAAGACTGGATTTAACTTGTTTCTTGGTCCGTCTGCTTAGTTGCCACTGCCCAAACCGAATTGATCAATGGTCTTGTTGACATCACCCAAACCTTGAAGGTTGCCTTGAACAACAACGGTAGCCTTACCAGAACCTCCACTAGAAACACTTACAGCACCACGTACAACACGACTGGCAACACGTCTTAATTCTTCCACATCTACCTTATCAATATTGGCCAACATTTCATCGATACCAGTCTTTTTACCATGGACTTGGATTTGTCTACCGAGGTCCTCCAATTGGACCATACGACTTTCAAGATTCATTAAAAGAGAACTCTTTAACTGGTTCTTCGCACGGTTTAATTCCACTTGAGACACACTAAGTTTACCTACGTCACCTCTGGCTACGATATCTAACTCACGACAAATGACTTGCACAAGCGCATTGGCGTATTCAGGTTGACAAGAACCGGCGATACCAAAGAGACCAGAGTCCGTGTAACAATGATTAAATGCTTGACAGGATTCAACCCAATAATGTTGATTCAAAACATTTGTGAAAAGACGAGAATACATTCCCTTACCAGGTCCACCGGCAGAGAAGGACCCACCGCCACCCAACAAAATTTGAAGGGTTGTAAGAGCATAAATGTCAGGATCATCAATAGAAAGACCTTCAAATGCAACATAGACATGAGTTAAAGGACTCTCGGGTCCAGTTTCCATAAAACTGTTGCCACCAGTATAACGTGCGGGTTGTGTAGCGATTTCAAATGGAGTCATAGCCTTTTGATGATTTTGATTTGTTTTGAAGAGAGACTTTACAAATGAATTACCCCTGCTACCGTGGTTTTCGGAAACGTTTCTAGCTTGTTCGGCTTGTTTCTTCAAGGCTTCTATATGGGTCATCACAGAGTCCAAATTCTCGGTAGATTTAGGAACATCACCGAAATATTTGAGGGCTAAATCTACTACTTGCTCATGTTCAGCACCGCAAGCGGAAATAACCATACGTTCGGGTCTATACCAAGTCTTCATATAATTTTGAATTAATTCAGGTGTCATGGATTCTAAATTTTCGGGGGGACATAACAACGGGTTACCAAGTGTATTCCCCTCATAGGCAACTGTGTGTAAAATTTCTGGAAGAATCATTTCTGGTTTCGACCAGATTTCGTCAATTTCATATAGTGCTGTCTGGCGTTGTTCCTCAACTTCGTCCTTGTTGATGATGGGATGACAAATTACGTCTGAAAAAAGTGATAAGACTCTGCTTAAATCTTGAGAGAAAATTGCTGATTGATACATGATGGATTCACGAGAGGAAGAACACATAATGTTTCCGCCTAAGGATTCTAATTCGGCTACAACTTGGTCAGCTGAACGGTTTTTTGTACCCTACAATAAAATTCATGTCAGTGACATCCTGTCTATTTAATATACTTTATTAACTCACTTTAAAGGCTAATCTGTCTAAAATATGACTAACGCCTCGGGTAGCAGCGGTTTCATATCGACTACCAGCATCAACATAAACACCAACTGCGCTGAAATGGCCAGGCGTATTTTCTGAGGCTACACGAATGCCATTAGGAAGTGTTGTAATTTTGCAAAGTCCTGTAGACGCCTTTGAATATTCTTGAACAATTGTAGGAAATCCATTGGTAAAATTCTAATGTCAAAACGTTAACCTTTTTTCTTTTTTCGAGTTTCTTTAGAAAAAAAAAGAAAATACCTTTGCATTATAAGGAACAGTAGATTCAGCACGTTTGATAATTGGTGTTATAGCATTTTTAGAGAGAGGTTTTGCTCTGGAAACAGAGTTTAAAAGACGAGAGGTCATTGTTAATATAACAAAATAAAGGGCAGGGCCAAAAATAAACTTGTGGCAATTATGGGCTTTCTAAAGAGGGGTGGCCAAACAAGAGTCACGCATGACGTTTTACTCCCTTAACTGATTGGCGGATTATTGTATTAGCGGTGGTTCCAAATGCCTGTTAAGACATTTTCTCTTTCGTTTAACGTGGAAACTTGAGTTATAAAAAATTATTATATATAGTCTTACTTTATGTAAAATCTAGTAGAAATAGGGTAAGACTATTGATGACAGTCACCATGGACATTCCCAATGTATTTTACATAGTGATATTAGCATTAGGTTACTCTCGCCCTTCGCGTTTGAAATGAGAATTAGCTGCTTCACGTTGTAGTATTATTAAACAACTATATTGGGTAGAAAATTGGAGCTAGTTATACACTATCTAAAAGAAATATCCTAGTAATGCTCCTATAAGTTTGTAAAAAAAAAAGAAAAAAAAACGCTTTAACAATAGATGTAACCAGACTCTTATATTTGATAAATTGAATCTGCTGGCTTGACTTTTTTATGACCCTAATATGGAATCAGAGTTCTTAGAGATTTCATGGCATGTATATTACCCAAACTATTAACAGATTTAATTGATATTAAAATTGCAAGTGGGTTTATATTGCATTGGTAACTACAATATAAAAAATGAAAATAGTGTATATCCCACCCATCCCGGTGTTCCGGGTAACCGAACGGATTTATGTCCGGTCATTGGTGGGATATACGAAATACCACCCATTTCCACCTAAATCTGGATCGATAAACTACTAGTTTTCAGGTCTACGGGATAATGTCCATTATACAAAACACTCCCTCCCCCCAATTTTTAGGCATGAAGCTGTACCAGTAAAGCCATTGTTTGGGCTCAGAGATTCCATTCGATTCCATGTTATGTTGTTTTGCTTATTCATCCTTGTATCTTAGGATTAAAAAATGAATAATAATGATCGTCGGTGCTAAGCCTTGTCTTCCCAACAAAGGTGGAAGACTTGTTACACACATCCGTGATAAACAAAAGTAGGCCGAATTAAAGTCTGGTTGGGTGTCAACGAAGCAGGTAAGAAATCAAATTAGCTACGAAGTTGTAAAAGACAAGAGGAGAGCCATGTAAGTTGCTTTGGAGAGGAAGGGTCTTCTGGAAGACCTCCGAATTTATAGCGTAGGTCAAGGCGTCTATTTTTATCAATCTTATTCACAACTAAATATTGCGTAATTTATTCAGACTTTCGGTACTAATTGTTGAAAATTGCTTTATTTAAAGGATTTTGGACTTCATGATACTTCATTTTGTAAGGTGAAACGGAACAAGTTGTTTACTACCCCCAAGAACATACATACATGAGCTTAAGAAAATGTACTTCACTGATACAGTTTCATCTTTAAAAGATAGAGGGTGTTTTCTATAATGGAAATTATCCTGTAAACCTAAAAACTAATAGTCTATCGATCCAGATTTAGGTATTTCGTATATCCCACCAATGATCGGACATACATCCGTTCGGTTACCCGGTACAATTTCTTATAAAAAATTAACTTAACAGTTCTCCTAAAAAAATGCGTATTTAATTTAAATGGCTGCTTACGCTTTCGATTGGGATTATAATTGTCATCTATGTTTATGTATTATCATTGCATGCACGTCAAACGCATAATTGGGTTGAGAGAGTTATTTTCACCAACACTGCACGGGCTGATTCACAATAATTTAGCCGTATTTATTGATTATTAAGACTTTCACACGCTTATTTTCCAAATATACACTTCTTAATCCAAAGGTAGCTAAAGATAGTTAAAAAGACGCTGGCTTAGCTAACTAAACCTCTGTTATATGCCCTAAAGCGTCATGAGCATTACATACAATCACACAGCCATGAAGTATAAATATCATATTTATTTATAAGCATTGTATTAGTAATCTTCAAAAAGTATAAAAGTAGCAATATACAGTGGACAGAAAAAATAAATTATCATGTCTTCTTCTGTCAAATTACATCCTATTTCGGCTGCCTTTTTATCTACCCTCCCTAAAATTGACTTCAGCACTGTATCAGTGGAAGATTTGCGTCAACCTGATCAAATTTTGGATGTGCCTAGTCCCGACGTCACAATTGAACGTATTCAAATTCCTTGTCGAACGGACAATCACTTGATTCAAGTAGATGTTTATCGCCCTGCATCTATTAATGCTGATGAAGTACTTCCTGCTGTGGTTTTTTTGTGAGTTGTTTTTTGCACTTTAATAGTGCGTTTATTAATATTTGTTTCAATAGACATGGTGGTGGGTTTTGCTTGGAAGGTCAAGGTGCACATCCATTTTTAGTCAGCAAGGTAAAGCCCTAGATAGTAGTTTACTGGATTTTATCGTACTGATTTGATAATAGATTGCGGCCGAAGCTCATTGTGCTGTATTTTATGTTTATTACTCGTTGAGTCCGGAAGTGAAATATCCTGTGGCTGTTGAGGAATGCTACTCTGTTGTTGAAAGAGTCACTACAGCACAACATGCCAAGCTTTTGCGCGTAGATCCTACGCGTGTCGCTGTTGGTGGTGATTCTGCAGGCGCGTGCTTCACTATATCTATTACACGTAAGTAAAAAGCATCAAAGATTAATTTCTATCAAATTTAAAAAAAAATTCTAGTGCTAGAAAAGCGAAGACATTTGGAAAATAAAATCAAGTTTCAGATTTTGTATTATCCCGTAACAGATTATATAGGTAGTTCTGAGTCACGACAGTTGTTCGGGAAAGGTTACTTATTGGAAAGTGATCTTATGAAACTCTATTGGGGCTCCTATCTAAGGGATGAAAATGATCAGCATGATATGATTGCACTCTGCTCAAATGCATCTGTACAAGATTTAATAGGCCTACCTCCAGCTTTGGTAATAACAGCCGAAGCAGACCCACTTCGTGATGGTAATACAAGAAAATGAAGACACAAATATGGGATTTAGCTAACCTTTGTTTCTTATAGAGGGAGAAGCATTTGTTCGACAGTTGATGGAAGCACAGGTTCCTGTCACTTCATTTCGTGTCCAAGGAGTACTCCATGGATTTATGTCTTTGACATCTCTTCACTCTACTGAGTCTCTCCAAGTTATTGATATAACCACTGCTACACTTCGTAGACTCTTTAAACAGAAATAAAATGGTTTATTTTAAGCTTTTAATTGAACTCCATTCTCCACGAATAATTTGAGCACTTCCATTGCAGCGGAACGCACAACTTGCACTTTGCAAGTTTTTACCAGATCTACTAACTTTTTATCAACATTTTGTTCCTTGACTAGTGTACCAACAACATCCTTCGAATATTGAATTAAACAGCGAATCACCTCAATACCACGGTGTTGTACATCGACAGTTTCTTCAGGATCTAACCATCTCGCTATTCTTTCATAACATTTATCTACTTTGAGTATCATTTCGCATGTGTTGGGACTGTTAGCTAGGATAGCCAATGCACCGGATGCAGCCTTTCTTGTGGCGGGATCTTCACCATCCGATAAAATCATTAATAACCGAATTCTGTTTTGTGACACTTTGGGATCACTGTATCGATCAAACACGGGCTCACAAAATGTCATATTACACACCATTTCTGTAGCGGCTCTTTGAACCAACTCATTATTGGACAACTGTAGATTTTCAAAAATGGTCATTCCATCCGCATTTTCGATCAATAAACGCACTCGGTCATCTACTGAAGCTAAATTGGTTAAGGACATGAGACCTTCAAATTGTCTAAGTTGGGTCGTATCTTTGCATAATTCTAAAAAGGGCCTAACAAGATCCAAAATGGTGTCACCTTGAAATGCGATACGTGGATCCGCGGTGATTGCTAATTTAGCAAGTGCTTGTGATGCAACAATGTCGGTGCGGGACAAAGGTAAAAGAGCCTTGACGATGCCTTGCTGGAGTAACTGACCTCGTACAGATTGAGGTGTAACGAGATTAAGGTAGGTTTGTGATGCTACAGAACGAAGATTGGGGCTTTGGTTCTTTGCTATAATCATTAAGGCCAAAGCAGCTCCATTTTGAATACAAAGTTTGATACGATCCTCTACGGCTTTATCGTCTTCACGAACATCATCTTGTTCGACTGGTTTACCGGGTGCCTGCTTTGCATTTGCTAAGTCCCGCAATTTCTTCATTTGCTTTTGTTGGTCATCTAACACAGGTCTATACATTGTCAAGTTTGCAAATATAGTACCTATACCAAATAAAAGCGGATTACTATTGGCATCATTGTTGTTGGTAGTACTAAGCGCCAAAGTTGATAGGCATTTTAAGAAATCGGCATCCTTTCCCAATTTATCTTTAATCTCAGGTTTTAGACAGGCATACGCCAAACCTTCAACGGCATTTAAAACAAGGTTCGCATCCGATGCTTTTGACTTGATAATTTCTTGTAAAGAGTCGACTAGACTTTCATTGGTGATGTGCATTCTCTTCATGGTTTCTTCTAGACTTTCAGTAGGCTGAGCATCATCTGAAGGAGCATCGTTTTGTGCCTTCAGTTTTGTTAATGCTGTGCCTGCAGCTGCTTTCAGCTGTGGATCCGTCTTAGATTGACCAGCCATCTTTACTAACCATTGGGCCGCATGCTTTAAAATTTCCTTACGACACGATTTATCTGAAGATGCGATGGTTAATACTTGAGCAATGGCAAGTTGTACAGGTACAGTTTCAAATTCAACCACGTCCATCATTTCCTCGACAGTGCCTTCCTGGCACAATATCGCGGAACCCACCGTCATGCTGGTTTGGAAAATTGCAATCAATGTATTATAGGCCAGTAGTTTAGCTTCGTTTTTACCTTGGTCCATACAAGCGGAAAAACAAGCGGCACATTGTTCGATTATGTAAGTAAAGGGGTATTTTTCGGTGGCGGAAGGATTGAAAAGTTTGGTCAAAATCATGAATGCCAGACTCTTGACGCGGGGTGGTGTGTCTTCTGTGCCACAGGCTGTTAAAACAAGTACAAAATCCTTGGAGCTTACAAAGGATCGGACGTGCGAAATGTCAGTTGTGTCGAGTTTCGATAGATGTTCTTGGAAAGAAACTACTCGAGGGTCTTGAGGTTTGATGGAAGGTTGAAGACGCAAGAGCAGTTCTTTGACCTGGAGTTCTAATGAGGCATCGCGTTGTAAGGCAACACGAGCATCTTGCGAGGCTTTCTCGGTTAACTTTAATTTTTCATACACATTAGCTCGTTCAAGTAAAAGTGAGGCTTTAGCGGCTTCTTCAGCAATTTCTAATTGCTTTGTCAATTCAATGATTTTATTTTCCAAATTCTACGAAAAGGGTTAATTCTGAGAAAGCTAGTAGCAGTAAAATAGCATACCTCTGTCGTTTCTAATTGGAAAGAAAATTTAGAGAATAGTTGTGTGCTTGTTGAACTGCAATGTACCTGAAGCCATGATGAAAGAAAGAAAGAGGAGTATAAACGACTCCGCTTGTCAAGGCTTTTTAAAAGGAGTTTTTTTTTTTTTTTTTTTTTTTTTTTTTTTTTTTTTTTTTTTTTTTTTTTTGGTCTCTTTTCGCGATATGGCACATAATTTAGGAACTGTTCAGAGACGTCTGACTTCAATCATTGAAGATTTCAAGAGAGCAAGAGAGACCTGGCAAGAGATTAATTCACATGCGTTTCCACACGCCAATACATTAACCAACACGGTGATCCAATCCAAGTAATGTATTTTTAATTGTAGAAAAATATAGATCTATCTTTAGATGATCTAACATCGGTTAGATATGTTGACGAGGCTCAGTATTGGCACCCAGCACTAACACTTGAGTTTCCAAATCTTATCCAAAAGTTCGATTCAAAGATTCAAGTCTTGATTGAAAAGCAAAATCGCAATTTATGCGACCTTGTCGAGAAAATGGTACAACTCATAATTGACATGGAAAGAGAATACACATCTAACCACACGGAAATGACAATAGGGCAAGCAGTACAATAAAATGGAAAGTCAATTATCGGAGATCTGTGCCTTAAATGATGGGTCATCTGTAAAAGTGCCTATTTTCAAAACCTGTTTTTTGAGCAATTACAGTAAGATTTTTTATTTTTTATTTTTTATGTTGAATTGAAATTGACGAATATGCTAGTTGAGCGAATGAAGGAAATTGTAAACATGTACTCATTGGAGTTAAATACAAAACGGTCGCTTGTATCTAAAGGTATCCGAAATATACTAACCAGAGAAGAAGGTGTAGTGCTGCTATCTATATGGATTAATCAACCTAGTTTGATAAAGTCGAGTCTTGACGAATGGGATGATATTTGTATGACAGAAATGGGTTTTGATGTGGCTTCATAAACATCACTACGTACAAACAGCAGCCTTAAAGTGTTGCCGAGAATATTACTTTAGGTGAATGTGGAGAGCAATAAATAGAATAAGTGATTATGATTTTAAAAGAGTTATTTGGACAATATTTTGGATATGCTTAATTTTAACACAATCGAAGGAAAGCTTGTCAGTATTTGCCATCACTAATCAAATTAAACGGATGACAGTTTCAATGCCACATCACCAACCTACCTTCTTTAAAGTATTTTATTATTATTATTATTAGAATGTGAATGTCCAACAAAAGACATCGTTAATCAGTAATATTCTATTAGTCTTCTATACAAATAAATTCGCTTAACATATGAGCTTCATCCGGCTTCAGATACTTTCGTTTCAAAAACTTGTATCCTTCTCCAAAAGCAACTGCTAAAACACTTAGAGCCATTGTCAATCCCCATTCCCACGTAACACCTAGCATATAGAACCCCTTGACAGCCACAGTAGGCACATAGAAAAAGATACAAAAGCAAACGATATTAAAAAATAGGGTTAGCGTAATGGGTGCACTTCTGATAGTTTCTTTCAATCCTTTACGTCCCCATTCAATGTTTCGATAAGATCTACAATGAATCATAAGAATGAGAGCAACAAAGGTAAGTGACAGTAGAAGTGTGCCTCGTGCACGGTAAAAGGAGTAACAGCCTTCATAGACAAAATTGGAATCACAGTTAGAAGCTTCGACGCCATGATGTCCCATCGTATATAAAGGAACTAAAAACGCAATCATACATGTTGCAGCAAAGAAGGAAGCGTATACAAAGAGATCTAACAAAAGTTCACGATTAAAAATACTCTCAGTGGGGGGTCTAGGAGGTTCGGTCATGACTGTTTTGGAGGCAGGTAAAACAGACAGAACTCCAGCAGGTGGGGTAAAAGAAACATAGAGATACAACATTTGGATTGTAGAAATGGGTGCAACACTACGGTTCTCAGGATCTCGTATGGCTAAACAAAGCAAAAGTACCGCCCAAAGACCAGAAAGCGTAATCCAGAAGTATAATAAAAATCGCTGCATATTTTGATAGATACGACGGCCTTCTGAGATAGCACGAATAATGGTTGCAAAATTGTCATCAGTGAGAATTACATCTGAAGCTTGTTTGGCAACATCACTACCGTTTTTACCCATGGCAATACCAACATCTGCGATACGTAATGAAGGGGAGTCATTGACACCATCTCCTGTCATGGCTGAAATATTATTACGACGCTTGGAAGCAAGAATCATTTTGACTTTGGTTTCGGGTGAGCAACGGGCAACGACAAATGGTAAATGAGGCAGTGCGTCGATTTCTTCATCAGTAAGTGCATCAAACCGGGGGCCTGTCATTACAAGAGTACGAAGAGCTTCGGGTGGCATGGTTTTTTCATTCAATATGTTGAGTTCCTTTGCGATAGCAGTGGCTGTTATTTCATGATCACCAGTAAGCATATGGACAGAAATACCAGCCTTATGAGCCTCCCTTACAGCTTGGCGTGACTCGGGTCGAGGGGGGTCATAAATACCGGTAATACCAGAGAACGTTAGATCGCACTCAACAAGATTACGACCATTACTTGTATTAATGACAGCGTTTATATCCATTCCTTTAATATTCCGATAGGCCATAGCCATTACGCGTAAACCTTTTGCGGCAAGGGCGTTGGCTTGATTCATAACATTGTCTCGAGCTTCTTGCGTAGATAGGTTGACACATAACGGTATGATGCGTTCAACTGCACCTTTAGTAAAAACACATGTATACTCAAGAGGTCGGTTGTACCAGATAGTAGACATACGTTTGACTGTAGAATCAAATTGGTATTCTTCAATAAGTTCCCAACCAATTTCAGCTGTTAATTGAGGTTTTCCTTTGCCAAACTTGTGAGCGAATACTTGGAGTGCGACTTCTGTAGGAGCGCCATTTGCAATCCAATCATCTGATTCTGCCTCATCTTGGTCGCCCATATCGAATTCGATTGTAGCTGCTTCGTGCTTCTTTTTGTGTGTGATAACTTCTGGAGCGATGGCAATGTCCTTTTTTAGGTCCTCGACAACTATTTGACGTCTATTGATACTTGACATGTTACAAAGAGCGGCACACTCAATTAAGCGATTTGTATCTTCAGAGATTGAACCTTCTGCTTTTTCAACCAATTCTGTTTTTTCTGAATTTAATGGGTTATCAATCAATTCATCAAAGGTACGATAAACTTTGCCCTCAGGTGCAAGACCATTTGGTGTGACATAAAAATAACCTTCCTTGGGCGTCCAAAACCAGACCACTACCATTTTTGCCATGGTCAATGTTCCTGTTTTATCCGAAAAAATAGCTGTGACACTTCCCAAAGTTTCAAGGCACTTCAATTTTCGAACAATAGCACGGTGCTTTGTCATTTCTTTGCCACCCAAAACCAAAGTGACAGTCATGACTGTGGTGAGACCTGCGGGTAACACGGAGAGTGCAACAGTGATAGCGTACATAGCAATGTCATAATTAGCCTTGAATTTTACAGAAGCTAATACGATGATGGCGGATACAATAGCAGTAATCAAAAGAACAATATACATTTTACTCATACTTTTTTGAAGGCGCGTACGTTCCCCTTGATCCGCTTCATTCAATTTGGAAGCGATTTTACCAATTTCGGTCTGCATACCCGTTGCTGTAACAATAGTTCGACCTCTACCTTTTGAAATAGTTGTAGAGCTGTATAACATATTGATGCGATCACCCAAAGGTTCGCCTTTGGAAAACAAAAGCATTTATAGTGAGATTGAGGTTGCTTGCTTTTTTTTTCTCTCTCTTTTTTTTTACCTATTTTGTCTAATACTATCAACTTTTTTTTAACAGGAAGTGACTCTCCTGTCAGTAATGCTTCATCCGTTTCCAAGTTTGAGACGTAAATAATACGAGCATCAGCAGCAGCTGAATCGCCTTCTTTAACCAGTAATAGATCGCCCGGTACAAGTTCTATGCTATCTACGGTTATTTCTACGCCATCACGGATAACATCGGCTCTAGGCGAAGACAAATTTCGAAGGGCAGCTAAAGTTTGCTCTGCTGCGTACTCTTGATGAAACGATAAGTATACGTTGACTACAGCAACCATGATCAAAATGGAGCCTGTGATGAAATCGTTTAAAACATAGGAAACGATACCAAGAACCAAAAAAATCCAGTTCATGACATCTTTCAGTTGTCGAACAAATACGGTAAACCAGGTCAGGCCTCCATCGGAAGAAAGCTCGTTTAATCCATAAATTGTCTGTCGTGATATGACTTCAGATTCAGTCAAGCCAAGAGTGAGTGATGTATTGAGTTCCTGGGCTACTACTTCGATGGATTTAGTATGCCAGCTATTTGGAACGTTTTGTTCCATAATTTGGAAGAAATAGATAAATTAGAATACAAAAAAAAAAAAAAAAAAAAAGAAAAAATACAAAAGAAATCAGATTAAAAGAAAATATACAAGAACCGTTAATGGAAGACTGAGATTTCTGGGTTACACGCAAGTTTTAGATATGGAGGAAGGAGAATGAAATGCTCGCTAAAAACTATACCTAAATTATGTGCTTGTATGGGCAATCTTTATCGTGTATAGTTTGACAGTTACATAACTTGCAGGGAATATTTAAGAGGTAGTGCTAACTTTTACCCTTTAATTGAATTGAATTTATCAGCCTAATTAAATCTTGTGTTACACGTGGTGCGTTTTCTCCCCCATTAGATATCCATTGTTTTCAGAAGTTTTTTTTGCGTATCCTTGGGTACAGACTTTGCATAATCACAGGCACATCCGATAATACGAAACATGCTTAAACATACAAAAACATTTTTACATGCGATTTATTTATGTTGAACGATTGAGATGGGTTGGAATGATCCGGGTCTTTTGCTTCTTAGTCTCCTATGAAAGCCCTTTTTTATTATTATTATTATTATTTAGTTAAAATGTGACCTGAACTTTAGCATTCGTATCACAAGTAGACTGGTGCATTGATAAGATACCGCAGTAGACTTCTGTTTACTGCTGTAGTAATGATATTACTAAACACTTGTTACTAAACCAAAAATCCACTCAAGCAGAGTTGATTTGGTGAAATAAATAAAGCAATTTCTAAAAATGATCTGCTCCAAGTTAACAAAAAAAATCAGTTTACTACTGTCGTCATATCCATTCAGCAATCATTCTACTCTGTTTTTGTCATCAATGTTACACGTACATACATCGAAAATAGTTTTTTTCACACAGTTTTTTATGGACTGTACGCAAATACGATGATTATGCAATTTTCTTATAGAAATAGCAAAATGTAATTTTTTTTCTTTTCAATGGAAGGCTTAAAAGCCTGAAATTGTCTGGACATACAGCGTGAACAGTGTTCCGATTAAACAAGTCACTTAGCTGAATGACGATTTACGAGTTATGTAAAGATTTTAAAATATGCCAATAAATTTAACGAATCATTAATTATAAAGTAAATGGTATATGTAGTTGAGGTTCACACACTCTCTCTTTCTTTTCTTGAATGTTCTTTTTTCTTACTTTATGTCTACTTTAATTTCTAGAAGACATTGGCTTCGAGGCTCCAGAAACCAAAATGTTGTCTTGCCTCTAAAGCTGATAGATCCTAGCAGCGACGATACAGCCGTTTCATCCCCAACGACAATTGGTTCACCTTCCTCCGTTAAGCTCTTATTCCCATCTATATCCATGTTTAACTTGCCCATCCAAACTATCCCAGAAACCACTCCTCTGCTGTCCCCACCTCCCCAATTTGCGGTGGACAACAAACGTAATAAATTTCGTGTCTTTCTAAAACCACGTAAACGAGGCATTCGAAAAGCCTATCCTTCGGCTTTTGAAACTTTCTTGTTTGACGATGCGCTACCGGGCTCTCCTACTCAAGGTATTCAACCTGTCAGGCTCTTGATTGAACGACTCGAGGCATGGTACCTGCTGGCTAAGCGTCTTCTACATCACTTTGAAGTCCTGGCCAGCGTTGAAACACGCGTGGCCAAAAATTATCGAAAACTTGACCGTGTCATGATATTTCCGTCACCTGCTACTAAACGATACAATCATCGCGTCAAGGGAGGGAAAAGATCCTTAAACAAGAGAAAGAGGAGGCGTTTTTACAAGGATGAAAGATTGTTGCAGCTTCATTTTGCTTTTCAGGGTGGCGTTCGGGGGGTGTGCGATGCTTGGCAAGATTACCATTCAAATACAACCAAAGACCATGCTGAATTTGCTACATTTTTAAGAAATGAAGCTATACCAACATTGGCCAATATTAAGCGAGAATTGAAGTGGATGATTAAATCCATTCGTTCCGATGACCGTTTGTCGCTGTCTACTTTGACAACGCTGAAAAGAGAGGCGGCAGATCGACTAAAGCAGTTGGATAGACAATTAGTATTTTTTGATGAGCATCCATACCATGGCCACAGCAAAACTGATCCATGGCTAATGAATGCAGGTAAAGCTACTGTTCTTTTATAAAAAAAAAATCCATGTGTACTAATCAATCATAATCAATAGCTGTTGTTAAACAAATGGTCAAAGTTTACCGCCAAGAGAATAAGATCCATGAGACAGTTCTTCGACTTCAACGAGAAACCTTGATCTCGGAAGAACAACTTGTAGAAGAATTCCGGCGATTATGCCAGCATATTTATAGCATGCGCGAAACCTCTACTTTGGGTACAGACCGAGGTCTTGAATCCATCATGGAAACCTTTAATAATATCAAGATGGACAGCGATTGGCTTCATTTCTGTCAACAGCACAATGATCATTTAGTGTCTGAGACTGCAGCGTTTCGACATCCAGATCATCTCCAATACCCAAACCATTCACACGCCCTACTTCAACCTATTTTTGCCGCGCGCATGGAACGAAAATCCCTCATTCTTCATCACTGGCATGAATACATTTATGTGCTGACCCCTGCCGGCTTCTTGCATGAATATCGTAACGGCAAGGACTACCCATCGAAACCAGACGCCACTATTTTTGTACCTCATTACAAAGTTTCGTCGTTATCTACTAACCTCCACCATAACTTGATCTTTCAATTACAACCTCATTCGGCGTCAAGAAACCTGCTAAAGAACCAAGGATGCCCTACTGTCTTACCCAAGGAATGGAGAACGACCAAGCCAAGGTTAGGTTGTGTTGACCGTTTCACATGGACCTTGAGAGCAAAATCTGCAGCAGATATGGAGTCGTGGATTCAGCATTTGACCGATAGTTCGGAAAGGTATAGGCCATCCGTAGTGAACCATTTTATTCCGCCTATTCAACCCGATATTGTGATTTCTCCTGCAGCGGAAGAGGAAGCTCCTCCACCCGAGGAACCTGTTGCTGAGCCGGAAATTGAAGATCCTACTCCGGAGCCTGAGCCTGCTGTTGAGCCTGCTGTTGAACCCGAGGTTGTTGAACCTGAGGCTGAACCTGAGGCTGAGCCTGCCGCTGAGCCAGTTGCTGATCCTGAACCTGAAGCTGCAGCTGATCCTGAACCTGAAGCTGTTGTTGAAGCTGCTGTTGTTGAAGCTGTTGTTGAACCAGCGGATGAACCTGTTGCTGAAGCTGAAGCTACTCCTGAGCCTGTTGCTGAAGAACCTCCTGTGGATACTCTTGTCATTGAATAATTAAGCTTTCTCCTCTTTTTTAAATTAATAAAATAAAATTTATTTGATATGTACAATAAAAAAAAAACGGAGGTATTTTAATTTGCTAGACTGATCAAGTGAGCAGAGGAAGAAATGATATCCAGGGTGCAAAGTTTATTTGCAATGGTGAATTGGTGAGTCAACATGGCAGACCAAACTGTTGTTAATTCACTTTAAAAAAGAAATTGGTGAGTATGTACACATAATGTAGTAGCTGAACTCCCGAATATACCTTTGTTTCACCTTGATAATGCCCTCGTTGTGATATTGGCTCCAGTCCAAGATATTAATGTAACAAGAGGCACCAACGCGTCCAAAGATCGTCTCTAATGCTTGTTGAATACTCATTCGAAAGGAGAGTTCGGTGACTTGCACGTCAAGATCTTCGTCAGACCAACTAACACATCGTTATCAGTATTAAAAAAAAATTGTTCAAAGTGAGGACAAGGGGGAGAAAAGTTACATTTTAACCTTCAAGTACTGCCATTCTTGCAAAGGTTTGTAATTTTTATACCAAGGCTTCGACATTTATCTCAAAATGAAGAAGAAGAAAAAGAGAGTGGCTTTTTGAGAAGGGAGTATGAATTATTTTATTTTTGGTTAAAAAAATTAGAATTGGACAAACTTTGGGTCCAGAGGCAAGCCAGTGATAGGATCAATATTCTACAAGGGCAATTAGTGAGTGACCATAGTAATAAAGTCAATTGAATAGGTAAACTATACTTACATTCTTTTTTAATATTTTTTGTTGACGGATTAAACGAGCTTCGTCGAAGGAAACATTTTGTTTCTTCATAATTCTCATAATTTCTTCCTTATCCTTTAAACCAGCTCTACTATCCTCTTCATTAAGGTTCGCTGTCAAGTCAAATTGAGAGCTAGTTAAACCATCTTCAATGTCTGTTTCGAATGAGCCGGCATGAGTCGGCAATAAATGATAACCAAACAAACGATTGGTCTTGTCTGCTAATGTTGACATGCCTTCCCTAATGTGTTTACGGAAGTACCAGCATACTAATTATGCAAATCGATGAGTTTCTGACTCTCAACTCTCTTTATTCAGTCTACTTACTCGTTAAAATAAAAACTAAGAGTGCTAAAAGAATAAGCATATTAAGGGGATGAAATATATATGTACTAAATAAAAAATGAAAGAGTAGAAAAAAAATGGGGAAAAAATACCCACCATTGTCCGTAAAAGCAGATAAAACATGTGACAGATAATATGTTTCCCTTGGCCTTGATAGACTTTCCAAAGAAACAATGAGGATCAATGGTTTGCATAACGAGACAATGGAGACCAAACTTTTACTGGCAGAGTGGCTTAAATAGAAACCTATTTTTATCCCGTCTTTATGAAACTGTAAGACAAGAAAAAAGCTCTTTGTTTTTTTTTGCGTAGAAAGTACGAAATCTGTCAGAAGACCGTATTAAAAGGTAAATGAAGTTTATATACAAGACATGAATAGGTTGATCTTTTTGGTTCAGTGCCAATATAAATTCTTTATAGTACAGAGGTTTGATACATATTTTTTTTATGTTTTTTCAGCCTCACCAGCATGACATTTTTAAAACCGCAGCGTCTTGAGTTTAACTAAGCCCATCTTTTTTAGCAGAAATTATATTTGGGGGGAGCGTGGCCTATATGTATGTACGGTGAACACAATGAAAACAACATGGCTCCAAATATATACATATAAAAAAATCTTGTACTCGGTCAAGCCCTTTAACTATAATTAACCGCAACAATAACAAAATCCTGGTTTAAATAAAATCTAATAAAACGTCAGATTATGATATAAATGTCTAAATAGGAAAAAGTATGCGCATATTAACAATCTAATAAATGAATAGCTACATTTATTAAATAACTTGTAATATAACCAGACAAAAGAACTCCTTATCAATGCGTTACACACAAACCTGCACAGTTTTTTTTTTTTTTTTTTTTCTGTTCTAAAAATATGAGGGGAGGAGATCTAAATATGGGTCACCCCGTCCCCAAAACAAGAAAGACCTTGGAAAATTAATATAAAAAGGACCTCTATTTATTTTTATTTTTTTGTTTCTCTCTCTTTTTATTTTTATTATTTTTTTCACATGATGGCAGGCACACAGAAATCAGCAATCATTGCACCTAAGCCATTTATTAAGAATGGACTGAGCATTCCTATTATAATTGTATTTTTCATTGGATTCTTTTTTGTTTCATCCTTGAAAATTAGAGTCGTGTATAGCTCACCTTCTACTTCTGGTGAGTCTTTTCTTTTGAGCTTAGTGTTGCATAGATACTAACTCTTTTAATTAGTCGACGCCTGTTCATCACTTACATCCGACTGTTACCCATATCAATCCGAAACAGTAGGCGAAGCACAAGAAATCATACCCAAACATGTAACACATCCCGTCTTACCCAAGCCAACAACATATCCTTTCACTATCGTTACAGCATCCAGCGCCAACCATCTTTGCTCTTTAGAGAACTTCCTCTATTCTTTATATGATCTTCGCTCTCAAGTAGAAGTAGATGAATTCCCTCGTATTGTTGTATATAATATTGGTATGAACCGCACTCAATTACCTGTGCTTGAACAATTTGTGGAAAATGGATTAGTAGATGACCTTGAAACATTTGATTATTTCAAGTACCCTAGATTCTGGGATGTTGCTATCAATGCCGGAGAGTATGCGTGGAAGACGGGTATTGTTCATGAAGCCAGTATCAAATATACGGAAAGCTCCAACGGTATTTTAATCTGGCTTGATGCCGGAAATATGGTGACACCTGAATTCTTAAAGACAATTGCCGGTGTCGTACGTAAGAATGGTGGTTTTTGGTCTCCACGTTCCAGTAAGCGTATGGCGGACTGGACCCACCCAGGCATGTATGATTATTATCATGCAGACCCTGAGGAATATGCTCGTAATATCAATTGTAATGGTGCAGCTTTAGGTTTTGATGCTTCTAACCACACCATTATGACGGAAATCATCAAGCCTTGGTTAGATTGCGGTATGGATAAAAATTGTATTGCTCCTCCTGGTTCCTCTCGTATCAATCATCGTCAAGATCAAGCCGCGCTTACATTCCTCGCTTATCGTAGCGGTCATAAATGTCAAATGTCACCTACATTTTATAAACTTCAAACACATCGTGATAGCTCCTGTAGAGCCGATTTAGTGGCACTAGATATTCAAGGCAAACTCAATCATCCTAGTTCTATGGGTAAAGTATTTATAAATTTTGGCTTTTTTGTAATTCTATTTGTACTAATTTTTAAATTTAGATTACCCTAAATGGTACGCCAGTAACACTTTACAATTATATCATCATCCTGAATGGAGATATGCTCATGATGATGTACCTGATCATATTTCCAAGATGATGTACCCACCCGCTTAGATCACATCTTTATACACTCTGTACTATTATGTAAATATCCTTCCAAATATACACCCTTTCTTTTCATCCCCACCCCCTTTTTTTTCATTAATACATCTAAATAACATGTACAACCCAATATTTTTTTTTTTTTTTTTTTTTGCTCTCTTTCAAAAAAAAATTTATTTCTATAAATATCTCTTTTTAAACGGAAAATGGTATTTGGTCAAGTTTCATGAGAATGTCTGGCCCTGGAATTCAAAAAGATTTAAAAAAATCTAAAGGCTTTTGATGTCTATTTCAAAGTGATGCTTGTAAAAAGACAAGTAAACAAACCTGCGTTGTGCTGTTATAACGGACTTCTTAAACACGTCTTCCTTCATCAAGACAGAAACGGTACCAGTATAAATCGTATTAGACAACCGTGTGACGGTTTCGTAAAATATATTTTTAGGCTTCACAGTGATTGCAGATTGATTGAAACTATTGGTAACGGCCTCCGCCAATTTTTTACGATGTTGGTCTTGGTCTAATAATAACGTTGCATCCAGTGGTAAATGAAATATTCGCACCACCCAATACAAGGTTTGTGGGTCGTGAGACAAGGTACTGGTAGGCAACAGGTATATCGAAGGCTTTATTAGTTTCATTCCTCTGTGCTTTAATATCGATCGTGTCTGTTTTAATAAGAGAACATTCGTACTCTGTAAGGTGATTTCCATCACGTTTGCATTGTCACTGGAGATCTTGACACCGGCTGTAACAAGGGGAGATAAATTGGAATGAAGCACGTCAAATATTTGTTGCCGATCGATTCCTAAGCCCGAAAAATCAAACAATAAACTATTAGGCTGACTGGCTATTTGCCATGCCATCGTTTGAACCACTTTCTTTGGTTCCTCTATCTCGTTTACTGCAATGACAGTGGCAATAGGTATTTTGGTGTCTTTGGGACATAGGTATCTATGAAAAGTATAATCGGCTGCTATCGTGGTCACTGCCCACGCCGAAATTTGTAATAAAACTCCCATTCACAAAAAGTGTGTAATAAAGGGGAGTTTTTTTTTTTTTTTTTTTTTTTTTTTCCTTTTTATAACCTGAGGTTTTCAAACTCCCAATCACTTTACTCCTTTTTCCTCCTCTTTTCTGCTTTTATTATTATTATAACGAACACATGGCGACATTGACAACAAATTATTTGGAATCAAGTAGGATACCGGTCAAATCAGTGTCAACGTCTACCTTAGGTGGCTCACTCCTACCTCGGCCCACCAAGACTTCATCTCGCACCATGCCAACTACGACAACAAAGCAAAGGGCAACCACGACACCGCGAGTTCATAGAAGACGGACTTCCTCGAGCTCTTCTAGCTCCTCACTTTCGAATAATTGGCTTACTAGTATGTTTTCGCAACAAGCCAAATATCGGTTCAAGAGTGCTATACGGCTCTATGTGGATAATGACGACCCAAATTGGCAAGTAAGCGATGACACCATGCGCTATATCGGAACAAAGAGCACCAAAAAATTTGAATTTGGTAGAATACAAACAATAGAGAATGAATTTGGCATATTAAAATCCAACTTTTTTTTTTTAATAGATCATGTATTTCGTGGAAGTACTAGTAACCAAAAGATTTTTGAAACTTGCGTGAAATCTACAGTTCAAAATGTCATGAAAGGTTTGAGTGGTACTGTATTCACATATGGTCAACCTGGGTCAGGAAAAACACAAGTAAGTGGTTCGAGGCATCATTTCGGAGGGTGCTTGTTTATTTATATATTTAATGATGTCCAGTTATTTATTATCTCTTTTAGACAATGGTAATTATATATTTTTTTGTTCTTTTTTTCTTTCTTACCATTATTTCTTTTTTATTAACGAAAACTGCATTGATTTATTATAGCTCGGTAAGTTCAAATAAACAAAAAATAAATAAAAAGTTAACAATTTCCACTATTAGGTAATAGACATGATCCAGGGCTAATTTCATTCTCATTTGACACTCTCTTTGACACGATCAAAAATGTAAGCTGTTCCTGCCAAAAAAAAAAAAAAGAAAATTGAGCTTTTAAACTGACTTTATATCTAGGATAACGACCATGAATATATCCTATCCCTATCTTATTTCGAGATATCGAATGAAATTATCCGTGATCTATTGGTAGAAGGAGGCACCGCGTTGAAAATATCGGATGAGAACAAAAGGGTAAGAACAGAAATGGATCCTTATCCACAGAATATTCATTGTTTATCGCATTTACATAGAGAGGTGCCTATGTCAGTTCGTTAAGGGAACAAATCATCACATGTTCTTCTGAAGCTTTACAATACTTACAAAAGGGAGAAGGTAACCATTCTTTATTAAAATGAGAAATATGTGGGATCTAACCTGTGTATTTAGCAAATCGGTATTTACTATCCAGTAACTATGATAGTCATCATAGTAGATCCCACACATTTACACAAGTGGTAAGAAAAGAAAAGGGTTGCAAGAGTTTTTTTTTTTTGTTACTAAATTAACCTATGGATAGACGGTAGAAAGAAGAGAGTTGCCATTAAACACCAGTAGTAATGCAAGCGTTGCTAGTAGTAACAGTAGTAATACAAGTAGCTCGACACGTAAAACACGAGTTCCCAAGAACAAAAAAAGAGAGACTATTCAAATCTCTTATCTAGTATGTCAAAAATAGAAAGTTGGAAATACACCAAAGACTGATCCCATATCTTTCTTTTTTAAAAAAACAGTACCTTATTGATTTAGCCAGTAATGATAAATCTATATATCAAGTCCTCAAAAGCCCAATCAACAAGAGTTGTATGGCACTTGAAGCTATTGTGCACAATTTATCAGAAACAGGAAAAACGTAAACTTTTAAATACAAACGTACATGTCAAAAATAGGATTGACATCTTAATTATATTTAGTGCTGGACACCCTCTTCCGCCATATCATGATTCAAAATTAACACGACTGCTTCAGCCTAGTTTTATGGGACAACATAATGTGGTGTGTATTTGTACAGTAGACATGGACTCTGCGAGTCAAGATGAGATACCCACGTTTGAAACACTGAACTTTGCATCGCGTATTAAACGAATCCCTACCTCGCCCAAGGTTTGCGAGATATCAGAAGACAGATCCCTTTTGGTAAGGTATACAAACGAAATAACCTTTCTTTCGTTAAAGTTGGAGAAACTTGAAACGGAAAAAGAAAAGCGAAATGATCTGGCAAAGATCAAGTCGGTTCTTGAACAAAGGTAACATGTTGTAGTGATTTAATTCCTTTTTGTATGTATTCATCATTTTTGTTAGATTGTATTGTAAATCGCAGTATATTCTTACCTCTAAATCATTCAGTAAACTTCTAAAGTATGCAAAAGATGAGGAAGAGGACCCTTGGAAAGTAATCAATAAATTACGAGTGGATTTCGATACACTTGCAGCAAGCAGTAGTACCCAGCTTGGACAGCTCAAATCCGTCATGGAGGAAACGAGAAGCTTACCCGATGAAATTGCACAATTAGAAGCCGAATTAAATATTACGCGCGCTGAACTTCAGGTCACTCAATTATTGGTGAATGAACGAGATGCATTTAGTTTTACATCAAAGAGACAATAAACTTTTTATTTTTCTTTATTTTCTATTTTTGTTCCTTATCACCAGTGATCACTGTGTTTGAGGTACGCCACATGAGCCAAGATCCTAAGCTACGATAAGGCTTCCAAAGTTCCGTAAGCTCCATCATTGTATCTGCAGATGGAAAAATCTTTTTTTTATCGGTGGGTAAAGTTAATCCAAAATGTTTGGCTACACCTTTTCGAACAGCCAAGTCACCTAGAGGAAGTACGTCTGGATGATGCAAATCCAGCATTAAAAACATATCAACAGTCCACTGTGTATTTTCCGCGTGAGTGAGTATGCAGATTACATGTCTTCCTACATTTCTTTACCTGTCCTATTCCTTTAACAGCGCATAGTTGATTGGAAATTTCTTGATCCGACATTTCACTAAATTTCTCGGGTGTTATTGAACCATCTTCAAAATGTGCTGCAAGATTTTGGATGTATTCCACCTTTTTTTTTTGTTCAAAGTAAGTACGTTATGGAACAGGCTTTTATCTTATTATTATGTATACCTTTCTGCCAGATAATCCGGCCGATTTTAATTCCTCTGTACTTTTCTTGAGTACATCAGCAGGTGTAGGAACTGTTTCAAAAAGATTCAAAAAACGAGCATAGATTGAAGCTGCTGCTTTGCCGTGAATTTGTTGATACACAATAGCTCTTGTTAACGAACTACATCATACTTAAATAAATCACAAAGTTTTGATACAACCAGTAGAATGACTTACATAAATGGATTAGAACCGTCTACTCTGCCCATTCTCTCACGAAAGGCTGTAACTGCGGCCTCATCCAAATGAACTGCAAGTTTCGGGTCATGTTTTTGCATGTGTTTAACAGCATCCTCCAAATGTGTTCCATCCAACATATCAAAATTATGGATTGATAATTCATGCTTTACCTATTATAGCGGGTAAGATTTTTTTTTATATGATGTATTTATGTATATGTTACCTCTTTCAACTTTTTCGTAGTGACCTTTCTGGTAGTAACCTTTTTAGTGACAGCTGTAGGCTATGTAAAAAAAAAAACGTAAATATTGACTCTATTGGCCACAACCCCAGAGTTTTTACCTTTTGAACGAGATTTTTTTTACTGCGCAAAAATGGATTAGTTGCGATATTTTATAGGCCACATATGTAATACTCGCGTTTTTTTCAATGGTATTTTCGGTTCCTTGTATTGAACAGGAGTCTTTTTAGAAAGTCTAAGGCTTTGACGACTAGCCATTGCTATTATTGAGCTTGACATGGTTAAATGAAAAATGGAAAAAGAATAAAAAAAATGTTTTCCTGCATTTTTATTTTTGTAATTGCGCTGTTTGATAAAAAACTAGTAAGCAAGCACAAAAGGTGCAGCCAAATCCACCACAACAGTCCGCAGCTGCTGCAAATGTCTACGGACAAAGAGGGTTTATCATTCAACCGCGTACTATATATACTTGAGGCATAAAGTGTACTAGTCGTATCGTCGTCTATAATACCTGATGCATAAAGGGTATTTCCATCGTCGCTGTAAATACTGGAAGCATAAACTGTGAGCTGTCCTCTTTTGCTCGAGATTCTTTTGCCATTTCGAAATGTTCTCAAAACAGAGATAAACGAGCGAAAAAATAAATTAAAGAAATAAACTTGACTCAGCAGATAAAGACTGTGTACATTGCACTGTACGACTGTATGTAATTTTCGTATGCAATTTACTTAATATCTCAAGTATGCATGATGGCCGGGCGTATGTAGGGATATCTTTTACCCACCTTTCACTTTGAAGCTATTAATCATTTTTATTGGACTTTCGAAATGCTGTGTATCTGCTAGCTTATTTTAGGCATAATAAAAGAATGTGTGAGTGCTGAGGATCTCATTTAGAGAGAGATGTTTAATCCAAAGCGTATCTTTTACTGAATATATAAAGTACATCTCCTACATTTGTTCCAATAGGCAGTTTCCACTTTTCTTCACTATTCAAAGTTATTAAAATATATAATTTGTCAGCATTTGCCATGCTGTTATATCATGTAGTTTACAAGATTGTCAAGCTTCTCAGATTATGTTTGACAGCAGTTGCAAGCATACGTGATCACAAAATTGGCCTATAAATCCGATTAAGTCCTGTTACAAAGCGTTCATTTTAGCTTTTTGAAAAAAAAAAGTAGCTCTGTTAAAAACCGTAAGAGATAGCCGAATTTCTGGTATTATGATGTTCACTTGGGTGAGTTATAAAATCCCGATACAACTTTACTAAATTTTAGTTCTATATTGTAAAGCGTTATGGTATCAGGGCACCCTATGAATAATTTCAAAAAAGTTCACATGTCTGTCATAACGCTCCGTTAAACACTCTCACTAATCAATCGTCTATGCACCTCAATTGAAAATAGATAGCATGGTATTAAGAAAAGGTTGATCATTAATTTTTATTGCTAGTACTTGACAGACACAAACATTATTTTTTTTTTCCTTTATGAAACGGTGGGCTTGTAAGCAAAAAACGTACAGTTGTTAATATTTTTTTCCATGCATTCATGCAATAAATAAACTACCAGCACATTGCTTATAAGAGAGGCGTATAAAAAAGAGTGGAAAGGGTGGGTTCACTATCTTTTAGATACTACTTATTATTGTTGCCTTTATAAGAGAGTTGCAAAATGAAAATAGATGATAAGGGGGGTGTATGTTAATTTTTAACTGATTTCGCTCGGATGAGCAGCAAACAATCTTCCCCTACATACAAACAAAAGATTGTCTGATTGTGACAGAGGCTACTTGAGTTGGTTACGTTCTTAGTTTTAAATATCTCAACAGTCCAACTTTTAGTACAAGCATTCACGTTATTGAGCTCCATTAAGATTAAACTTTTCTTGGTGGCTGTGAATGCTCCTTTTTCAATACAAGATTACTTGACATTAACGAAAGAAAAAAAAATACTGGTGCTAAAAAGATGTCTGTCTATTATAAGGGTGAAAGCATTTTATTACATCCCAAATAGGATGATTTATCCCATCCTTTGGCTAAAACTTTTTTTAAGCTCTCCGCATTTCATCTAATACTGAAGGCTTTTAAAATTTATGACGAGCAAAAAAAAAAAAAAAAAAAAAAAAAAAAATTATAATGATTAAAGTAAAAAAAAGCCTTTTTATTTTTATAAATAATAATGATAATCTATAAACTATACTAATAAGTGCTTCTCCTAGTTCCCAGTATAAAATATCTGGTTAACAGGCCAGACCACGAGAAGGTGGAAGCACATCCTGGCCCAAAAAGTAAATTCCGATAAACCATCTTCATTACAGCACCTGATAATTCTACATGCCACCTACCCACAATGCGCAAACATAAGAATCACCAGGACCAAATACCCCCTACACCATGTTGGGGTGGTGCTTTTTACCCTGGCAGTAGAATCGTAGCAACCGCACCTGGACGAGTATTGGCTTTAAGGTTAACATTCCGTGTAGATGAGGTAGCTGTCCAACAGGATGCCAATCTATGGCTGCCTATAGAATGCAATATCTCTAGCGTAGACGTAAACAAGGCAAAGCACTTACAAGATGCATTCGGGTACTAAACTTCCTACTGTCATTAGATCCCGACCAAAAATAACAACCCACACCAATTCCAATGACCAAGAACGTATCGACTGGCTTCAAACGGCTACGACCATCCCACCGTCTAGTAACACGCTCTATATTCACCCTCCACCAAGCAACGGGTGTGGCACTAGTTTTAGTAAGAAGTTCCTGGAACAAAAGGCGACAAGCCCCAGTCAGATTGTTGTACTGAAATCCGAATGAAGCGATACAGACAACGACCAAGGCCATTGCCTAGCGACTTTGACAACCAGCAGACTCCTCAATGTAATCTTTTTAGGGATTACTACGGCCTTTGGAACACTGCCCGATCTGTAATGAAGTGGATAGATTTAACGGAAAACGAACAGAGTCGAGAGTGTCATTCTTGTGCTGAGCCATGCTAACTTCTCTGTTCTAATGTTTAAAAAAGAATAAAAAGATAAAGAGCGTTTTTTTCGCAGCAGTCTTCCTTTTATACCAAAATTTTTTTTTTTGTTTATTTTGTTGATTTTGTCTAGGCTACTTTTACAAACTTGATTTTTTTTTCACTACTTTTTGAACATATGTGTTATCCTTTGAATAATCCATAAAATTCTCATCTCATCCGTGTGCATATCATGGCTACTTTCTTCATTGGATGTCGAGAAAATGATCATTGAAGTTTTGCTTTTTCATGGGAGATGTTCTTTTTGTGCAACGGATTAAAAAAAAAAAAGATCGGCAAGATTAAACAATCTTTCACATGATTCCTTCAGCCCATGTCCTCTTCATGATAAATCAAGTGTTTGAAACTAATTAAGGCCACGCCTATAGTTACATCGATCGAGTGCGGAGAACGCTTTTGCATCCATGCTACTCTTTAAGCTATCATCTTCCAATATATTTTTTAAAAGGTATACTGGCGTAAATAGCGCCTCTCCAAGATGATGGGAAATCTATCGGAAACCTACTACTTATATAAGCATTCAGGTATCTCGCTGGAGATCTCTTAAGTTATTAAATAATAATATGACCCCAACATCCTACATCTAAATAATCTTACAGGTTTAAGACTATACGGAAGGTCCGATTTGACTAAAGTTTAGGTTACAAGATGTTACATAATTCTAAGAGTAATTTTTATAACTATCCTCTGACCAAACAGTGACACTATATCTGAATCAATGAACTGTTTTATCTTTCCCTTCAAAATTTGTCAACGTGGGTGTATAGTTGGTTGTGCTGAAATATTCAGCTAACGTTGATAAAATGAAACATCACTTTCTACTGCGATTATATAACTATCAAAGGAGCTGAAGTCTACTAAAACTAATTCTACTGGTTTGAGGTAAACATTACATTACTGATCCAGAACAATCCATTATAATTCCGCACATCAATATTTGATCTTGTCATATGATGTTATATGTTTTATTGACTAATATTGACATCATGTACTTTACAAGATTTTCTATTCTCACCTGTACGCTGATGTTTATATGTATGCTTGTATTCATGAAGCGTTATCCACTTTATTTATCTTTTATGGTATTTCTATATACTTCGTATAAAGTGATGTCGCAACGCACTGTATTGCTCATGTCTTTTTTTTTTTTTTTATTCCTTAAACCAAAAAAAAACATCGCAACTGACTTCCGACAAGCATTTTAGCCTTAAACCAGTTTAATTATGGACTGTGTAAATAAAAAATGAGCCACGTGAACTTATAATACTACTCTTCTTAATATGCAAACCTTTACAAACTTCTTCAAATCTTCTTCAAATCTTCTCAAGACTCTGCAAACCTATAATCTATTTCAAAGCACGTAACTCTTGTCAAGTCTCTCTAAAGGTTATCCAAAGCCTCTGAAACTCTAAAACCCTCGTCAAATATTCTCATCTTGTGTCAAGCCTCTTCAAGACTTCCCTCCAAGACTCTGCAAATCTCTCAAACTGGTGTCAAGCCTCTTCACAACTCCCCTCCAAGACTCTGCAAATCTCTCAAACTGGCGTCAAGGCTATGCTATCTTAACTTCATCTAAAGTTCCAAGGATTTAAGGCAGCTGTTCTACTTCTGGTCTTCTTTTATTCACGGTACAGTATAAGCTAGTGGTTTAGCGTGGCTAAATCCGGTGAGCTTGTAGCTGTAGTCACGATTTAGATATGTGCTCCAGGGCTTAGGAGGCTAACAATCCGTTAGTGTAGGCAAAGATCCCCTGGTGGTAGTCTCCACATAGTTACGATTATAATATTCCCTGCGAATGGGGAATACCCTGCGAACTGGGGTTAAGTTTAATGAGTAATTTTTTTTAGAACAGCTTGTCTTTTTCTCCTCTGGTTCTTGGTGACTCTCGGATGGTCTCTTTATTTCGCCTTATTCCATACAAAACTTTTCCCATCTTTTATTTTTTACACATTAATCCCAATAAATATTATTTAATTATTTTACTTTATTATTTATTATGCTGTTAATGACATTAGAAATTTATTTTTTGAGCAAAGGACCCTAAAAAAAAAAAAAAAAAAAAAAAGTATATTAAAACTCCGTACAAGCAACAAAAGTGACAGACGTCTGGAACTTTGATATTGCAATACCCGCATACTTTAAAAGTGCATTAAGGTATAAAGAAGCACGTCAGCTATACTCTCAGTCATGATGTTTACCGATTCATTAGTGCCGATGAAAAAAGTTGCTTTACTTGAAACTCTTCCTCTTCAACTGAAGCTTATCTTGGGCCAACTTTATGCAACATTAAGCCTTTCATTGCGGACCCACACAAAGAGCTGAAGCCTCAACGAGCTGATTTTTTTACGTATCCAGTTATCATTTTTTCCCTAATGTGTTACAATATGATGATTATCAGCTAAAACAAAAACCACTTTATAGTGAGAATGGCCGTCTTTATAAAATGGTAAAATTTAACGTGACAACTGAAATAGAATCATCATCTACTGGATCTTCTATGATGTCTTTCTAGTTTGTAAGGTTCATGATACATATGGTCATAAGTTTTCAGTCATTGGATGAATCTAAAAAATCATATCATCGTGA